ACATTCTTTACTTCCTTCCTTTGTTTACCACTGCGCAGCCTACTGATGACTGTTAGCACCATACCTGTGGTGTTGCAGGAGGAACACTGAAGGGGCATTTTCTATGATTGCGCCTCAGGATATTAACTGTCTGCATTGCTATATATATATATTTTGCTTTCCTGGCTGGTGTTGGATCTCACAGTCATATTATTGAAGGCATTCCAGCAAACATGCTACCTGCATGTCCTGGAGGCTCTTTAAAGAATATCAACCATTGCAACAAGTGATTGTCAGTTTGTAAACAAAACTTCAACCCTGATAAATAGTTTCTGAAGTAGTCAGTGTAAGGACTTGACCAAAGCAAGCATTTCCAGTCGAGTGGTGCAATAGTTTTTTTCATTTTCATTCAAGGAAGACTACTATAAGCAATCACCTGCTTAGTCCCATCCTGTTGCTGCTGAGACAAAACTGCCCTGTCGTAGTAGTGGCTTGCATCAGCATCAAGTATGAAAGATCTTGCTGCGGGCCGGAAATTGGAATAAGGCAGTACTGGCTCGCTTACCAGGTAATCTTTCAGCTACTCAAATGCAGCTTGTTGTTCCTGTTGCCAACAAAACGGTACATTCTTCCTACACAGTTTGTAGTGGGGCTCAGCAAAAATGAAAAATACAAGGATGAACTTTCTTTAATAGCCAGCAAGACCAAGGAAGCTTTGAAGCTCTTTCACAGTCAGTGGTAATGGTCATGTTTTGACGGCTCGTCTTCATTCTGTCAGATGAAACAACATGACCCAGAAAAGTAACTTCTCTTCTAAGGAAGTGACACTTGGTAGGCTTCAGTTTCAAACCAGCAGTCCTATGTATTACGATCAAACACTTACCGTAAGCAGTGGATGTGTTCTTCTTATTATCCAAATACACTAGAGAGTGTGTCCAGGTAAGGCCATTGAGCACCAGGTTAATTAATCGAGTGAAGCTAGCAGGTCCATTTGTCAATCTGAAAGGCATTACTCTTGTTTATTTATTTAACACTTTTTCTGGACATGAGCCTGCCCAGAGGGAATGTGCACGAACAGGACTCATGCAAGGTGCCATCCCTACCCAATCCCACCACCCGCTAAGGTTGGCCACACCACGGGGGTTTGCGGCCCCTACTCTTTTTTAATAGTGTTGTGGGTTCTTTTATGTCCCATAAAAACAAATCAGGGAAAGTGCTGTGAGATGGGACCTACGGTTTCTCGTCCTTATCCGAGAAAACTAGAAAATATAACCATTTGCAGATGTCATTACGTAGGCAGCACTTTCTTGGTCCGACCACGGTTTGAACCTGCGACCTCCTGCTTGCAGACTGGTGCTCTCCCAACTGAGCTAATCAGGTGGCGGTCATAAATGTCCCTGATGAGTTGAGAAGGCAGTCTTACAGTGTAGGCCCATCCTCTTCTTTCATTTGCATCTGCCAGTACCTGGAGGCCAAATGGAGGCAAAAAAAAACAGAGCCCCACCCAAGGCGTCTAACACGTCATCTGTCCAAGGTAGCTGGTATATATGACATCCTTCTTTGTCAACTGGTTAACTTTACGGTAGTCAATGCACATACGGTATGTTCTGTCATGTTTCTTAGCAAGTACCACTGTACTGCCCTAAGGATGTTGAGATTGCTCAATCTTGCCTGTAGTTTAAAACACTTCCAGCTGTTGATTGATAACTTCTTGCTGATAGGGTGGTACTCAATGAGGATGCTGTTTCATTGGCTTGCAATTACTGGTGTCGATTTCATGTTCTAAGAGATCCGTTTTTCCTAAATCAGAGTTGTCTTTTGCAAAGATGTCCTCACATTCCATTACCTGCTACAAAAACTGGTCTTTTTGGTCTTCTGAAAGCTCTTCTAGGTCACCTCGCAATATTTTTTTGACCACCATGCTTTGTCCTGTTTTCACTTCTCCCTTATTGCCACTGGTTTGTTAATACTGAAAAGGATGAGTGAGGGACATTAGTTGAATCTGGATCTGCTTCCAATGAAACAATACAGCCATTCCTACTACTGACAGGATGACATTCGGCAACAGGAACATCTGCCTGTAGTCTAATACGCCTGTCTGAGAAGTTAGCAACTCAAAGTAGAGTTAGTCCATCTCTAGGGGTAACTAAGGCCACAATTCCTGCGACATAGATTCCAGAGTCTGATGTTGCTGACAGTACTTATTAACAAGAGCAGGGTTGGTTACCTCATTATTGGTAACTACTGTCGCTTGGGCCACTGCTCCAGTCAGGGCAGTTTTGAGCGAGATGGCCAGGTTCATGCCAAGCAAAACATACCACATCATATTGTGTAAGGGGCTGTCGTTTCAGCTTTTCATTTCAGTTTACGAATTTTTTCATTCATACCAAGAATGAGTTCCTTGAGCACTCATATCTCAGGTGAAATTTTCTCACTCTCCGCTGAAGCACTCACAACTTTCACAGACTTTTTCCTCTCAACAGATGCCACAGCCTCACAAGCTTAATGAGCACTTTCTGATCAATGAACAATGCGAACAGCCTCCACCAGGGAATCCAGTTGACTCATGAATAGTTTTTCCCATTCTTGGTCTCTGGTCTCTCGCTAGTTCCACCTTGAATGACTACACTGCCTTTGGGTAGGCATTTTCCGCCAATTCCATGACACTATGGGCAAACACTTTAAAATGCTTTGACACCTAGCTCACAACTACAGTTTATAATCTCCCTTTGTTTTGCCTAAATCAAATCTATCAACTAGCTTAGTTAGTGATTCTGAAAGCTTTAGAAGCTCACTGCTTTATAAGTTGGTTGATCCAACTGCGTGAGCAAATACATCCTATGATCTGAGGGTTTGATGTGTAGCAGATTTGCATACTGAAGAAACTTCAACAGCCACGTTTTGAAATTTTTACCCACACGCAGCGTTTGAACATTTCCCTGGGATTTTGTTTTGGTAGAAATTGCCATGCTCTACTTCAAGGCCTGGGATAAGGTATTCCACAGCCATTGAATTTCTGAGCTCTCCTCCTGCGATGAACTTGTTTGTGGTTTCTTGGGTTGGTGTTTTGGTGCAGTTTTTGCTGGAGGACAGTCTTCAGCACCTTCAAGCATTTTCTATTCGTTGTCACTCATTTGCTGCTTAAATCTCAGTCCGTTGCCACCAATGTAATAAACGTCAAACAGGAGGGATCCTGACTGCTTTCTTTTATTTGTAGGTAGCCAAGAACATCGGTTTAAACAAAGACCAAGCCCTGAGGCTTTTCAGAAAACATGCACATATGTTTCCGGCCTAATCCTACACTATATATCTGGCACGAAATGTTTCATTACAAAACATATGCCTCACAATTTTTTTGTCATTCCATCTGTTTTCCTAGCAAACTGATGTGTGCAAGAAAACCTCCCAAAACTTGTGATTTACCAAGTAAACTTGTTTGACAAGTTTTCATTTCTGACCAGTCAGCAACAATGTTGCGTCAAGTGCCTGAAAACTGGACTTGTACAGCTGCAGGAGTCACATTAGTCTGTCACACATTCTCTTCGCTATCAGTGTGACTCGCAAAAATATGCCATGATAACACACTAAACCATCCAATAAGATATATAATTTCATTTTCCTACCATAGATCATCTTTAGGAATGAGTGTTGATGATTTTGTTGAAGATGAGGCTCCTAGTTGTCCTGTTGAAACAGAGGTTAGTCGATTGTATTATTTTACAGTCTTTACACTGATAGTCAACTGGTCAAATCTTAAAGTGTTAGTACATGAAAATGCCCTTTAACATGTGTCCAATTTGTCGTAGCAATGGTTGTGAAGGACAATATTTGTTGCTAGGATGTGACTTCTTTCTAAAATTCATTGTAAAATGTACTGACTATTCTTGAAAGGTAATGACAAATCAGTGTGTATAGCATTTCAGTCACATGACTGTACACCTCTGTAAACCCCAAGACATGTCCAGCTTGTAAAATAACTGGTTGATGAATTATTTAACAGTACAATAAATGTTGTATTGACTTTTGATGCAAATTCCTGCTCAGCTAATTATAATCCATTATTTTTTATACAGTTATCCACTCACAATATACAGTGGAACCCCTGTTTTATGATATGGCGAGGGGGCAGTAAAATCAGAATGTTGTTGTAAATTAGAGTAGAATGTTAATCATTTAATCGAAATATCATTAAATTGACCATCATAAAATTGGGGTTCCATAGTACAATGTATTGGTTCCTTTCACAAGCACAATGAAATATCAAATTCAATCTCTAAGGTCTTGATGGCTTAAACCTTTGGCTCATCACTGTAAATGCCCATAAATATCTCCCACTATTTAGCTCCTAATTCTGATCTGAAAAAATTTTGGTGTCAGTCTATGATGTATTACTTTTATGTATAATTTCTTCTGGCTGTCTCAAAAAATCCCCACATCACCAAGTTTCTTTAAATGTCACTCTCACTGACGATTTTTCAGTCCAAATTCTCTCAGACATTTCCAGTTCGATTTCCCTTATCCATCTGATTGCTGCCTACCTTGTTCTAGTATTTTAATTAATAATTAATGCTCTGTTACGGTATGTTGTGCATCTTGTATTGCTCAAATTTCTCTCATAACATAGTTGGCAATAGTTGTAGAAAATCCACGGGCAACATCAACATCAATTACCTAGAATTAATTTATCTTTCGTCATTTTGCAGTCACTCAGTAATGAATGGAACATTTCATTTTAGTTAGCAAAAAGACCAGAGTTATTGTAAAATGTGCATTTGGTGTACCAATCTGATTTCTGAAATTTCTTGACTGACACCTATACCTGTAGTTCATGCATGGTAAACAAATGAATTTAGTACCACATACAGATAAAATTAAATGTGGCCTCAGAGAAAAGGAAATGTTCAATTTGATGATGTTGATAGAGAGATTAAGCATTGTGGGCAAATGTGAATCTGTTTTCCATTTACTTATCATTTACTGTTCATTAGAATTTGGTAGATTCACGCCAATTCTAGCCATAACAATAATATTGTTTTAAGGTTTTTTTTATCTTTGGAAATTTCTCAACTTGAATCTCACGTTTGCCATAAACCCAATGCTTAATCTCTCTATTAACACAGCTCTGTTTGGCATTGTTGTTTTTTTAATGATTATTTAGAGACTCCTTGGGATTACCAATACAAATATTCAGGTGAGTCGCGTCAATAATTATTCATAACTAGTCCTTGGAGCTAATTGGTCGTAATTTTATCGTTATCTTACATGATTATTATTTCTCCAACACTCGCACTTTATAAGTATGTTATGTGTATCCTCTAAGATAGATAGCAAAATATAACAATCAATATTCTGGCAGGCGTAATGTTCAACAAGTTTCTGAGTTTTTGAAAACGATCTCTAGCAAGTCCCTTTGTCATGACGTCTGCCAACATATAATTTGAAGGACAATAAACAACTTTAACTTCATTTGAGGCTATTGTTTCACGAATAAAGTGAAAGTTCTTTGTTATGTTATGAAATCTTGCTGGGTTCCTTGGTAACTCTATGGCACCTTGATTGTCTTCCTTCAACACTGTGGGTGAGTCAGCTTTGCAACCAAGATCAGCCAATAGCTTTCGTAAGTAGATTGCTTCCTGTGTAGCTTGACTTAAGGCAACATATTCTGCCTCTGTAGTGGATTTAGCGACTGTAGCCTGTTTCTTGCTGCATCAACTGACTGTGGAATTGGCGACTTTGAAAACATACCCGGAAGTAGACCGTCGATTGTCTGCATCCCCTGCCCAATCAGCATCGAAAAAACCATACAAATCACACTTATCATCATTTACTGAAAATTTTAGACCATAACTTAGTGTTCCTTTAATGTATCTGAGTATTCGTTTTACTCCCATCCAATTTTCCTTACTTGGATCAGACATAAATTGTGATAAAGTTACAACAGCTGCAGCATTGTCTGGTCTCCTAGTAGTTGATACGTAGGTGAGGCACCCTGTAGCTTGTTGGTAGATGCTTTTGTCACATCGTTCTTCTTCTTCTGTTTGCTTGCGAAACTTCTTTCCTGATTCTAGCGGAGTTGACATAGGCTTGCACTCTTTATTCCAAATCGTTTGAGCAAATCTTTGAGGTACTGCCCTTGACTAATGGTCAGTGTCTTAGCAGCTTGGTCTCTTTTGCTTGACTTTCCAAGGATAAAGTGAATTTATCCCAGATCAACCATTTCAAATTCTTTGCATAAGGATTCTTCCTCTGCTTTGAGCATTTTAACATCATTGGATACAGGAATGATGTCATAGACATAGACTGTTAAGATGACAAAACTGATGAATCCATCTTCTCTCTTGACTGTTTTCACATAAATGCACTCATCTGTGGGGCTTCTCTGATAGCCATTCGTTACCAAGAAATTGTCGAGCGTTTGATTCCAACATCTAGCTGACTACTTGGTTGACTGTTCCATTCAGGAAAGCTGTCTTGACATCCATTTGATGAGCTTCTATCATATCTATCATATGCATTTGCCAGGGCATGCAGTGTTCTGATACTTGAGTATCTGGCAACAGGAGAGAAAACTTTTTCATAATCTACTCCTTGTGTCTGTGAATATCCCTGTGCAATGAGTCTTGCCTTGTATCAGTTAATGTTACCATCAGCATCTCATTTAACCCTTAGAACCCATCTCGATCCTACTATGTTAGCAGCCTTCAGTGTTCCCAGCTTCTGCCCAAAACTTCAATGGCATCTTTGCATGAATGAGCATGGATCTTGCAGACTCAACTAGTGTGCAATTCAGTCTTTCTGAAACGCCATTCTGGTCTGGTGTGTACGGGTTGGAGAGCTGATGTGCAATCCCCTTTTTCCATCATTGTCACATATTCCACGAACTTTGATAACACTTCACACTTGCTCTTGATGAAATATGCTGTGACATATCTGGTGTAATCATCAGTAAACGTAAGGACATACTTGCTTCCACCAACAGAATCAACATTCATTGGGCCACAGATCGGGAGGTCACTGTGTACAAGTTGGAGGGGCTGGTGTGTTCCCTTTTCACTTTTCTTGGAAAAAAGGATTCTGTACATTTTCTCTTGTGCACATTCTTCACACTCTCTGTTCACTTCGCCACTTGAACAGCTCATGCCTTCAACAAGCTTGCCTTTTATCAACCGATCAATATAGCAGTAATTCAAATGACCAAATGATATTGCTTTGGTGATGTGAGCCTCTCCATCTGTGTTTACCATGTAGAGTTTACTGTCCACCAAATGTCCAGTGGTGACTTTTCTTTCATTCTTGGATATGATACACTTTCTTTCATCAAATAAAACTTCTGCTCCCTTTTGCGTCATAGCAACAATGGACAACAAGTTCTTTGATAAATTGGGCACATACAGTACTTTGTTTAAATTCAACTGCATTTGATTCATCATAGCACGAAAGGTTCACCTTTCCTTCTCCAAAAGCTTCAATTGCTCTGTTGTCACCAAGGTAGATCTTTAAGGGCTGCTCATACTCGTAGTTATCGACAATTAAATCTTTCTCAAAGGTTGTATGCTTTGTACCACCGCTGTCAATGTACCAACGAATATCTCTATTCCGACAAGTTGTGCTGAAATTCAAGGCTATACTGTCTTCTTGCTGCTTGCAATCATGTTCTGCAATGCTCAAGTGACCTTGTCTTCGATTGAGTGGGCAGTTCTTAACAAAATGACCGATTTGTTGACATTTGTAGCATTTCAAACCTTGGTTGGTCCTTGACGGTCACGTTGCCTGAAACTTTCTCTTTTTCCAAAATTTCGACCACCACGTCGAGTTTCTCGCTCTGGAAGATGCAAAATTACCTTTGTCAGAGAGCAATGCTTCATTTCAACAAGAGCTGTTGTTGCCTTCTTTTTCTTCTCGTTTCTTGTATTCTTCGATCAAAAAACCATTGACATTGTCCCAATTCAATTCATCCGTTTTGGTAGCGTTTAGACTACTGATGAAGTTATCATACGACTCAGGAAGGCTTCCAAGAATTACAGTTGCAAATCTTGGCGAAGTAATTTCTTCCTTTAACTCACGCAACTGCTCGGCCAACAAAGTCATGTACGTCAAGTGCTCTGTGAGATCAGTTCCCTCTCTCATTGTAGTGGCATAAAACCTGCAATCCAAACACATTCAAACTGTTTGCGTAGAATTTCCCAAGCTTCACGAGGATCGGCCGTCAAGGAAATATGAACTTGCAAACTCTTGACAACACTGAGAGCAATTAAAGAGTAAGCTTTGTGCGAAGGAAGATCGGATGCATTTTGCACTGTAACTGCCACACTAACACCAGGAGCAGTTTCTGTTCCTTCAACAAATCGCCATAAACCATGTTCCATCAACACAAACTTAATATCATATTTCCACGATTGATAATTTTTTCCATCCAAGCGCCCAATTTTAGTGATTTCCACCATCTGAACAAACAAAGTCAACACGTCTTCGAAGAACAATCCGAACGTGATATTTTGATACCACCATTCCTCAAGGTTCCTGTCGTCCCGAGAGTTATTTTCTGCGTTCTTCTGGGCGTTATGCGGGGTGTTATTCTGGGCCCATAACCTATTAAGAAACTATCTTTAATCCGAACCGAAAGAAGGTTACAACTAGAACTGAACAACATAAGCCACAAGACGAGAGAATAAATCACAAGAGAATCCCCTAGAGAGTGTCATATGATCTTAATCAATGAACCACATTTCATGATTATTATTTCTCCAACAGTTTATAGGTGGCCGTTTACAGCATCCAAACCGTTCAATTTCTGTCCTACTCATTGCATATTCCTGGCAACTTGAAATCTTATTGACAGCTTTGCCTTTGTATCAAAATGCTATTTTGTCTCAGTTAAGAAAAAACTGTCACTCAGCTACTAGAGACCATTGCTTTAGAAAATGGGGAATGGGATAACTTTGAGGACAAGACTTCTCAACACTAATTAGTGCCTGCATGAATCAGCATCACTTTGGCGGGAAAACATGTTACAGTAGGCATCGTCATTCTAAAGTACTACAAGTTTTAGTTAGAATGTTGTGGTGGCAGAAAGGGAGATATTCTTTCATAAAAATGACCATGCCAACTTTTATGGTGGAAAAACGTACAATGAAGCTTTCTGGACTGAATATTATTTGAGAATACGCGAAACAAAAATAATGTTAAATTTTGTCCATGTAGACATCCTTGTCGTGGAATCTAAAGGTCTCTAATGACAAGCAGCTGACTATAATTCCTGCTGACAATTTGCAGTCTCATGCATGTCTCTAAGCTGACTTATCACCATCAGAGCCAGCCGAGCCTCTAAATGACCCACAGTGTACAGCTGTAGCGCCCACCCCAGCAAACTTGATTCTCAAAACCAAGCATCTGTCTTTAACTTCAATCAAAACCTATGCCAAAATCCTCAGCAAAACACTGCATTAATAAAACACATTTAAATGATGGGTACAAGATACACAGTGTAGCAACTTAGGTCTCACGTGCTTGTTCCACCATACATCACGTGACTTACAGCAGTTAGTTAGAGGAGAACCTGTGGGTAATCACCCAACGCTTCACTACCTCCTCCTTATTTAAGCACTGTCCTATTACTGGCCCACTTTCAAAACACTTCTGACTGAGCCGAAATCAAATTCAATTTAACACAATAGATTAGGAGTCTCTAGCAACTCTTCTTTAACATGCCAAATGTCTACAGTTCTTAGGAAATAAATGGTGTCAACTTGTCCTTGTCTAGTTCCCTAGACTGTCCTTTGGTGCTTATCAGTCCTTGAACACTTCAGGTTAATCAGTCACCTAAGTTCAGTGTTGACTTAGTGGTTTTCACTTGAAGATCTCCTACGAACACTGGTAACCATCCCAGGTAAAACTTGTGTAGTCTACTCATCTGTTTGATGGCCAACACCCTCCCAGTTATGGTCATCTGCAACAGAAGCTGACAATTCTGCATGAAGTTCAGGTTCCCTGACAATTTCAAATTTTCCTATGTAGACAATTTAAAAAAGTTCCATCAATCTGGCAAAGATACTGGGTGTGTTGCAAAGCCCAAAAGGCATCACTCATTTCCTGCCTTGACGATGGGCTTGTTCACATCATTACGTGTTGTTGGTCCCCCTGAACTGTGGGCAACACCCTGCTAGTGTTTTCCAAGCCCAGGTTGGCTCAGTCATGTGACTTGCACTTTAGGCAGTTACAACAGTAATGGCCAAATTCTTTGCAATCCCAGCATGGACAATTGCAGTTGAAATAATGCGAAGTAGGTGGGCATTGTTGGCTACCAAAAGGATTCACAGACAATGACTGGGAGAGTGCTGTATCTGCTTAACTAACTGTTACAGGGCAACTTACTGAGTCTCCTGATGTTGTTATTGCACTTGAATGTCAGAATGTAATATGTCCTACTGAGCTTAAAACAAATCGGGCTCTTCTCCAACTTCATCCACAGAGGGAACCTTTGGAAGGCTTCTTCACCCATCTCCATCCAAGAGACGAAATTGCCCAAAGTTCATAAGCCAGCAACAGGGCTTCATCAAGGGTGTGTGGTATATCTCTTAGTAGTCTAAGCCTGTCGTCTTGATCTTTGATTGCATCAATAAAGTGCTGGAGAGCAAATCTTTCTTGGGTGTCCAGAGGTCAGTCTGGATGTAGACCAGATATCTGGAGCAAAAGCTTGAACACTTTTGTTTCCCAGTGGCTATTGTTGTGCAGAGTTACCGGGTGTAACTCGCTCTATTTTTCAGCATCAAACGGAAGCTCCAATTTGAGAGGCATAAATTCAACAGTCTCTATCAGAAATACCATTAAGGAACTTTTGTAGTTAACCACGCAGGCCTGCAGCAAGGAATCTTCACCACTCCAACCATTAACAGCAGAGCAATGCTCAAAGTTTTTTCAATCCGCAGAATTTTTAAGTGTGTAAGCAAATCAGTTGAATAAGTATCCGGTTGGCTCTTCGATATGCAAATGGTTTAAAGGATTTACTGGCTGAATGAGTCATTCCTTTGAATTTTGAATCCACAAGTGAGTTTTCTGCCATTGTAAATGGGCGAAACCACAGTAGCAAACACACAAGGAGGCTTTGGACACGAAACAATGCAAAACATTAATTTTCACTCTTGCAAACCATCAAAATATGGCCATTGACCATAGGTATCCATGAAGTTTGTCTTTGTTTTACTGCTGCCACTAATATAGCACTGAAATCCTCAGTAAAACACAGCATTAACAAAACACATTTTTATTACTGGTAGAAGATTCAGTCTTGTTAACTTAGTTCTGATTATTATTCAAGATGGCAGCTTGAAGAAGGAGTATTCTCACAAACACAACTTCTATTGCTACTAACAGCATTAGATCCAGCACCTTTAAGCTGTACTGATCTTGTACTTTCATATGTCACTTGAATTTCCAACAGCCACAATCCTCCAGGCAACATCAGTCTTCATCACAACAACTGCCATTTAACCTACAGCAGCTTGCCAATCCTTCCTTGTTGCAAGACTTATTGCCCTACCCTCGTCTTTAATTCTCATACCCCAACTTCAACCCAGTAGAGTAAATGATATATATTTTTTGTAGTTTTTAGGCCTTGAAATGGGGTGCAGAAAATAATAAAATAAATTTCCGCAGAGTACTGAATTCTTGAAAAAAGTACAAGTGTAGAATTTGCAAACCAGTTTGTCTACACCTGAAAAAAATGGTAAAAAGTCTGATTAAGCTTCTTTTTTCAAATCATAACAAGTGCGTAATTCCTTAAAGTGAGTAGTACTCAAAATTATTATTTATACTTCAACTGTCCTTTGTGATTATACAGGAGTTACAAATGAAGTACTTTTGCCACAGACACCTAAGATATGTATGGAATGAGGCTCAAGGGGAGTTTGAACTACTGAGGTTTGTTTTAATTTGTGCGTATGAATAAATATGTATCATTAATAGAAAATGTGTTTAAATAAATCTTTAATTATTATTTATTATTAAACATTTAATCTTGTTAAAAATGTGCGGACCATAATTTATTAAGACATAATGAGCTATTAAGAGTGAGTTTCCGAGTAAAGAGTTTTTTCTAAAGTTTATTTGGTGGGGAAAATTGGTGTACAAATAAGTGCATTAATTTTTAAATATGCATTTTCATATCCATAAAGACTTTGCTTTTTGTATTCTTAGAGGTCTTGATGTTGGTACGTTTCCAGCACATTTTTATCAGTCATCCTCTGGTCTGCATTGGGATGTCATTGAAAGAAGGTAAACATATAAATAATCGTACATCATTTAACAGAAAACTACTTTTATGCATAATATGGGTCGTGCCCAAAACTGTAAGGATTTTTTCCTAAAGTGAATGGAAATGTCATATGGTGGGTTAATTCAGGGCTGTCTTTAAGAGCCGGGAACCGGGGATCACCCCCAGCTACTTTCATTGGAAAATAGAAGAAAAATAGAACAAAAAGTTTGATTCCCTGCCTATTAACCCCTGTTAACTGTTATTTTTGTTCCTGATTAATAAACAATGTACATGGAAATTTCTTGAGTCGGATTGGGTAAGAGCAATACTGGTTTAAATTAACACAGTGCAAAAACAAGGAAAAATGGAAATATCTCAGGGATTGGGGCACTCTAATAAGCTGATAACCAATGCAAAATCTACAAGACCCAATCAGGAGCCACAACTCATGCCCAGCCTCAGCACAGCCAAAGCACAGCACAACACAGCCAATTAAGTGATCCTGTATGATCAGTCATCAGGGTCTTGAGGTTGACCGTAAATAAAACAGGTCCTACTAATTTTGACTAGTAAATTTCTTTGTATATTATTAAAGGGTAGTCATACAAATTTCTTGTTCAGTTTCATTTTGTGATTTATTTACACTTGTGTGTTTTTCAAAAATCTCAAATTAATTGTGGTACTGTGTGAAAAACACACTGGTGCAAATAAATTCTAAATTGAACTTGAAGTCATATGATTAGCCATACTTATAACATGATATTCAGAAATGTGCCGTAAGGATATCCAACATTGCTTCAGTGTATCGATATACAGTAGTGTTTCACGTTATTGAATACCTCTTGAATTTGGTAGTTTTATGACTGGATATCCACACATTAATATCTTCTTATTGCCCAATGCTTTGTAAACAATGTACGTTCACCCTGTAGTTAATAAATGGTCACCATGAATAAATTAATTAGTTATGATTTTTCTTCCTTTAGGCAAAGCCTTTATGGTCCAAATGTGATCGATGTTGATGTCAAATCATATGTGCGACTCTTTTTTGAAGAGGTACTAATTATGATACTCAATAAAAGGCTACATACAAAACATGCACATGGTGGACATGTGTATTTGAACATGCATTTCCTTTAAATTCAGATAGTAAAACAAATAGGCCATTTCCCAAGCTACTGTTTTAAAGTGCAATATCCATTGACAATATATCGATTTAGCCAGGGCTAAAAGCGAAGCTCTGGTTAATAATACGTGTAAACAAAACAAATTAAATCGTGTAACGCTAAACGGGGGACGACAATGAAAATGGCTTCAAGACTAATAGATCTAATTAGCAAAAAAACAAATTGCACGTGCAGCACACTTTTTCTTTGAATTAGCAAAAAGCAAATTTGCACGTGCAGCACGCTTTTTTGTCTTTCCCTTGCCGTTGTTTTGCACGACTACAACACTGTTTTGTACGACGAAAACGTCAAACTTCCTAGTTACACAGTATTTATATGGAGAAATTGTCGTATGTGCTTACCCAATATTTTGTTTCCAGTGTTCATGTTCGCTTTTATTTTTCACTGCCTTTCATTTTCAGCTTGCTGGCCGCTAGCATTTCTCATTTTCTCACCGCCGCTTTGAATTTCCATGTTTTTCTTCCAACGAATTTTCAATAACTCGCTCTAGCTCTTTCTCTGTTATCCACGTTAGTGTACACATAAAAAATAACGCCGAAAAAGACACAACTTTTTTCTTTCTAAAAGTCCGGGCGGCCATGTGATTTCCTTCCAAATAAAACCTTGAGTTGCATTTGGGTTCCCATACCTGTTGATTGAGTTATTTTACATTGGTGTGCCTGTGGTGCGGACGGACGGTCGCTCGCTCGGTGTACGGTCACGTGATTACCAAATTTTCTGGGATGGGTAGATTACCACATTTCCTTAGGATCTCCGCTATGAGAATTACTTTTGTTCTCATGTAAATGACACTCATTTTCACAAGATAGGTTTTGTACACTCGCCCTCGTTTTGAAAGTGAGAGTTTTTAGAGCTCAGAATTTCCACCATTGTTTACAAGTTAGGCGAGGTGCTGAGAGGAGATAGCCCCTAGAGGATGGCACTACAGCTCATCACTAGCTAGCCAGCAAGTAAGACTGCCTGTGTGGCTGGCACTGCCTGCAAAACAACCATGCAATACCACAACCGCACACCCACAATAAACCCAAGGCTTCCCTCTCAATGCAATAAAACAAGAGATTTGGTTAAAAGAACGAGCAGGTTGATTTGCCCAGGAAGAGCCAAAAAATGTGACTGATCCGTAGACAAACAGACTAGAGGACCCACAGATTCTTCTCTTCCATCACTAGAAACTCCATTTTTGTAAGCACAGTCCTAGGTAGGCCTGTGAGTCTTGTAAGGCTGACAATGACTTAGAGAAACAACCAGAAAACCCCCAAGTGAATGGCACATTGACCAAAGCATCCTGCTCTGTTATGAGATGCATAGTTAGCCAAGAAGGGCTCATGGTGGTATGAGAAAACTATCAATTGCGATCTCTAAAGCACCAGATTCAGTGTAGCCAGAAGTCTTGATTAACTTGATACACAAACAATGACACAATTCACAATATGTACTGAGTTGCCAAAAAAAAATTAATGATATTTAATCCCAGGAAGCAATGATATAGGGGTGCTGGCACAATTCACAGAATGTACATAGTTGTAATCTTGATAATAATCCTTGAAAGACTATCAATCCCATAAGACAGTATGATACCCAATGAGGTTTAGGGTCTTGATGGCGGGGGAGGGGGGAGAGGCTTGAGGGGGGGGTAGGCACTCTTCAGTTTCTATTATTATTACACTCTTAGACAAATGCATCAGATTTGTGAAATCACCCCCAGAGCTCTTAAAGGTTGAATTAATCCATGTTTTGATTTTAGTTTGCAGATCCATTTTATGTATTCCAGCTTGGGAGCATTATCTTATGGTCAATGGATGATTATTATTACTATGCAGTGGTTATTTTAATTGTAACTCTGATTTCCCTTGCCATCACAATATATCAAACAAGAAAGGTACAAAATTCCTTTTAAGGTACTAAAATATATATTATTTGCCAATTATTTTTCTAGAATTTCATGTTCATAAGTTATCTGTGTGTGTTGCCTGTTTCATTGTTTTATGATGGCTGCCTTGGAAAACCAAAATAAGTAACATTTACACTTGAAAAAGATGATATGGTACTCATCGCTTTGCAGATATTAGCGCATGGTTAACAACAGGAATAGCATGAGGCAATGCCGCAAAAAACTTGTTTTTGCTATTATTGTTTAACAGTATATACCACTTATTAACTGAGAGTGAGGTCATTACAGGGAAATCTTAGACCGAGGCCTTGAAGTATTGACTGAGCAATAGCGAGGTCAATGCATCAAGTCTGTGGTCTGAGATTTCCCGGTAATGACCGAACAGACAAGGTTAATAAGTCATTAATTTTATTATATGGCATTTTTATTATGGACCTGAGCCTGCGATCAATTAAAACTAATAACTGGTCAGCAGATAACTTTAAAAAGCACGTCACCTCAATGAGTTGTACACTTCAGCCTGCGATACAGTCATGTGACACTGGTCAGTGGGTACCCCTTTTAAAAGCTGTCAATTGACCATAACATGGATGTCCATGATGAGGTCCACTATCAAGCAATGTCGTACCAAGAGTCTTAGGGCTTTCTGGTCAGCGTGGCAAGGCTGGCTTGCCCCGCTGACCAAAAAGCTAGCAGACTCCGGGTATGAAATTGACTATCAAATTAAACTGAGATTGTTTTTTCCTTGGACGCCCACGCTGTAGCTAGTAATGCCCGGTCACTATAAGAAAACAATTCCTGCTTAGCAACCGATTAGAGCGCTTGTACCACTGTAACCACATAATAATGTTGAATGTTGACTCAGACCCTACAAGATATCCAATTTATTATTGTTCTAATGGCGAAAAATGTTTTCAGCACCTAGTGACATTAAGGAACATGGTGGCATTGTCAGAGAGAGTAACCGTACTCCGGAATAATGCTGGTGAGTTTTTTATAATTATTGTAAATCCATTAATTGTGCATTTAAATAGTATATTTAGTTTTACATTTTGAATCATTGTGTTTATAGCAGATTTGTAGTACACATTGCCAAACATGTAATCAAAAAGTAGTTTGGAAATAGGCTGAGAAACAATCAGATCTGATCAAACTTTGACTATAGTGGAAAAAGGTATTTTACAAGATTATTTAAATCATTTAAAGTTATGAGGTTTTTGACCTCTGACCACTCTTATAACAAAAGCCTTGAAAACAAACAACAGAGAGACGATTAAGCATCTCCTCAGTGCTTTGTTTTACAACTCCCACACCAAAAAAACAAACATAAAAAAATCTATCAGGGGTTGGCTGCACTATAAATTCATTAAAAAGGCAACACACATTTTTTTTTTCTTAAGTCAATATACATTTGTTTTTTTTTTAATTTTGCCGTGATGAGTGATTCAACATATTTCATACTGGATTATTCCGTTGGTTAAGGTTTTCAATTTCCAAAGCTAGGTCAGTTTGTGGAGAATCCAAAAAATATTTATTTTTATTAGATTTATTAGAATGCAGGGTTAACAAGGCTTGTTGAAATATTTCATATAAGACATTTACCAGATGGTAAATGCAGTTAATGGCACATGAAGCCCCCGGGGGGGGGGGGGGGGTAGGCTAAGGTAGCCTGCCCCAATGTATGCTCTGTTTGATCTTTAAAGCCTTATTTATGAATGAAAGCACGCTAATTTTGGGATACAAACTAAAGCTGTGCGTAGTTGGAACGTGGCTAATTTGTCGTATGTTTGTTATCGTACTTTTCTTAGAATCGCGCAGATTGGTCCCTGTTTTCAAGACCCTATTCATGGCTCGACTTTAATCATGATAAGACTAGGTAGCTCATGGTACAACTGTATTCACTGGTCGAGATTTGAGACACTGTCTAGCTATAAAGTTCTGCTATTTCAGACCTGGTCATTATTCGTCTAGCTTGCACGAAAGCAAACAGTTACAGTAATTTTGTTACAGGGCTGTGCCCCCCCCTTATTACGCCATATTGTAGTTATTGTCTTATTTGCCTGCGTGCGCTATTTAGTTGTGTTACCTTTTCATGCGTATCTTAAGCGGAATAGTGACATTAACTGCACATAAAGTTGCCAAAAAATGCCCGGCAAAGATAACTGATGTTGTTGCACGTGACCATAAGTTAATTAAGGAATGGCCATTGTAATTTTCTTCTTACATGGCCCTGTACTGCAGGTAGATGTAGTTACACATATTTCCACTACTAATTATTTTATTCCTCTTTCAACATGACAAAGCTCAAGTGGATGTGTCATCTGAAGATCTTGTCCCTGGAGATGTGCTAGTTATTCCACCAAATGGAGCCATGATTCATTGTGATGCTGTTCTTATTAGTGGCAACTGTATTGTAAACGAGAGTATGTTGACAGGTACAGAATATGATATATTGCTGAATGATCAAGATTCCTTTGAAACAACATAAACGTCTTTCTATTATAGTCCATTTTTTCAGAAGACCTCAGACTTTGTACGGTGCTGGTCATAAAAGTCAAAAATTCAAATAAAACAGAAAGTCAAATAGAATGTCAGTGCACATGGTTTCCAGCTACACAACATCTGGATCATGGTGGTCTCCCGTGCGGCCATTTTCGTTTCCTCACGCATCGTTTGCGTGGCAAGACAAAATCGGCTGCTGAGACCCCATTTTGCTTGACACATTATGGCAGAGTCGGGCAGTTTGTTCTAATCACGTATGGTTTTTAGAAGGAAAAACAAAGATGCAGGTAATAGTTGATAGTTGAACAAAACTCATGGCATTTTACGACTGTTTGAGTTGACAAGCAGTGAACCTTGAATTTCCGCAACACATTGGTGATCCTGGACTGCCCATGACTACCCAGTTAGTGTGTATTCTAGGCTATAGTTTGACTAATTATAAGCAAGTCAAGCAACCAGTATGCATATATTAAAGGCAAAGCTGTCCTTTTTCTTTGGAGAAAGTTAGTTCCGTGTGCCACAGTACCCTTCACAGTCGTCAGTGCTAAATTTTATCTCCATGATGCTAGTCAAGGTACTCAAAGGAGTATGCTCCATCTTGTGAATCTCAAGAGCGTTACTTGCAAGTGACAAGCTATATACGTATTTATCAATATCTAGGTGAGAGTGTCCCAGTCACCAAAACTCCTCTGCCACACAGTAAAAGATCATCAAGCTCTTCTGCAGAACAAAAAGAAAAACAGTACAATCCTGAAAGGGATAAGAGGCACACTCTGTTTAGTGGAACAAAAGTAATACAAACTCGTTATTATGGCCGCCATGCTAGAGTTCTTGCAATGGTCATTAGAACTGGTAGGTAGTATTTCCTTTTAGGTGAGTAGCATTGGTGTCACTTTTGGATTTTCATTGATCACTAATACATTATGTCTTAACAAGTTCCGCGACTTTGGATCACTTTCAAAGCACTTCTTGTACTGCAAATTTCTTGCAGTTTTTAATTCTTCAATCTGAAATGTGGAATTTTTTTGTGTGTTAGTTCTTCCTAATTCGTTGTTCAGTGACGATAATTATATCACCTGTTTTGCAGGATTTTCCACTACAAAGGGTGGCTTAATTCGTTCTATTCTTAACCCCAAGCCTGTGGGCTTTAAATTCTTCAGAGACTCCATGCGATTTATTGGTATCTTGGCTATACTTGGTAAGTAGCGATCAAAAATTCAAATGACTTATGTAGAGAAGTTCAAAACGGTTTGTTCATTTACTCTTTTTCCTTTTAACAAAATCAAGCAATGAACAGGGCTTCTGGTTTTCTATTTGGAAAAAGACAAAATAGCCAACAAACAATGTAAATTATACACCTCGTTGTTTTTTTAAAGAAATATTAGCAACTGATCAGTGAATTTTTTTTAATCAGCATTGGTTGGATTCTCCTACAGTGTGTACGTTTTTGTCAAGCAAGGGGTAAGATTCTAATTTGTAGATAAACTAGTCCTTTTTATTGGTATGTAAGTCGACCGTATTTCTTATAAATTGATGTGATGTCATTATTGTTTTACGCACTTGTATTAATTGCACTGACAAAATGTAATAGGTTTGAAATTGCTTTTGAAATGACCTACTGGCTGAAGTCTATCATTTTCAGAAGAAAGTTTGTTATTATGAAAGGAAATATAATAACATAACCTCAAGATGAGGAAAATAAAATTTTAAAACATCTTGAAAAGGTAAACTAGATGTTGACCTTGTGAAGTTTCTCTAAATAAAGAGATAAAACCGTTATTAGCTATGTACAATAGAAATATATAAAATAGGACATTTAAAAACTGGACTATTTACCAAATATAAATTGAATTACTAATTAACAATTACAACAATAGATGAACAACTACAGATGGATATTTAGGAAGCGCTTCAGCGCACTCTTAAAACGGTGCAAGCTCCCAGCCTCAACAATAGACCCTGATAGACTATTCCTGTCCCAAACGATTAGAATAGGAAAATAATATTTATATGGATTACTCTTTGCTGGCTTAACATATAGCTTATCTAGGTAGTTTGCGCGGGTTGAATTGCACTTGGTAAATTAAAAAAGATCGTCAAAGTTTAGTTTGTTTATGCCAAAACCGATCTTGTAGTATTCAACTAAAGTAAGAAACAATCTACGTGTTTCGAGTAGCCTGCGTGGCAGGCGCAAAAAGGGGAGGGGGAGGGGGGAGGGGGGAGGGGGGAGGGAGAAAGGGAAAAGGGAAGGGAGCGCCTGCTCTAAGAGCCTATGTTTTTGCATAACGCCCACCAATTTTCTAGTAATCCGATTACGCTTACTGTCAATCAAGTGTCGCTACACTCGCCATTGCAGAAAAACATTACACTCACGGACTAAAGAAATTCGCTTAGTTATTCAGATCCAGAGGGCACTTTGGAGAAAATTGGAACCCTTATTCAGCCGTAATAAAAAAAAGCTTTACGCTTCAGAAGAGGTCAAAGAAATGCGCTTGCATCAGAAGGTAAATCCTGCCGACCAGAAAACAATAACTACAGTCAATCGATATGTATGTCATGACCTCTCAGTGTGAAACATGCGTTTAAAATAATATTTGCCCAGTATAAATGCAGAACCTTCCAGAGCATAATCTACCCAGCTGGGTAGCCCAACAATTCCATCTCCTGCAACTGGTCTTCGATAATACTTTTCAGTGGCGAAATGACGAGAATCGCCGCATTACCATTTAGCTCGTAGTTCTTCGCGCGTACAAACATTTGGTAAATTAAACTCTTGCCGTATCCGGTCCGCAAAACCGCCAGAACATCTCTGTCGGCTAAAAGAGCCCTTACTGCTGATTCTTGCTCTGGTTTTAAAACAGTTTCTCTACCACTAGATAAATTCACATCTCTCAAAGCACTCTCTACGACATCCACGTCTACCGCTGCCAGCTCGACTGTTTGTTGATTTGTGAAACGCGCATTTCAATATGTTACTCATTACGGCTCAGCCAATCAGGAATTTGCGGACGCCAGCGTCCGCAGATATGAACAAAAGGGGGTTCTTAGAGCAGGCGTCCCCTCCCCCTCTCCCCAATCCCCCTCCCCTTTTTCCCTTCCTCCTTATCCCCTACCCCCTACCCCTTTCGACGCCTGCTACGCAGGCTATGTTTCGAGTGAAGGCCACTTCAGCTTCCCTAAACGATCTTCGTATTCCATCTCCCCGCATTTTTGCCCGAGAGCAAGCTGAGAGGTTCTTCACCGAACTTTTTCTAACGCTAGCACATCCTTAGGCAAAAATGAATTCCAAACCAGTGGAGCATATTCAAGAACCGGGCGCATAAGAGATTTGTATAACGTAGAGAATGCACCGGGATTCGACCAGCTTACCGTTCTGTGAACCAGACCCAATAATTTGTTGGCTTTATTAACGGTCACATTAACATGTTCGCTCCAAGGTAAACCCGAAGAAACCATAATGCCCAAATCCTTGATGCACTCTCATACCCAATAAGTGTGTAGGGAGGAGAGGTCACATTTGTGTGTTATTCGTAAAACTTCGCACTTATCGAAGTTGAAACGCAGTTGCCATTTTGTTGCCCAGGATACTAACTGATATACACCAAATTGTAGGGTTTCAATGTCCCTTGCTATGTTTGACAGTTCTCTGTGTACTTTGGTGTCGTCAGCAAACATTCATAATGTAGAAGAGATGTTAGATGACATGTAATTGACGCAAATTAGAATTAAATTGAACCCAGGAGCATACCTTGGGGAACCCCCAACGTTACACAAGACCAGGATGAGAAGGTGCCTCGAACAACAACGCGTTGTTTGCAGTCGCGTTGTTTGAGGCACAGAGTCAAACGCTTTTGAGAAGTCTAAAAAACAACATCAGTGGGTCTCGATTTATGATAATTATGCTAAAGCAAAAAAAAGTTATTTCCTCTTGGTTTGCTGATAATATGCTTTAAAGCTGAAGCTGATGAGTATTCATAATATCATAACAGCTTTCCCTTGTTGTGTAGGTGTTATGCATGTTCTTTGACTGCTTTCCAGATGTCTGTTGGTAAAATCATGCTACAAGCCTTGGATATCATCACTGTAGCCGTCCCACCTGCTCTTCCCGCAGCTATGTCAGTTGGGATTGTTTATGCTCTTCAGAGGCTAAAAAAGAGACAGATTTACTGCATAGATCCACCCAGGTACACATCCTCCTCCTTCTCCTTCTCCTCCTTCTTCTCCTCCTTCTTCTTGTCCTCCTTCTTCTTGTCCTCCTTGTCCTTGTCCTTCTCCTCCTCCTTCTTCACCTCTTTTTTCTTCTCCTTCTCCTCCTCCTTCTTCTCCTCCTCTTCCTCCTTCTTCTCCTTCTCCTTCTCCTCCTCCTCCTCCTGCTCATCGCCTTCTCTGCTTCCTTTCAAAATCCTCGCTAGTTAGTGCCACTTTTTTGATCAGAGACAGGTTCAAAGGTTCAAAATGTTTCAGAACATAAGTAATGATCCTGATCGCAAATTAACAAGATTCAGATGGTTACCAGAGCCAAACAAATGCACTTTTAATCTGTACCTTTATTCTGAGGAGTGATATCACGTTCTCTTTTGCAAAACAAACAGACCAAAGCATAGCTTTTTTGACAGCAATTAAATATATTATAAACGATTGTTTTAGTTGATTTTCATGGATTACATTTTAGCATAGTTTATTATTTGAATTCATTCGTAAAGATTTGCTTATGTATCTAATTCAGCTTTAGATCTGTAATTCCAAAGCTTCAATAAACTCTCTATCTATATCTATCTCTCTATCAACTCAGCTTGCCAACTTTGCCTCCTCTTTCTCTTCTCTTCTTGATCGTCTTCTTGTGTGACTCCCTCTTTGCCTTTCCCTGCAATCCTTTCCTACTGTGGATTAAATGAACTGCAATATTGTTTATGTATGTGACTTTACCTCGTATCTCATTTAATTAGGGTCAATATGTGTGGAAAACTAAAGCTGTTCTGTTTTGACAAGGTAAGTTTGGTGACATCTCTAAAGTGTTGGCCTTTCAATTTATTTTTGCATTGCCGATGTCTCATACAGTATTCTACTAATTGTACGCTTATCTGTAGTAAATTGTATTGTCCAGAGGTGTTTTAATGTGCAGGCGAAACTTACAAAGGAAGTAACGTTTATCTTGAAATTTTCACCTTAAAGATTCTCACTTGTTGACCTTACAAGGATGGGCAAATGGGAAGGCAAATTCTGTTTTTACTTACATTTTATATGTGCAAACAAACGTGGCCACAATTGTGTTGTCTACTATTACAATTTTTTTTTAAAAAACAAACTGCATTTTAAATATGCATTCGTATCAGAGCAAATGAAAGAGCAGTTCTTTGTGCATTGAAGAAAGTCTCTAAAAACATCACTTCAGGTGCTCTAATGGATCCGTCCGAGTAAGTAAACCCACTGTCAATCCTCGGATGAATCAAGCGTCATGCAAGCTAGGAGAGGAACATGGTCAGGATCGCGAAACTTAGGGAGGAAGTAATTTATCATCTTGATTATTCATTTGTATTAGAAAAAATTTAAGAGTATTTCCTCATAAATGGCATCATCATCCTGATGGCTTGAACTCAGTTATGCAGTCACTCAAAAGTAAACCCCACCAGGGAGTCTAACAGAGATTTCATGTATATTCTTTTAATATATCATGACAGGTTATAATTTCTTTGATTGTAGACAGGAACCTTAACAGAAGATGGCCTAGACTTTCTTGGTGTTGTACCTGTGCAGTCTGGGCGGTATGTTGTGTTATAACTGGATTTAACAGATAACTCCTCTTAAAAGAGTTTTCAACCTCTATAAATCTTAGAGTTACAAGTGTCTGGCCGCTCTAGCAGTCCATTCCATAGAAACCTTTACAAGTTAGGGTGATATTTTCAGGCTCTAAAAACAATGACTTGTAAAGGTCTTATTCAATTTACCCCAGAACTCACTAGAACGAAGATTTCACACAAGGAGACAAGTACATATCGTTCAAAAACTGTTCATGGCTTTAGTATATGTTCTATCTTAAAGACTTGTTTTTCTTTGTCTAATTTGGGTTTAGATTATTAGCCTGGGTTGTTGAGATCCAAACTCTGTTTCTTGTCCTTTCTGTCCGCCATCTTTGCACGTGCTTTAGGATTAATGGAATAAAAGCAGTCACGTGGTATTTCAGGGGGAAAACAAGTGATAACATTTGCCATTACGAGTAATCGCTGTCGAGTTTTTTTAATTCTCTCAAGACGAGACAACGATTAATAGTCATGCAAACTGTACAAAGGTTTTACGTCATTATTGCTTGCTGTGAGGACATCTCCGATCGCTACTGCATCCAAAAGAGTAACAATGATCACTTTGAATGAATAAATGAATGAAGAGTCGAGGATGAGGGGACAACAGACGTGCCCTCTTACAATACATTTTAACATGTGAACAGTAAGCTCGGACGTCAACATACAAAGGCGCCACTGGCAGCCGCTCTCAGTCCATTTGTGAGCTTACTGTACCCACCCAACCCGTGATGTGAATGATATGATGAGTGAAGGTTGACCACATCACCGGGGTCTACGTCCCCTACTCTTTTCGAACAGTGGCGTGGGTTCTTTTACGTCCCACAAGAACCAGATAAGTGTAAGTGCTGTGAGACGGGACCCACGGTTTTTCATCCTTATCCGAGAATACTAGAAAGTCTAACCGTTTGCAGATGTCATTTCAAAGGCCGCACTTTCTTCTCAGTTATTTTAAAGACCCTGAGTGTTGGTCCGGCCGGGGTTCGAACCCGTGACCTCCCGCTCAGCAGACCGGCGCTCTCCCAACTGAGCTAACCAGGCGGCGGCTTTCACCCATAAATTGACATTATCGTCTTTAAGGTAAAAGGTTCTTCATTTTCTGTTGTCTAGAATAAACAAAATGCACCGCGATTTCTTGCATTGGCAGATTTTGTCACTCGTTTATGCCCTGAGAAACCACTTGACACCGCGTTTATCCCATCAGTCCTTAAGCGCGTGTAAAAATGGCGGGTATCGTGAACAAGGTCTATTGCATGACTGTTTATCAAACGCTCGAACTATAACTAGTTGGCTACCCCGCAATTTGGTAATTAAAAAGTGTTTTTTGTTTTCTTTGAAGTTGTTAGTGCCTCAACTTTAAGCCTCAGCAAACGAACACTTTCTAATATATGCAATGGCATTAAGGTTAATTTGCTTATTAGCCCCCTAAGCAAGGACTGCAGGCTTGGCTACGCATGTCCTATAAGAACTCTGTTACAAAACCTTTTTGCGAAATTTCATCTTTGTTCATCGTGGTTCAATATATACAGCTATTTCAAAAAAGGTTGTCGGAGAGAATGGCGAACGGAGGTTGCACGACCGAAAGGAACTGTGTTTACGCTATTTAATATGCAAAATTTCATAAGTTGCGTTCACCTTACGTGAAAATGAATACACCAACTTTGAACGTTTGTCTTAGGGTTCTTGGCTCCGAAGACAGTAGAAGCTCACGCTTTTTTGAATTGAAAGACGTTCCTCGTTTCCTCGTATGAACGGCCTATTAGGGACCTTAAGATCCGACGACGGCCACGGCAACGGGAGCGCCACAAAAGCAATAGGTTTAATTAGCAAAACAACAATTTTGCACGTGCATCACGCTTTTTTGTACATTTCTTTGCCGTCACGACTGCGACGTGAAAATGCCAAATTTCACGATGTTCAGGGGAAGTACACAAGCGACGACGAAATTTCCTCTTTCTTCCTGAACTTGGATATGGTTTTTAGGAATTCAGCTTTAGGAGGGTTCGCCTACATTTGACAAAGTTAGCGACTTGGAGTAATCGCGATAAAGATTGAAAGAACGTGAATTCACTTTTTCAGCGACGTTTTCACTGCCGTAGCCGTGCTCGGATCTTAAGGTCCCTATTGTCTCCGACTTAACATCGCCAGACACAAGAAATTTAGAAATGTAGCGCTGAGGGCTTTTCTTTTAGGAACGCCCAAGAAAAATGAAGCCTCTGAATGCTGAAGAACATGGACAAACCAGATAACCCGCCATCGAGGGTCTTCACTAAATGGAGCCGGCATCGTTGACTAGCTTAGATTTAACAATTATTCGCCGAAGGCGAAGTTAATATTGTTGAATAATCCCCAAGACGAAGTCGAGGGGATTCTTCAACAACATTAACTGAGCCTGAGGTGAATGAACACGAAGCCGTAAACAGTGGATGCGCAACAGTTAGATCTTTACAGTATCTTCAAACATGGCAAATGATAGTTTTCATCTCTTTGTATCCAGTTTTGTAAGCTTTAGCATCAACGGTTTAAAAGAAAACGCCGAAAATTTGAATTACTACCCAATTCTCAGAAGAAAAGTGGAGCTTATTTGTTTCTGTCAACTCACCGTGAATGAGAAAGTTTTCCCTTTGTCGCTTCTTGCAAATGCTGTCAACAGCGGCTACGATCAAGGTGAGCGTTGTTTATCTCCAATGTTCTTTGCTTTGTTAACTTGCTTGCATGTACAATTTCCGAAAATATTTGCCTTCCTCTTTCCTCCATAAATTAACTTCTATTTATAGGCAAAATTGGTCTTGCGAGAAAATCCCGAAATCACAAAACAGTGACAAAGCGACCTCTGTAGTGGTAAACATAGCTTCGAGCGTACAAAAAGTCAGCTACAGTAAACCATTTCACAATAAATCACGCTGTTTAAACACCATGAAGTCTTTTCTTGCCTTCACAGTCATCAGCACTTGGATATTCGTGTATTTTCAAAAAGGTTTTACCATGAAACTTTGGCAAAACACCCAGTTCACGACAGCGATTTGTTCTGCTTTATATTCACCGCCTAGCGCGGTGAATATAACGTCATAGTCCGAGATAGCTAACCAATCAGATTGCTTGAATTACCAATATCAGTGAGTGTGTATAGACTAAAGTGATTATTTACCGTCAATATTCAAAACCCGCAGTTCCTTTCGGTCGTGCAATGTCCCTTCGACAATTGCCATTCGCCGTTCTCTCCGACAACCTTTTTTGAAATAGGTGTATGCGTCGAATAACTAAGGATTGGATTATGTTAAAACGTTTTGCACCAATTTAATAAAAGACCATAGAAAACAAGTTTTATTCAGATATCTGTTTTTTGACTTATTTTTATCCAGTTTCCGTCCAATGGTGTCTGAAACTGAAAGCATTCCTCAAGGTCCCTTATTGGAAGCAATGGCTACCTGTCATTCCCTCATAGTGATTGATGGCAATTTGACTGGTGATCCTTTAGACCTAAAGATGTTTGAGGCAACTGACTGGGTAACCTCTTCGTTTTCGCCATTAAACAATACAACTTAGTGATATTCTGTATTTCGTGTATGTATTAAGCCACGACCGTCGGTCATAAATATTTTTGGGCAAAGCCTTTGTTCAAGGCCAGGAAGCATGGTATTTATAGGCGAAAGGGATAGTGTTTAGTGGTATGAGTGGGTGGTATAGTGCTTAGGGGCAGACAGTTGAAAGGGATATCTGCTGGGGGCGTGGTATATACGAAAGGATGCACCGTTTAAAAAGAGCACGAAGCTAAGTCGTAAAGGGCAGGATTCAAAGCATAGTGTTCTAGAGGAGAAGGCATCATGTACTATACTGTAACGGTTAGCCATGGCTATGTTGATAGCAAGTTATGTCCAGTTGTTCTTTGGTCATGCCCGTAAGGTTTAGAAGTCGCTTGGACTTGTGCCGAAGGATTAGGACGTAGCTTTGTTAATTGGATATATCCCTAATGATTGGGCATGGCTTATTTCGTTGATTCGTCAATAACCGCCGCCCTGTTAGCTCAACTGGTTTTGCGCTGGTCTGCCGAGCGGGAGGTCGCAGGTCCAAACCCCAGCCGGACCAACACACAGGGACTTAAAATAACGGAGGAGAATGTACTGCCTTTGTTGTGACATCTACAAATGGTTAGACATTCTAGTCTTCTCGGATAAGGACAAAAAACCATGGGGCCACGTCTCACAGCTCTTTCACTGTTCTGATTCTTGTGGGACGTAAAAGAACCCACAGAGCTGATCGTAAAGGCGTAGGCGTAGACCTCGGTGGTGTGGTACAACCATTCATGGGCTGGGTGGATAATGAAGGGGTCACCGTGTTGAGGCTGGGACAATTTGGAAGTGTTCATGGAGAATACAGCAAGCATTAACTATTAGATTTGTTTGTATCTTTGCTCATTGTTTACAGTCAAGCCATGTCAAGCGTACCCCCCAAGATTCAATTAATGAATTTATTATTCGAAAGTTGAATCCGTCGGTAGTTGTGGATTTAAAGATTCATCTCTGCATTCCTGCATGCGTAATGAGCAGTGAATTCACACGCGAGGTTGTTATGAAATTTCTACCAGCTCAGTTTTCGGCTTGAATTTGATGTAAGTGTCTTCAAGGCACATTTACCCATTCAAAGATTTTTCTATCTGACCGAATAAAGAGAAGTTATCGTAAAAACGTTATTGCTTGTTACGCATGCAGGAATGCAGATTTAAATTTGAAAATGGTTGCGGCAACGACTAACGGATTCATTTTTAAATAACCGATTCATTAATGGAATCTATAAGTGTACACTTGGCCTGACGTGACTCTAGTTGCACTGAGGCTGCTAGAATGACTGATAGATAACGTTATAATAAACTCTAAATATTTGATTGGAATAACCTAGTAAGTCAACTTGTGGTTTCTGTTTATGGTGGCCTTGGTAAGATTGACTGGTACTGTAATTACTTTATAACACGACAACAAAGTGTATCTGCTAGAGAAAAAATTGATGCCTTTTCCACGAATGTAAAATCAACGTACACAAATACTTTTTCTTGGAGTGCAGCAAAAGAAAAAGTTGGGATCTTTTGGTTCCATAGCAGTATCTCATTAACAAATTGAGATGTAAAACCCCAGCTTTTCAACTCACATTTTTTATCACGTGATCCGAGAGGATCGTGTGAAAGGACCTTGATAATAACAGGGTTCTGATAGATCGTAACCTTCATTTAAGTTCTGGTTGTTTTCTTCCGATTAAAGAATAGTTACGTTTCTTTCACTTTGCGCATGGAATATATATGTACGTATGTTGCAAAAGAGCTCACTACAAACATGTGAAGATATATATGGGCTATGATTACTTGTTTTGTTGCTTTTGCTAGACCTTAGAAGAACCTGGCGAGGATAACACCAAATTTGACAATATTGTTCCTACCATTGTTAAACCAAAAACTGAAAAGGAATTTCATGTTGAATCGGCTTTAGAGGGAAATGTGAGTGTTTCTTATTTTATCCTTAAAGCCCTTATATTAGCATGCATATCCTCCACACTGTCAGCTACACATTTCCTATTGTGCCGAAGAGAAGTTGACCGTTTTCACTTCCAGATCATCTCCTTAATTCTCATGACCTTTCTGTCTGACTACGCAGTGTTATTGTAAGGAGAATCAAGATGCTGATCGCTGTTACGTGTTAAAGTGTTAGAACATTCGTTCATATGGCTTTTGTTTCAAGGCCTTGGGGTGGCTGCAATACCGAACGTGTTTTCACCGTTTCTTTATTTGTGGAACCATTTTAAAAGGTTTTGAGTAAAAAGGGACCACTGTACATGTGCGAAGTGAAATGCAACCCAAACGCTTATATGAATTTTAATGCCTGAAAGCATGGTGTTGTTTGTTTGTTTTTCACATTAGATTCCATATGAGATAGCCGTTATTCGCCAGTTTCCGTTCTCATCAGATTTGCAGCGTATGTGCGTTGTGACTCGCACACTAGGAGATCCAAATATGGATGTGTATGCAAAAGGTGCCCCAGAAACCATTGCAAGTCTTTGTCAACCACAAACAGGTTAAACTTTTCACCTTTATTTGATTCTGTACAAAACCGCAACCTCTGAAGTAAAGAAATATTCGTTTGCTATGTTGTATCCAACATGGCTGTTCGTTTTTGGTCCACTAGAAAGTTGATCCGTTCCACCCCTAATTTTGCACAGATTTTATAATCATAAATGTTATTTTCTTGAGCTCTCTTCTCATACATTCAAATACCAACTGAAATTGGATAATGACTAAACTTTGGCTTGTCGGTGTTTACTAAATCAGTGAAGAAAATTATTTTCATGTAACTGAATATTGCCTATTCAAAAAAACCGTAAAATGGCGTCTCGTTTCGAGACATTTTCGGAAGGCGAAGTTTGTGCGATAAATGAAGAAGTCGTACATACAAATACGAAGATACCAAGAATGGTAAACAAAGTTCCTACTAAGTGACCTTTTTAATTTACAAAGAGTTACTTTTTTTCATTTTTATCCAACTGATTTGGTAAATACTAAAACAACTAACCCCTTAGGGTCAGTGAACAGGCTAGACATATACCTCGACGCTTCGCGTCTCGGTATACCACTATTCACCTCCCCTTCGGGGGATAGCTGTATATTAATATTTGTACCATGCTCTCCAAATATGGTAACTGTACGCGTATGCTCATATTTAAGAACAAGCTGAAAATCGGTTGTTTGTACAAATAAAGTCGGGAAGAATTCTCGATATTTTGTGGGCGTTTTTAATAAAACAATTCTTCCACTCGCGCTTGTTGGATATGAGATGATTATAGCCAACTCGGCGCTACGCGTCTCGTTGGATTAATGAAATCTACCATTTCATATCCGACACGCACTCGTGGAATAATTGTTAACTATATCATAGAGATTAGAGGGAGAGAGGGCAAGATCGCAGACTTTTTTCCTTGGTTCCCTCGATGATTGAGCAGAATTATAAATACTAAAATGGCCTTCAACCATCGACAATCCTCTATTCCCGTCGCAGTGATCTGCCACACATAAAGTTTCGCTTTCTGCCAAAATCACATGTTGAAAATCTGACTTCGTTTAAATTCAAAACGCAACAAAGTTAAACTCAATTGCGATAACACAGAATCAGTTGTGTCCTTATGATTGAAACCATTGTAATCAAGTCAGAAGATCCTGTATGTGCTCCCACTGTTTTGTTTCGTGTTTCTGAGAACTAAAATTTGCTCCTAGTCAAGTTGCGGATATTTCGCCCGTACTGGAAGAAACTGAAGTTACTTAAAGATTTTTGGGTAAAGACCGTGTATGTGTGCGAAATCACTTATAGTTATTATCATTAATGTTTTTTTTTTAGTTGCAGAAATCCATGAGGGGTTATAGTTATTATCATTATTGCATCAGCTACATCGAGTTACAAGGTAACTTCATCCACTCCCGCTTTTTTTTAGTTCCTGGCAGACTCTTTTTCATAGTGTTCTTCAGCACTATACCATGAGGGGTTACTAAAGAAAAGAGTCTTTTGGGTTTAGCTAGTATACAACTCACCTTTCCGGAAACCTGAATTTGGATAATCGACACGTCGATACTGCGTTCAGGGGCGCCATATTTTTCATGGCATCGAAGCTGGGATCATCAACAACGAGTTACTCCCGCAACAAGGTAAAACGTTCATCCGAAGACCCAAAAACTGCCTAAGCCCATTTTTGTTTTTGTTAGTATAATAGGTTCTTCTTTATTGGCCTGGTCTCTGGACTCTTGTTAGTCCATCCTGTGTTTGTCTCAGAATGAAAACCACGGTTAAAACGTTTTTCTTCGCTTCATTTCCCTGGAGAATTCTGCATTTTAGCTAAGGATGATGTAGCCCGTTTAGCTGGCTTGCATGGGATTATAAAAGTTCTTGGCGAGCGCAGATTACCAAAATTTTTCCGTTAGTCGAGCCCGAACAAAAAGGATGATGTATGTCCTGTTATGATATTTTCAGTGATTTGAATTGACCACAGTCCTCTTTTCCCGCCTTTTTGGCCGTGTTGTTTGAACCCATATTGATTTGTATTCACGAGGTTACCACATTTCTTTTGTAGGGATCATGTAGAATCAAATTTATTCTTTCAAGGATTGTTGATTCTTCAAAACGCTCTTAAGCCACAGAGCACTCCTGTGATTAGAATGCTTCATAATGCAGATATTAGAACTATGATGGTAACTGGTAAGAAGTGAATATACTCTTAACTGTGTAGTCTACGTGAGCCACAAATGTATTTTCAAAGACGAACTATATATAAATGAAGCGGCTGATCAATCCTGTGGAATATGAACTCTTCTACCTCGTAAACTCTTCCTTTTGCGGGTTTGATGAATTTGTGTAGCTGACGTGAGAGAAATGCTCTATTTTACTGCTACAGGTCTGTAGCTTTTGGTGTAATGTGGCTATTACTTGAATATCGTACTGTACATTTTGTTTACTGTGGTAGATTGAAGTATTTTGACATATTTTCACTGGTGTCTATCTTACTACCAGACGGTTCTCACTTAAATTGTCGTACTTCATGCCGATGATTTACTTCTAATATCTAACTCGGCAGAAGGTTTGCAACAAAGTCTTGACAATTTTAACGTAGTTCTCCGAAGTTTGGGGAATCTATGATAAAAGTGATTATAGCCGCTGGGATAAAGACTCCATTGAGTCGCATATACATTTTTGTAAGACGTGTTTAGGTTTAAACAAACGCTCACCGAATGTTACATCGAGAAATGAACTTGGCAGATTATCTCTCAGTTTACAAATAACAATGAACATTTTCAAGTTTTGGATTCACCTTGAAAATCAACCCCCTGACAGCATCGCTATACTCTGCTTAATTCTGCTCCATCTTTAAAAATGAAACAAATTACTGTGAATTCACCAATCATATCCAGAATCCTGAACATATGCGTGTAGCTTCCAAATTTAGGATAGGAAATCATAATTTTAAAATAGAAACTGGAAGATTTACAATTCCCAAAACTCCTGAAGACCTCAGAATCTGTGATCACTGCAACCTAAATTCGGCTGAAAATGAACTGCACATATTATTTCACTGTGATCTATATAATGATTTGAGAAAGACTCTTTTTATTAAAATTACAATATCCATGATAGTCTGCTTTCTTTTTAACAATACTGATTCACATATCAGCAGGCTAACTGCTAATTTCGTCTTTCAAGCATTTGAAAGACGAAAGAAACATAATTAATTCTACCATTCCATTGTATCTTATTGTTATTTTAATCGGTAACACCTGTACAAAATGGTAATACTGAATAAACTTGTTGTTGTTGCGTTTTGTCATCAGGTGATAACATGTTGACAGCTGTGAGTGTTGCTAGGGACTGTGGTATGGTTGGACCTACTGATAAGGTACTGTAGGGCGTCTCCACTCCCACTATTGTTTTCAAGTGCTCTTGTGAGCACTGCATATTCCCAAGAACATTTGAAAACAATAACTTTTGCAAAAATTTGGGTGCAAACCGAGTGTAATTATGGGGAATTCGAAAAATTACCTTTGTTCAATAAGACAAAAATGGAGTTTGGATGGCGTCGAGTCCAAAAGTTTGTGTAGTCCTTGCGGTAAACTAGGATCCACTATTGCGTCAGCAGTGGAAACTACACAACCGATGAAAACATTAGAAATTTGTTGCGGATGTATTTCAGTTTCAATTCATGTCCGTCGCAAAATTGTTTATTTCTCTTTTACAAAAAGACCCCACTAAATTTGTTGACTGTTTGTCATCAGGTCATTGAAGTAACTGCAAAAGGAAGCGATGATCATTCCTCTGATCTTCAGATTAAATGGACCGTTGTTGGAGAAGTTGAAAATAAAGACGATTTAATATCGGAGGTAACGCATAAAACATTCACTTGAGTCTATTTTTTTCTTTCCAAATGAAGTATTAGTATGGTTTGTTTTTACCCACTATTGTCGCCATACTCCACTTTGACAGTTTTATGAATAGTTCATAGTTAAGAATTTCTGTTGCTAATGTTATTTCCATTTGTGTCTTTATTATGCTTACCTAGGATCAATGTGCTTATCAAACAAGATTTGGAAAATGCTCCTATCATTTGGCTTTAGCTGGGAAATCATTTGCCTTAATTCGGAGTCATAGGCCAGAGCTGTTCAAGAAGGTATCCAGTTTATTTCTTGCTTTGATTGAAGTAAGTCTTACATTTACTTTAGTAAACCCTCCACCTGCAACAGTGTAGCCAAGGGCAACTTTTAGTTATCAGCTGAATGTGTGAATAATAGTATACAATGACAAACCAGCAGTTATGTCACCGGCAATGACCGGTCATTGGCAATGAACAAAGGATAACATCATTCAATCCCTTCTGATGATGATGATGAGTATATGTGCAAGTATATGTGATATTTAGTTTTTTAAGCCCCCTTTTTTTTCGTTTTTGGGCAGACGGAAATTATTCGTTTTAACCCTTTCAATCCCAGAATTGTAAGGTGGTTCCAACTTCTGAGTCTGTGGAAGAAATCCTACATTGTGACCACTCAAATGAAACCTCTTTGGCAGCACTTTGACTTTTTGTAGTATCTGTTTTTTAGCATTCTGCAAAATGAAATTCCGACTTTTTATTGGATTTTCACTTTGGCCTTTTTTAGGAGTGAAAGGGATATTATAGGGCCATTTATAGGAGGAAAATAAGACGCGGAAAAATAAGACGCGTCTTACATAAGACGCGAACTGTACCATTTATACGAGCATGTCTTATCTAATAAGACGCGTCTAAGCTAACCCGCGTCTTATTTTAGACGAAATGTGCCGTTTATACGGAATAAGAAATTTTTCCTCGTATAAATGGCCCTATTGTCACCCAAAGATTCGTATATGTAAGGGCTAATTCCTTAGATTGAAAAAAGAAAACCAAGGTTTCCACGTTATTAACCTTTTAGGACGAATGTACGTATAAATCGGTGTTGGTGTTTCTTGCCTTTGATTATTAGTGTTATTAACACGGGATAATTTTCAGTTGATGATATCTGGAACGGTGTTTGCAAGAATGTCCCCGGAGCAGAAAACCCATCTTATTGAAGGATTGCAGAAATTGGAGTAAGTCGTTTACTGATTAATCGAGTTCAAATAATAACAAATATAATCTTTACCCCACGCCGCTGAATAGCATGGACTGTTTTCATGCAATAAACCATCAGTTCTTCTAGTGAGCTTCCTTTTCTAAAAACGTGTCAAAGATATTTTTGTATGGTCCAAACCTTATTAAGTCACGTCGACATTGTTTAATTGTGCCTTGCTTGTGTTTTGCATGGCTCTTTACATAGGATCCTATATGCCTCAGCTGATTGTATTCGCTCAAGTCGCTGATGTCACTGACATGTTTTTTGCCCAAAGACACGAAGAGGGTACCTACCACAAGCATTAAAGAAGTTGTCCCAGATCTTTACCTCCGATGTGTCTGTCAACTTGAATTCCAGTCAACTTTGTGGACATGTTGCCTGTTCACCGTTCAATTCAGTTCCTATGAAAATCTTTATTTGAGGATATCATGCCTTCTGGGCCGAAAATTACCGTACGAATGCTTAGCTTGCTCTATTTCAATAACAGTAATATTTTTTGCCAGCCTTTTTGCTGTAAAGGTACCGCTGAATATCTTCGATAGACCTCGGGCTCACTGACGGCTGTGTTTAGTTAGTTTAGTTGTATGATGAGAATCACGCATGCTATGCAATTCTTGTACAGCTGCAAGGCTTAAATTAGAAGATCTTTCATAAAATTCTCTCAGTAAAATTTGATGGTCTTTGTTTCTCTTGTATTAGCTACTGTGTTGGTATGTGTGGAGATGGAGCCAATGACTGTGGGGTGAGACAACAACACGCATTCTTATTTATGATTATTCTTTTTAAGTTCATCGACGACTTTACTCGTTTTTTGAGTTTGAAACAGTTTGCGATGCCGACGTGAAAGAATACTATAACAGAAAATACATCTACACTTTGGTAATTGGAGATCGCCTCCTGCCACTAAAATCTTCAAGCTCTACCTACGGGAAGTCAAAAGATTCTTGTTACGAAGTGAAGTGGTTGCAACTTGTCCTCTAACAAAGAAAATTTTCACCTAATACTTATTCCTATAAACAAACGAAATGCAGTTTTCTTCTGATTAGGAGTCAAAACCCATACATTATCATTAAAACGTATTGCTACTTATTTATGCCTTGGTTTTCCTACAGGCGCTTAAGATAGCTCACGCAGGAATCTCGTTATCAGAGGCTGAAGCGTCTGTTGCGTCCCCATTTACTTCAAAGGTATGTTTGTAGACTGGTCTGTCGCATTATGTTTACTCAACAAATCACTGCTGACTGGTTAGCAAACGAGAGTTCAGAGCGGAAAGCCTGACTTCGATTCCCAGCCTGACAAATACTCAGGGTCTTACTTAAATAACTGAGGAGAATGTGGTGCCATTTTTTGTTATCTACAATTGTTTGTACATCCTAGTCTTGTTGTGTCATTGTATTTTTCCTTATCTGTTTCTTGTGAGACGGAAAAGAACCCACACTATTGTTCGTAAAGAGTAGGGAATGTAAACCCGGTACGTGAATCGTCTATGTGTGTGTGTTGCATTAGCAGGTCCACATCAACTTTCAAGCTGCCTTGTAGGTATGGCTGCCTTGTCAAGAAAATGAGAGAGGCACACACTTGCGAAAATGGCAAAAATTAGGCGAAAATGACGTATTTGGTGACAATGGCAGAAATAGCAAAGAATCGCAAGATTGTTAACAAAATATCAAATGAGATGGAAAAGGTGGCGATTTTGGCAAGAATGGCGTATTTGGCGAAAATGGCAGAAATGGCGAACAAACGCCAAATTGTTAACAAAGTTGCAAATGAGATGGCAAAGGGTCCCTTTTGAAAGTGGCGATTTTGGCGAAAATGGCAGAAATAGCGAGCAATTGCCAAATTGTTAACAAAATATCAAATAAGGTGGCAAAGGGACCCTTTTGAAAGTGGCGATTTTGGCGAAAATGGTGTATTTGACTAAAAGGGTGGAAATGGCGATCAACCGCCAAATTGTTAAAATACCGAATGGGATGGCAAAGGGTCCCATTTGAAAGCGGCGATTTTGGCAAAAATAACAAAAATGGCGAACAACCGCCAAATTGTTAACAAAATATCAAATGACATGGCAAAGGGTCCCTTTTGAAAGCGACGATTTTGACGTATTTGGCAAAAAATTGCGAATACATCGATTTGTTAACATGCAGATTGTTGATTTGTATGGCTTGGTAAAAGGATTCCTTTGAAGATTAGTCAAGCTATCTGAAATATGTCAAAGAGGTGGAAAACATGCCCATAAGATAGTGGAAATGTTGCCAACGTATAGATAATGACAAGGCTGGTGTAACCAAAGTTTTATTACTCTATTTATAGTGCTATTACCTTTAACTGACAATCTCTTGTGATTTGCAATTCGTCTCAAACAACAGTGCTTGATTGGAGGTTACCACCTCGTAATAATTTCTTCCACAATTAAAATTGGTGGAATGGTTTGCGAGTTGTGTTGGACTATCAGTGAATGGTACTTGTCGTAGTGTTTGTCGCAATTTACTTACCAAAAATTTCAAGATAGGTATCCTTAATTTCCTAGTCTTGCAGTCGCTGTTAGAATTATGTTAAGAAGCTGAATACTTAATAGCTAGTTCATCTTTTTAAATTCCTTGAGGAATCCATTTTGCTTCAAGGCCACGCACAATGGGATGGTCGTTATTGCCTAGAGGATCCATCCTCTTTGTTTAAATGGCGTTCAATCTTATATAAACGAGCTGGTTTATTACTGTTTCACAGAATATGTGACGTGTGGTAAGGAGTACGCACTTGTTTTATCGGCGGCCATGTTGAAATAGCCGATTTTGGTGATCACTCTGAGTAAGCAAAAACGATTAATCTCGTTTCCAGGGTCTCCGAGGTAATAGAAAGGGCCTGGTGAGGAGATACGACGAGCAGTGGCTGTTATGGCTTTTTGTCCTTATTGGATACCTGAATGATGTTTTAAGAACGAGACAAACATGCACAATACCTTTTTATATATTTGCTAGATGAAAAGATACAGAACTAGGTGCACATGCATAATTGTTGTTGTAATTTCAATTTCTTTGTGAATGGCATAATATTTGATGCAATGTTTATGTTTTAATAAATGCGATGAAGTACGTTTCGTTTAGGTATACATGAGGTAAAATGAGTGAATTTACTCGTTTCAAAATGACGCGCGCAAGCTGATTTCTGCCTCACAATTTAATGGCACACATTATAATGAGAATTGTCAGCAATTAGGATTGTTTAGGTCACATCAACCCTCAAAAGTCAGAGTGTGCATGGTAAGGAATTCTTATCATTTCATGGACTTGGAGGTTGTCTTCTCGGTTTATTAGAGACCTGAAGCAACTTCGACGACGACGGCAGTGAAAACATGACTAAAAAATGAATTTGTATCCTTTCAAACCTAATCGCGTCCATTTGGAACCGCTCAATTCGTCAAATGTAGGCGACTTCTCCTGCAGTTGAATTCTTAAGGGCTTTTTCCGTGTTCAAATAGAGAAGGGAAAATTTGTCGTCGTATGTCCACCTTCTCCATAAAACGTCGCATTGGGAGGTTTCACGTAATAGTCTTGCAGTGGACGTCAAAGAAATGTACTAAAAAACGTGCAGAGCTGTTGTTTTGCTAACAAAACTAATTTTTTTTTGCCTCGTCGTCGTAGTTGCTTAAGGTCCCTATTATTGGACTAGCTGTGGGGCGTGAGATTGCTTTGGATGGCTTGAACAATCAATCTCACCTTCATTGTAAAGAGAATTGTCAGCAATTAGGATTGTTTAGGTCTCATCAAACCTCAAAACTTAGAGTGTGCATGGTAAGGAATTCTTATCATTTCAAGGACTTGGGGGTCGTCTTTTCGAGTTATTATTGGACTAGCTGTGGGGCGTGAGATTGCTTTGGATGACTGGAACGAACAATCTTTGACGGGAATAAACCATTCAAGAGCAAGTGATGCTAGTGTGATATTTCAGCGCCTCACATTGCTTTTGGTACGTCCAGCAACATCGAAAGTAAAAATAAGAAAATGTTTACTTAACCTGTGGAGTACTTGGGCACAAATACATCAGCTTATCTGAAACGACTTTCATTCATTGTTGTCTTATATATTTGATTCAGTTGTATTTGATATATGTTGCTTCACAGTTAATTAAAACAATGCTTAGTATAGTAAAACTATTTTCCATTTCAAAGGGATCCTTTTTTTAGATAAATGCCCGAGCATATTTTTGACCAGTTGGCATTTTTGTCTGGTTAGTTATTTTTGTGAAAATCGACACTCCTAGGGGCCTGTTTAGGTACCTAATTTACTCATTACAAGTTTCATCGTTGGTGTATTTTCGTCAATTTCGCAAATTTTGCCAAAATTGTTGCCAATTTCGCCAAAATCGCGATTCTCCAAGGGGCCACTTTCGACATCCAATTTGAATATTTGCCACATTCCAAATCTCGCCAGCCCTCTGGCGATTTTTCGCCATTTGTGCCATTCTCGCCAAAATCGCCTCTCTCCAAGTGGCGTCTAATTTGAATTGCTAGCTGTCTGGACATAAGTGGAAAATGATGGCGATGTGGGAGCTCATTACTCGGAGCGTACGTAGCCTAAGCAACGGCGTTTTCACTGATCAGTCTATGTTTATCATTATTTCGGTAAAATATCTTGTTAATACATAGCAGGGTCCAACGTACAAAACAAAGGTACCGGATCTTGATGGATCTAAAATACCAAGGTTGACTGTTCAGCTATGAGACTTTCCAATATTTCGATAGGCCCGGCCTGACTTCTTCAGGGAATAACTAGTACCTGTTCCTTCAAAAATGGACGCATTGGTCTGTGTGTGTGCACAGTATAGGAATGATGATGATGATTTCATGTGGCTAATGAATTGACTCAGTGAATCAGTGCGTTGAGTAGAAACAAAAGTATTATCTCCAATCTGTTTGATGAAAACACTATTTCTTTATTACTTGTATTATCTATTGTCCTTTCATTTCTCGACTTGCTCCGCATCTAAGCAAGATACTGTAAAAATTTATCGCCTTGCCTGGTTCACGTTTTAAGTTCCCAATTTTATAATTGGCTTTCAAAAAAGTTGTTTGTCGCGGTCATTTGGATAGTAACGAGTCCCATTTCTTTTAACAGATATCCAACATTGATTGTGTTCCTACATTAATAAGGTAAACCTACACTATATTTCATTCTTCAGTTGACGGCGCATTAGATTTGTGTCGTTTATTTCGACACAAAGGTAAGTTAAAAGCGTTATAATGCTCGCGGGAGGTAGTGTATCCTCATTTACCACTTTAGAAACGTGAATGAAACTGGAGCTGAAGTGTGTCCTGCAATTGTTACTGGGATCGCGCCGGTCAGCCATTGGTCAACTTTTTTCCCTGTCTCTTTTAAAAGTCCCAGAAGTCTTTACTTAAGTTAACACAACTCAGTTTCCTTCTCGTTTCTAAAGTGGCGAATGTGCTAACTAACATTACCACGTGTTATCACTATGCTTAGTTTGAATTCAATGGTCTGCTGATGGTTGCCAATTGAAACCACAGATTTATCCCCCAGTGAACTTTCTTATGTTCACTGATGATGACGATTGAAATGAAATCGTTACTCCAAAATATCACCTTTGTGCAGGTATCACGTGCCCGCGTTACTATTTGTTAAACTTCTGACACATTGTCTCCTCTGACTTTTTCTTTGATGAAAACCTTTGTGCTTTGCGATTTTAAATGTTCTATATTCCGAGTTTTCCTCATGTGACAGTTCTTGTTGTGATTTCAGAGAAGGTAGAGCAGCCCTGGTGACATCTTTTGGAACCTTTAAGTACATGGCTCTTTACAGCATTGTGCAGTTTGTGTCCGTGCTTTTGTTATATTCTGTAAGTATGGTAAATTTATGCTCGTAGTAATTTTGATCGCGTTATGTGTAGCTCGACGGAACAAGTTCAAGACATGACTGCTTCACTGAGCCTTCCGCCATTAATGAACCGCTCTGTCGTAAAGCTAAATATTATGCCCACAATGCGTTTTATTTTCCTTTTTTTTCAAGAAATTTGTGTTTTGGGGCTGCCAGCGCTTTTTGTACAAGGTTCAAGGTTTGTGTAACAGATAAACAACAGGAACTCCAGATAGTGTCATTGTCAAGTGAAATACTTTTTGTTAAGCTGATGATAACCCAGTTTCCTTTTTGAAAATGGGTTGAAAAGCTTCCAAACATTAGTGGGAGCGTTTTCATAATATTCGTCTCTGAACTCGTAAAGCCCAATAGCTTCGTGACTTCAGTGAACACTTTGCTTAAATAGAAGACAAACACTTTGTGCTCATAGGTTGTCTCCCAACTACTCAAAAATTTCATTAATAGAATAATTACATTACGTAAGACATACCTTTGAAAAGATAACAGTGTTTAAGGTTAGGGTTGCTGAGCTAACACTAGAACAAGCCCAGAGTGTAGCCTTTGTTTTTGTAAATGTAAAATGTTCTTACTCGTGTATTTAGGGAAACAAGGATGTCGTAGTAGTGAGCGCACACCTCCCACCAATATGGCCTGGGTTCCAATCTCGACGTCGTTGCAATATGTGGGGTGTGTTTTTTCCGGTTTTCCTCTCGGGGGCCCATTTTTGGAAAGTCCTGGTAATTAACGGGCCCGGAAAGCTGTTCTGTTTACATTCAAGATTATTTTTTTTAATAGTTTTGCAGTTATTATGGTAAAACTAGCAGTTAACAAAACAAATGGACTGATTTTTTTTCAAATATGACCCGCGCTTTTATTGTTGATATTTTGATTTGAATACTCTATTACGGGCCGAAAAGTTACCGGGATCCTGGAGAAACGGGAACCTGGGACCCGTTTCTCGGAAGGCCCGATAACTTTTCGGGTCCGAAGGCAAATTTTGAAATCAAAACCAGTTGAATAGCAGCAAAGTTCCAAGCTCACAAACCAGTCAAGTTTGCTTCGTTAACTGATAGTTTCATTATATCATTTTCAAAATTATTGAAACTTTGATCTTGAATGCAAACACGGCAAACATAAAACAGCTTTTTACAAACGGGCCCCTGCTGCGAGAAGTGTTTTTCCCAGTACTCCGGTTTTCCACGCTCATCAAAAACCAACGTTTCCAAATTCAAATTCGATCTGAAACGCGAAACACTTTTCGTGCGAAACGTTTTTTTTTTGTTTCATGTGTTAGTGAAACAAAAATCAACTCGTGTTGTTACTTTGTGCAAATGGTAATTGGTAATTGCTGATGTTGTATATGTTTATTTTCTCATTTTTCAGATATCATCTAACATGGGAGACTGGCAGTATGTTTACATTGATCTTGTTATCATAACCAGCCTTGCTCTCGTCAGTAAGTTCTTACCATAATGGCCACACTTTTTCAAGATCCCGGATGCTACACTTTTCTCTGCAGATTATTTACGCAACGTTCACAAGGCACCGCACGAATTTTCGACTAGCTAAAAAATTTGTGCATACACTTCGTTCGCATGGAACAGTTCAATATTTTCGCTCTGTTTACACGGAACTGGCCAACCAGGTTGAACTTTAACCTTTGTAGTGGTTTTATCATCTGCTCATGCGCAAAGTGCATCCAAAATGGCGTCTTTCAACTGAGTTACCACGCGTCCATGCAACCACGCCTTTGTCGTATAAACGCTTATGGTGTTTACACCACTCCGGTCAAATTTTGGACCGTACCAGCTAAAAATTTGACCTTGATTTTAGCGTTTAAATTATTGAACGGCAGGGCGTCCACATTTTTTTACGGTTAAGGTGGTTCCATGTGAACGGAACACCTGAACGCACGGATTTTCAACCAGTCAAACATTCGTCCTGTGCCGTGTTACGCATCGCTCCTCCCCAGACACAATCAAAATAATTTGATAGAAGCAGTACTTCTTTTAAATAAAGTAGAAATATTGTGGTGTCTGCTGTTTATGTTAGAAGCACGTTGGAATTTCACTGATGTTACTAGTATCAGCAAATATAGTCATATTTAGTTCCTGTAATTACTGGGCCGAGAAACGATGTTCTCACAGCTTGTTTCATTCGATTTTCCCTTGCACGAAGCATCAGGCAGCTCAAAGGGTTGTTTGATTTCTGTTTTGTATTTTGCAGTGAGTTATACCGAGGCTTATCCTTTTCTTTTGGCTCAGAGACCGGGAGGAAGTCTTATGTCTCCAGTTGTTCTTTTTTCTCTAATTTCCCAGATTGTAGTTCAAACCGTAGTGCAAGTTTTCGGATTTTATTATGTTCAGTCACAGACGTGGTAAGAGCAAAGCATATTGTACTGACTTAAGACCAGAAGCATACGCTTCTGCTTAAGACTCATACGAATTCAAACTACGGATTCACTTTTGACTCTCTGTGTTCGTACAAATCTGTGCCTAGAGGTCAATACAGACCTATAGAATCTAAGACAAGGACGAGATTTTTTAATACTAAGTAGTGCGCAGGCGTGAACCAACGCCATTTTGGCGGAAAACGTGGTAGCCGTCGTCATTCTATTACCAGTGTTAGCGAGAATGTCGTAGTGGCGTCAGCAAGTTATCAAATTGTTAAAAGTTTTATCATCTTGTGATCGGGAGAGGGCTTAAAAATATATTTTCCTTTTATTCTTGTGCTGGTGGTCGTCCTCGTCCACCAATCTTAAGGTCTCAAAAATGAAACGAGAAACGGTTGCGTTTGGACGTAACGTAAGAATGATACTGCTATGATTATGTTGTCGCGTTGGAGACATGAAACACTGTAAAGGGATATCTGAAGGCACACGAGCCCGTTAAGTTTGGTAGCGCATATGATAACTTAACCTGCGAACGGCAGACGTTTTTCCTCGCTCATCGCCGCTGAGGAACGTTTCGCGAGGAGGAACGTCTGCGACTCAGCGACAGAAATTCTATACTGATGACGCGAAATTTGTCCGAAGCGCTAATTGGTCGACGGAGTAGATTCATTGTTTTAGCTATTGTTTGCAAATGACAGACAAAAGACAAAAGGCCGCAAAGGTCAAATGTAAAGGCAATGAATCTCTAACAAAACGGTCAATATTTGTGGAATATAGTCTTTCTAAAAGTAGCATTTGCGTTTTGCTGGAGCTCATTCGCAGATGAACACAACACTTCACCAAAATCGACCACGAGACACTTAAAATTGAACAAATTTGCATTTGGAACCCCATGACTACCGGATTTATTATGTAAACATTGATTTTTGTCATCAGTGTGGAATTTCTGTCCCTGAGTCGCAGACGTTCCTCCTCGCGAAACGTCCTTCAGCGGCGATGAGCGAGGAGAAACTTCTGTCGTTCGCAGGCTAATGATAACTCTGTTTACACGTAAACGGTGTCTGTTTTTCCGTCTTGTCCACTCTGGTGATTCTTTTCTTTTTGTCACGATCTTTCACGTGTGAAGGAAAGCCGTAACTTATGCATAATTTCTTTCACGTTTACACTGATTTTAGACAGACTCGTGTGAACATATAGCCTTGATAAAGTTTCGACCGGCTAAGGGACGAACTATCTTGTGTTGAGCTACTAAAAAAGCGTCAGTGAACCATGTTTTTACGTGTATAATTTAATTCAATCAATTGTTGTTGTTTCCTCGATTTTTTTGTCCGATTCTTTTTTACAGGTTTGAACCCGTCCATATAACGGATAAAAATACTATATATTACAAAAACCAACAAAGTACAGTTTTGTTTGCACTATCATCGTTCCAGTATATTCAGCTTTCCGTCGTGTTCTCTGGGGGAGTGCCTTATCGACAACCTTTTTACAAAAACGGTTTGTTTGATATGATTTACGCCTTGTATGAATCTAGTGGTTTAAGAACTTTCTGGCAGAAATGTGCCATTTTAATGCTCCAAAATGTAAGAATCTGTTTATCCAAGCGAGATCAAGTATGTTCTTATATCTTGGTTACAGTTAAATTTTAATCCTCCGTTAATTTTGATAACCCTCTTAACCATTGGGCTTGACTTAGGCCTGGGCTAAACGTCGAACTTTTCATGAGACGAACCAAACTCTAATTTGGGTAAGTTAGGATCGTTTTCTGGTTGAGACGTCGAGAACCAATCAGCTGAATCTGATGAAAAAGCAATTTGAATAAATTTTCTCCCGAACGAGGCTAAATATACAATATCATACAACTATTTAATTTATCAGTTTAGTTCTTCGCATGTGAATATCAGCGTTTGTCCCGGTTACACCTTCAGACGTTGAAGCAGGCAAACAGAGCGTGTTGAACGATCCCGCAGACTCATTCAGACGAACTTAACTGAGCCAGACGTCGAGCCGTTTTCATGAACTTAACTCACTAAGGTTGGCTCGTCTCATGAAAAGTTCGACGTTTGGCCTGGGCCTTAGATCGGCTGCATGCTGGTTTTCGCTGTAGTGTGATTAATATTGTGTAGTTTATGCGAATTTTGTATGTTAAGTTTTGTGTCTGTTTATCTTTTTTTCTTTTCTTTTTTTGACAGCTTATTTCCTCGTGGTGGTTATATCGCTTACACTGTTCTCAGGATTCCTAGTAGTACTTCCAGGACATTTTCTGCAAAACTTGTTTCTGGTAAGAAATAATAAAATTCTCTCTGACCGCGGCCTGTATCTTTTGACGTTGAGTCGTGGATCAACCAGTCATGACTTGGGGCTTCTTTAAGCGGTGACGGCAAGTAACTACCACTCTGCGAGCGAGCAAAGCCTCATTTTGTGTTATTTTTTATGGAGGAAGAGAAAAGACGGCTCTGTTTGAATTGCGTCTTGTTTTCCCTCGTCAAACTGGTTTTTGAGTGTGAGCATCTGTTTATTGATAAACCGATGGTTATAACTGAGCCCACTGTACCAAGCGCACGGCTAAAACTGGTCCCAAGCAACACGCAGTGCATGCTCCACAAACATCTTATTCGATTCACGCAGAGTCTTTCTCTTGTAAGCCAGAAAAGCTTTGCTAGCAAGGTGAGACTGACCACCTGGTTTAGATTATCAAAAAGCCAAGACAAAATACAGAGAAATTTGCCCCGATTTCTTGTCCAGCTATGTCGATAATGCTGGGTACTTGCAGACTTCAGTAGTACCCCGCTTAAGGACAGTCGCTTATCATAGACTGTTCTCCTTGTCTTGATGGAAAGCTCACATATTTCAGTTGACGGCCATACCTTGGTTAGTTTCTCACGCTGCCGTTTTTAGCTCGTCACGCGACACAAAAACAGCTGCGTGGGAGTGTATAGCTCGGTTCATACTTACAACCGACACCTTAAATTATATAGCGACTGAAACATTACCTTACAAAAGTAACCACCCTTTATGTATACAATCAACTCCCGATAATTAGAACCTTCTGGGGAAATCGAAAAAAGTTCGAGTCATCGGGAGTTCGGGACAAATAACCGGAAATAGGGAAATAAGACAATGGATGGGGAGGGAATGCGAGTAACATGCACTCTTCACTCAAGGGCAGCAAGAGATCTAGATTGATATTTTTGCAAAGAGAATGACGCAACAAAGCTTGATTAAGGACACTGGATTTGAACTGGAGTGACATAAAAGTACAGACAAAGAATTGAAACGATATATCTTACAAATGAGATCCTGCAGAACGGCCAATCACACATTCGAACGTTTTATTTAATATTTTAGCGACATTACAGACAGATTGAACAGACATCAAACACCGTTCTTGAAATAGTCTTCGCGTTGATAAGACTTCTGTTCGCAACGCGTTTCCCTGCTATGCCCGGACACCCGAGTAATACAGACACTTACACAAACGCTTTTGCCCTTTGGTGTCCGTATAACCAGCTTCCACTGTAAAAACAACTACACCTGAGCCGTTTCTTCTATCTTTTCAATTTCAGTTAGCAACCCTGCCAGATATGGTCTTTCGGCTCACCATTGTCGGCATTGCTATTTGTAATTTTCTCATTTCTTTATTTATCGAGGTAAGTGTGAGAGGTTAAGATAATGTCCTATTTATCCAGCATTTTTCTTTTGCTTGAGAATGGCTAGGGAGGTATGGTGCACGTTTGCAATTGAGTAGCCAAGACCTGGCCGAGACCCACTTGACCGACTTATCCTGCCTTTTTAGTACTTACAAATGCTCTTCCCCCCACCCTCCTCTTCCCTCACCCTATCATAGCATTATGATTCATACCCCTGTGTAGAAAGATCAACAGAATGTGATTGACTTAGGAAATGCAACGCTTTTGATTAGGCTTGTAACACGTGAGGTTCTGTTCTTGCGTACATTTTATAACCGCGCGACCGGACAGCAGGGAGCAGTAATACATTCGCTCTTGTTCTTTTTGAAATCCTCGCCATTCTTTTTAGGAAATGGTAATGAAAATGTCGAGGAAGATTTATACCTATACCCATTTTTTTATTCCGGCTATTTACAGGACGTCCCAGAAGGTTCGTGCCCCTGATTTTGACCGAATTTTCATTAAAAAGCTTTGTTTTTCTCAGAGTTCTGGGGTATTTTTGTGTGGGTGAGTTTTATTAGCCTACGTGGCTTCCCTTGGTTTCAATCCCATTTTCAGTCGTAAAGGCATCCATTGAGATACCTCTTGTGGTACGGTACTTTAATCTGAGCTTCTACCGTTGTATTGTTATATTGATAGCATATTTATGTGCTAAAGGTTCTCGGTGGGATTGATTTTTGTAGAATTTTCTGGCCTTTTTTCTTTGTAAAAAAAACTGATGGCAGATGCTTGTTTTCGTAAAAAAAAATTATTATTTTTAGCTCCAAGGGTACTCATCTATTTGAAATATTGGACTATTTGACTAACTACAGGGCCTCACTGAATATCACTCTTTGTGAAGTGAGCTCCCTGTATAAAGATTGTTATTATTATTATTGTTATTATTATTATTATTATTATTATTATTATTATTATTATTATTATCATTATTATTAACAAGTTGCCAAAATATTGGCGGGAGAAAAGTTTCGCGTGATTCCAAATTCGCATTTTTAGTGAAAAAGATGATAGAAGGGAAGATTTAAATACCAAAATGCTGGGAAACCGCCGCGCGGCTAACTCAGTTGGAAAAGAACACCGTTTTACTCTGATCCGAGCGGGGGTGAGGCGGGATCAAACCACGGTCGGACCTCCAATCATAGACAGTTATAAAAACTTGGAAGATCTTGTTTGCGGTGATTGAAGACGTTCCCTCAGTTCAGATGATGGCGTCATCAGGCAGTGACGTTTTTATCTGTTGGCCTTTTCTCCTACTCCTTTTCTTTCGTTATTTAATTCAAGAAACACGTCATTCAGATTGTGGGCTGGGTGGGTCATAGTTTAAGCTCTTAAATGAACCGATAGCCGCTGCCAGTGGCGTCCTTGTATGCTAACGTCCAAGCTTACTGTTAGCATGTCATGCGGTGTGAAGGGAACACATCTGTTGTCCTCCCATCCGCGAAATTTTAGTCATTTCAATTTAAATTAGGTCGGAAACATTTGAATAACTTGGTAGTCTTTCTGGTTAACGCTTTCAATTCCAGTTAAATGTTTTGTTACTTGTTGATGTGCTGTCATATATATATGTATTTGTACAATTGAGTATTTATTTAGAAGAGAGGATGTATTTTTTCTTTGATCATTAGTCAGGCACGCGAATGCGGTGTAGAAGGATCTTCTTGAGTTTCCGTCATTTTTTCACCTAATTGTCTCTTTCTGTCTTGCCTTTGTGTTTTTAGGTGTACATTGTCCCGTCAAGATGCTTGAAGAAGGTGCTCAATAAAATTTCCCGCAAGTCGCAACCCAAGAATTATTTTAGAATCTTACAGCGTCAGTTAGAACGAGATCCCAATTGGCCGCCTTTGCCCAGCTAGCAGTTATTCAATATTTTTTTCAATCTTGCTTTAGTTTGTTTTTATGAAACGGTTAGGTATTTAGATAATTTAAATGGCTTCAATTCTCCCATCTATCAAGACGAAATAGTAAAAGTTGTATAATTGTACATATGTGTCGTAGTTTTGATGCATGGTCATCGCCACCGTATTGCACATTGGACCCCACTAGTTGTCAGTGCTGAAATAAATTTCTTTGATGCAATCATCTACAATAAAGGAAACATGTAGTTTCACTTCGCTGAGATTTTTGCAAATGTAAAAAATAGTTGCTGCATCTTAAGTTTAAGGTTCGTTTCACAAGTATCCATTTTTATTTGAAAATTGTTATTTTTTGTCCGTGGATTCACCGTCGGTTCTCATTCGGTCACCGAAAACGCAGTTTGAGAAAAACGCCTTGCAGAGTGGTTGAAATCGCCGTTTCCTCTAACTTCTTGTAGGCAGATGAAAACAGAAATTGTCGAAGAAGGGTAATAGGGTGTGATAGTGTAATAGGGTGTGATTTCGCGTGGGATAAAAATGTTTTGGCACTCGTGTCTCACAATTCTTTCCTTCATGTTTTTGCAATAGTTGATCACGTGATCAACTATTGCAAAAGGCCTTTTCTCTCTGTTTTCACGTAATTCTTCATTCCAGAAACTCTCACGTCTTGAAATGACAGCCATATTTCCCCTGATTTCTTAGATCGTTTTCGGTGGATAAGCGTAAGTCGTCAAGGCAGCCATTAACCAATCATAAGTATCGCTTGTCTACGCTAACGAAAACATGAACAAAAACGCCAAAGGGAAAGGGAGCAGTGTCTCTTTTAACTCATTCGCTGCTTATTTGCCCCCCTCCCTTTTTCCTTCCGCGCTCGCCCCCGTCTGTCATGCAGACTGTGAGTTAAGCTACAGTAACCACCTGTCTTAACAATCGAAACGTTTACTCAACGACCCAACAGTAGCCTTCAGGCCAGACTGAGGATGTTCTGAGTTATACTATTTCGTAACCGGATGAGTCAGGCAGCTTGTTGATTTTAGGGGAAGGTAGGGAGAATAATAGAATGATAAAAAGCAAAAGGAAAAAGATATCCTTCTAAAGATGATGCGTGTGGTCGGGGCCTAAAATAAACAAGTGTGAACTGTCACTGGATATTCGTATGGCCATGCAATGGCCGTTTTCGCACTAGAGAAGTCAAGTCAAGTCAATTTTTATTTAAACTCACACAATAATAATTAATACAAATTAGTGCTTTAAAATATAAAATCCAGACATTGTGAGGGAAGAGAAATTTTCAATTGTAGGTTCATTATGCAGAGTTTGGGATCGAGTAAGCGTTGGACGCCATTTTAATGGATGGGAAACCACGCCAGAGCCTCGAGGGCATTGTTCATCCGTCCTAGGTGAATCCGTGAAAAGGCAAATTTATGATGTACATTCGTCTGGAATTCACAGTAAGAAGGAAAATATATCAGATGCATTATTCGTCTTGACGCATTCTCTGTCTCTAAGTGTCCGCAAATAATCCATGATATGATCATGATGATTTCAGCGCGCTGGTGACCTCATCACTGAGGCCCTGTATATGTGAGATGAGCCACTCTGGTTATAAGTCTTGCTGGCCCACTTTGCCGGGTTGGCTCGGCTCATGCCTTGTTTCGTCATTAAATTCTCGTTGTGTTTTTATGGTGGCCCGGCCTTCAGAAGCCGAGATCTCAGCCAGAGGGCCCAAATAAGCCCGCCTGCCCACACGAAAACTTTACGAAGAAACAAGGCATTAGCTGAACCAGCCACTGGCTTACCTAATATAAATAGGCCCTTGGTCACCGTGTACTCGGAAAAGTTACCAGAATATCCTATTTGTAAGGACCCTAAATCTCGCTGTTAGGTCGGTGATTCTTCATTGTCATTGTATTACTAACTAGTAAATTAGCTTATTCGTATAGCTTCTCCGAGGGCCAGTAAACGACTAATAAATTCAAGGGCATTGAAATTCGCACGTCCATCTATAAAAATAGAGAATAGCCTCATTTGATAAACAAACCGGCTAGCAACAAGTAAATTCAAACCTTAGCTCGAAACAACAACGCCAAGTAACCGGATTTTATTGTAAATTGGAGGTAATGTAAAATACAGCATTTCACTCAGTTATTTATTTATTTTTTTTTTGGTTTTGGAAGTAAACAGCAAGAAAACGACAAAAAAAAGTGGACTACAACTTTTAATTACGGCGCCATTTCTTTAATTTTATGTGGCAAAGCTGAAACCTCTAAAAACAGTGAGGCCAAAGGTTCTTATTCCTACGAACAGGGTAAATCCAGAGTCTGCTTGTTAAACGCAAAAAGTACGGCAATTGTAAGAACTACAAGTCTCATAAGCAGGGTTCAAAAGTGTTAAACAATAAAAATGGAAGCGATGGAAAATGTTCGCAGTGCGCACGTTTTTGACTTAAAATTATTAAAGGAATTTTATTCGGTGTTTGGGATTTATTGCAAAATTCATTCGTTTCGGGAAATATTTATAGGTTAAGGAAAAATATCAAAAAAAGCAATTTGACTCATTTTACTTGGTGTTAACTCCTACGCATCAGCACTGATCAAACGACATCCTCTCCCGAAATGAGAAAATGATTTCTGTTGATTCATTCTCCTTGATCTTGTTGAAGAAAATGTTGATTGAAGAGTTACGTTAGCCACTTGTGGCAATTGCTACAATATATGTTTGTAGTGGAGTTGTTGTAAGCGTTCTTGTTGATTGGTTGGAGTAAACTACTTCACTACTAGTAGGTTTGGTTTCTGAGTTAATTGATGATCGATAGAAAGTTTCTCCTGACATGAATTCGGTGCAAAGGAGATGTACCAATTTGGTGCATCTCCGCGGTAACACTTCTGTTCATGAGATATGTTTAATTAGAGCCTTTCGCAGATGACAAAGCCTTGTTTCGACTTGTTAATATTAAGTATTTTGTCTAGTTTGACATTTTTGACCTTAATCTGGTCTCCCTTCGATATTTACCAGGAACTGACCACCCTGCTTGTTTTTTAAGAGTTTTAAGCGTGTTTCCTCGAGTTTTTAACCGAATTCTTGGCAGTGGATAACTTTAATTAGGCTTAGTGGTTTTATAGGTGTTTTTGTAATCAAACAACTATTGTTTTAAATTCTGCTTTGTACTTTGAACTGCATTTTTAATTTGCCCTTTAAGTTTGCAATCACGTTCGTGGTTAAATTAAGGAAAAGTTGTAGCCAATCATCTTCGATTAAGAAGCTTAACACCTTCTGTAAATTGACAACAACCTTGGATTTTCAAACTGTAATTTTAGTACTTTCCTATCTGTTAGTATGAAAAGTCTGTTTACTGGTATATACCTCGTAGTTTTTATATTGATCTCCTGGTTTTATATTGGCCAGTTGACTTAAGCTTAGCAGTGAAAACTTCGGTTGAAGAGTCATTTCGACAAAGCAATTATCTCGAAGGTTTCATGCTAATGAAACTGTTTTAACCAATCGGATTAGACTTACGTCAGCATTCGGTTTGCGCTAAGCAGCTGGTTTCCTGGCTCATATAAAAATGCGTGTAACACTGATCTAGCGGAGAATTGTAAAGTTCGATTTGCGCTAACTTCGTGTCACCTGACCGAAGAATTAAAAGAAGTCAATTGAACAAGTACTCGTCTGTTTGTTGTGAGAACCAGCTAGTTCCCCCAGAAAGGTTCTTCAACAAAAGCGAATGTCTAGATTTGAGATAACGTGTTGCCATGGATACGTCGAGTCGAGAAAATTGATTTTTTTAGCTGCAATTCCGTTTCCTACTTGGTTTGTAAGATCTTCGCATATCGTGTTCAAAGAAAGTAGGTGTTGTTACTCACAACCTAGTCGAGCCGCTTAAAGCAATTCATGTCAGTTCTTGGAGAAACGCAGTTTGGGTGTTTCCCTATAATTCGCCTAAACAAGGCGTCTGAGACGAAGGATAACTGAACTCCGGTAAAATTGCACTCTGAACGATCATGTGCCTACAAAATAATACACCTCTAGAGGGTGACATACATAGCCTATATATGCCCATGAAAGTGCTACAAACAACTTACGCCATACAGCTTAACGAAAATGTCAAAAAGGGTCACAAAACCCCTAAAAATATTTTGAACACAGATAAAACAGAAATTCCCCTTCAAATTTTCTCGATTCACACAACAGCAATGTCCCTGTTGTCCTCCCGGGTGCAGCTTCTCTCCTTTAGTTTTGACCTTAATCCTCGCGTCGCTGTCGACTTGTTTCTTTAACTTCTTTCTTTAAGGCGGAGTTCTGCAAAACAGCGTGTATTTGAAGCCTACAGGCAAAGCGAGAACACGCGAGCAGTAAAAGAAAACTTCTGGAGCGAGGGCGAATTAAAAATAAACGGGGAGTAAGACTGGGGTTTTCTCTCGCCTGTAGTGTGTGTGAGAATCCTGGGCATCTCTCCATGAAAAACTGTTTAATATATGGAAAATGATGATGATTACTATGACAAAGACAATGACGCTGGCGCTGGCGCTGGCGATGGCGATGGCCATGGTGATGGCCATGGCCATGAAGATGACGACAATGGCGATGGCGATGGCGAGGACCATGACCATGACCATGACCATTTTTTTAAAAATAATTGTTTTATTTAAATCTCACAGTTTAAGTTACAAAGAGGTAAATAATTACCTAATATGGAATTGAAAAAAAAATTGAAAAAAAACAAAACAAAAAAAAAAAGGACGAGACGAAGTGTAACTTACAATTGACCACTCCAGAAATACCATAACATACCATAATGCTCTTTGTTTGTCACCCCCAAAATTTTGCATAAGCATTGTTTTCGGTGTCTCTTGGGGCCATTTTAACTCCCAAGAGAAACTGAAAACAATGCTTATGCAAAATTTTGGGGTGACAAACAAAGAGCATTATGGTATGTTGTGGTATTTTCTGGAGTGGTCAATTGACATTGACTATATAACTACATAGAGTTAAAGGGACAGGCTCACGGTTGAGCTGATGCTCATTAATCAAATTACCTTTTTCAGTTAATAATCCCACTCTCATGTATCTCAGAGTGTATTTCAAAGTAGAATTGTATTTCAGAGTAACCTGAAGTAAAATGGAGGAGCACTAAAATCGCAGAAAAAAATGAGTGGATTATATATGCCAACACTACTAGGAACGTTGAATTTACTGTTGACCCGAAGGTTGATTAATATACATCTATTTGCAAAAATTTAAGTCGATCAAGTGCAAGCCAACTGTCCGGGGATTGTGCAGATTGGTTCTTCGACAACATTATGACATGATCATGTTGCTTGCATAGACGATACAGCATGTCCCGGCAGAAAAACAGCATTTTGACAAATGAGCATGCACTGAACCGTGAACCCGTCATTTTTCTATTTGTTTGGCAAAGTCTGAGAAGGTCAGTGCTTTGTTATGAAGTTTACAAGAATAAGTGTAAAATCTCATAAATAACACAGTGTAGTTTAATTTTGCTGTAAGTCGGCTATATATTGTTGAGTAGATTTGCGGAAAGTCCAAATACAGATTCTTTCAATGATGGAAGTAAGTTGGAATTATTTTTAGAGTTAAACCACCTAAAACGACTGTGTGAATTGGCAGTTACTGAAGGTGTGGTCCATGGAATCCTCTTCGCCGCAAAATAATGTTTAATCCAAAACGAAACAAATCTTTTTGGGTGACAACAATCCTATATAAAAACTTAAATTGAAATTCTCTTAGCTTGTTACCTTTGCAGAACTTCCTCGCTGATTTGAAGAATGTTTGCCATTCATTTAATTCTGTGTTAAGGGTTTTTTTCTATTTATCTGGCCCACTTGGCAGTGGTGTAGGGTTCTGTTCGTTTAAAATTCCATAGAACTCTTTAGTTTTAGCTTTGTCTAAATTGAGCTCGTGACCATTTAACAGCTGGAATAGAGCAGACTTCTCCAGATAAACGTTTTATTAAAAAATGACCATGACCATGATGATGACGATGACCATGGCGATGGCAATGGCAATGATGGCCATACCTCCTGAGGTCATCTTGTCAACCTTGCCACACAAAAAGTGCTATTCCCTATAGCCTTGGACAACCCTTCTCAGACGACCCCACATTCAAAAAACGCTGTGATGAACTAAGCAAACAGTTACAGATAGAGGGCTACAAGCAATCACACGTACAACACGAAATCACCAAAGCACAACATGTTACACCAGACCAAGCCTTAGAATCGAGCCGCTTAAAACAAAAACATGGCCATGATATCCCATTCGTAGTCACCTACAATCCAGCTTCTCCATACCTTAACAAGATCATCACGAAACACCTGCCCACACTTCAGTCTTCAAACAGATTTTGAAAGTCCCTATAGCGTATACAGACGCCCACGAAACCTGCGTGACCTCCTCGTTGAGTCCAAATTGAAACAAAGACACCAACTTCAAACACACCTTCCATAAAGTAACGCAACACCATCAGATGCAAAACCTGTCCCTTCATTAAAGACGGTATATCATCATGTACATTCTAAGGGTGTGTTCCTTTTGGCGAATCCAAAAACGGATTTTGGATCCTAGATTTGCCGGATTTCGAGGTCGGAAGGAAAGTGAAATCCGAAATTGGATTTGTAACCTTGGTAACCTTTCGCAAACTCGTGCAATATGCATGACAGTCTCTTAAGCATTGACATGTTTTCTACTGTTTGACGTGCGATTATACCGTGCAGAATTTTGTGGTCGGAAGTTCGAACAGCTAATAGGAGGGGAGCATTGGGATTTTCGGTTTTGCGGTTTTGGCTATTTTTTAGATCGGTTTTTCGGTTTTTGTTGCAAAAGACTTCGGTTTTTCGGTTTTGGTGGTCATTGCGGTTTGCGGATTTTTCGTTTTTTAGCATCTGGTTTTCGGTTTTCCTGAAAAATACTAACGGTTTTTCGGTTTTGATACCCAATGTGGTTTTTGGTTTTTCCTATTTTGTCCTATTTTGGGTTCCGGTTTCTGTTCGATTTGAGCAGCACTCGAATAGCCGCGAAACGCCAAAGTTATTTAGAGGAATGCGTGACAAAATAAATGTCATGGTAGGGGATCAAGCGTCTCCCTTGACGCCCGGCGAGACTTTGACCTCGCTAGCCTGCGAAGCGCAGACGCATTTCCGGTCGTCGCTTCTCTCCCTCCGCTATTTTTCGGAGGGAGAGAAGCGACGACCGGAAATGCGTCTGCGCTTCGCAGGCTATGACCTCGCAGACCAGAGCGACCATTTGGTCAGTTTGCGAGCTATGGCTTCCAACGTGCCTCCCGCGCCAGCAACGGAAGAAGCCATTGGTTTGGTTCGCCATTGCAAAACTGTACTTGAAGAGCATGCATATTAAATACGTGCTGAGGGTAACATCACTGAGGCCCTAAATGGTCCCCAAGGTCAAGTCTCTGCAAAAACAGTAAACTCTGTCCAATTAATGGCATGGGGACTAGGAAGACTAGCAGACATTCTAGGAGAGTATGACTACAAAGCGCTTGATCTCTTAAGCTGTATGACTTTAGACGTTGAAAATTGCCATGCCACTGTTCCTTCCAAGAAAGTGAACGTGTCTAAGCTCGAATATGCTAGGTCGTTTGGTGCAACAATGAAGGAGAGCGTCAAACGTGCTACAAGCTGGGCTGCGTACTATCACACCAGTCAAAGGTCCTGGTACCCAAAGCCCGACACAACGGTGTCTCTTCATAACGTACCGTTGATGATGCCTCTGTCCGTTGTCAGCCTTCCTGCAAATGACTGTGACCTCTTACGCAACTGGGCCTCAGCACAGGAAACTACAATGGCTAAGCACGGAACATTGCCAGAGTATCTTTATCAACGCCATCTCGAAGTTGGTGATAAGGTTAATCTGAACTTCGGAGTTGATGAAGATGAAGGACCCCATGAAGATCTGAACGAGCGTGAAGTGAGTGAGGAAGCTAGTGTCTCTAGCGAAGGCCAGCAAGAATTTGATGAAAGTAGTGACGAAGAAGTTGAAGTCAGTGCAGATGACAACAATTCTCAGGGCCAGCAAGATGAATTAGGGGCATTGAGAATTTTCTCTTTGGTGCAAGGTCGCGATATGGAAGGGCAGTGAGGTTCAATAATCGACTGCTGTTTTGAGTATCTGTTTATTACCACATTAAACCTTAGAGCAAGTTCCTGCAGCCATGTAAAACTGAAAAGGAACTAATCGTACCGGTTAGCTTCCTCAGTGTCGACTCAGCTCAGTGCAATCGCATGTTAGACAATCGAGTCTCCAAACTTTCAGGTGTTAGTTATCAAATGGAAATGTTCGATTAGAGATTGTCGATTGAAGTTTCCAGAGTTATAGCTTTTTGCGACTGCAAAATTGCAATTCTAAAGAGGACTTGTGTGCAAATTCTCCTAAGTTAACTAGGCTCCATAACTAGTGGCTTTTCGGAAATTGAGCCGCAAAGTCTGGGCTCGAGAGAGCGGCAGAAGCAAAGCCTATGATTTAAGCAGACACAAAAAGATACGAAGGCTTCAGACAAAGTCCATGACATTCACAAATACTTTGGTGAAATTAGTGTTAGTTTAGTTTGCTCTGTATGCCCCACTTGTCACCATTGTATCGGTTTTTGACGGTTTTGTATGCGGTTTTCGGTTTTGGCCGAATTTTGTTGCGGTTTTGCGGTTTTGGATGATTTTTTCCTTCGGTTTTGCGGTTTCTAATATACCCCTATGCCCCCCTCTAATAGCGGCGATGGAACATACAGTGAAACCTGTATTAGCGGACACCCGCTGTAGTGTCCGCTTAATACAGGGTGTCTAATACAGGTTTCGACAGATAACGTTATATGAGGTGTCAAATGCAATTCAAATGAACAGTGGAAACGTTTAGAATACTCCCAGAGATAATGACGATATACGTTTGCATTAATTTGTTTATTAAAGATGATAGTACCATAAATATAGATTGCAACTTAAATTTGAAGAACTCAGATGAGTGAAACAAGCTCTATAGAAACAAAACGAAATAGAAAACAACACTGTACTGTGAAACTAATCAAATAAGTTCGTCAAGTCACGTTTTTTAATGTAAGAATATTAAATTTGTGTGTGGCAATCTTTCGCATTTCCGGTGTCTGGCACGTTGAATGGTGGAATTTGATTACAAGTGTCCGTCAAGAGTCATAATAGGACTTGTAAAGGACCCATTTTTGTAGAAGTTTGAACCAGTTTCTATGGTAGGTTCTTTGTTGAAGTAGGACACTTACCAACCGAAAGTCCCTCCACATCGTCCCTTCACTTCGGCCGCCATTTTTTTCATTTATTGACTGCGCCTCACTTTGGCGCGCTGAATCGTGAAAGCGAGTTTTCCGGAAGTAAACCAGTTTGCCGGAAACTGTTTCCGCGTGGTCCGCACAGTTCTAAAAATAACTTTTTTGAAATCAAGATACCCCGGTCAACGCCCTTAGACTCCCTCTCTGTCCTATTATGGCCCTTGGTGTCCGTTTAATACAGGTTGGCAACAATAGAAATGACCATTTCAGGTACTTTTTAGGTGTCCGCGTCCGCTTAATAGAGGTTTCATTTCAAGGGAAATAAATTTGGGGACTTCGACTACTGTCCGTAGGAGAAAACGACTCAAAGTAATCGGATGAATTTCAGGCTAGGCCTACAGCGTCTACAAGCAAGTTTGTAGAAAGAGAGCAATTCGTTTGTCCTTTTACTTATATTATTTGTGTTTTAAGCAATTTTTAGCGACAAATGGTTAGCGTGTGGATCTTTTACTGTACCAGAAACAATCTTCCAGTGTTTTCAGATGTTTTACGGCAAATAACAGCAACGAGGAAACTCCACGGGAATAGAGGAGTTCATGCTCATAGTTGCATCATGGGTAATCGGGGCAAGATGGCGGGAAATTCGAAGATTTGTATTGGACTTCAAAGTCAGCTAATTCAGTTCGTGAATTCATATATTTGATACTTTCTCTTTGAAAAGAGTAACTTACGAGTTCAAAGAAACAATTCACTAAATCTGTAGTTCATAGAAGTCTGTGATCAGTTTTTAGAAAACCTCAATTCTTCCATACATTTTCTGTAATTTTGATACTGTCGAATTACAGAAAATGTATGGGAAAATCAAGGTTTTCTAAAGACTGATCACGGACTTCTTTGCACTCCAGATTTAGTATACTGTTTCTTTGAACTCGGAAGTTACTCTTTTTGAAGAGAAAGCATCAAACATATGAATTCAGGAAAATATAGCGGGCTTTGAATTCTAATACAAATCTTCTAATTTCCCGCCATTTTGCCCAGATTACCCATGGTAGAACTATAGAGCGTTTTCACATGACGTCACGGCGGCCATATTGGTGTTCCAAAACAAAGAAACAGCGGCCATGTTGGTGTACCCAGAAAATCCTCTGGGAGTTGAATTCTTTTCTCATGTAAACGCTTTCTTTTGTTCCAATAAATTAGCATAGATTCTGGCCACGTGAGTGAAAACGCTCTATAAGCGTGAACTTCTCTATACTTCAACTGGAAATACTGGTGGATCATCTGACTAATTCCGGATTCACTGTGAATGGAACAGCGTTAATCACTAATCCGTTAAGCTGGATTTGGATTCTTCCGATTTCAAATCCAAAGAATTCTTTTTCAAAAAGAATTCACAAGATCAAACATCCGGAGCTGGATTTGCCGAAAAGAAACGCGAAGTCCGTTTTAAGATCTAAAATCCGTTTTGGATTCACCGAAAAGAACACACTCAAATATAAAACACTGGACAAATCATCCATGGCCAAATTCACCTCATCAAGCAGACGACAATAACAACAACAACAACACCAACCAACCAACCAACCAACCATTTTATTAGCCAACTTTTATAGAACGTTCACAAAAAACAGAATAAATTAAATTAATCAGTTAAAAAAACTAAACGAGCTGAGTAGTTACAATAATTAGATTACATTCTATAGGGTTGGGACACAAGAAAGATAAAGAGGAAAATAACTTGAACTTGGGAGAATAAAAAAATGACAAAGATAAATAAATAAATTATTTACATTTACATGATACAATGTCAAACACACCGGTGGAATGCATTGGACAAACAGAACGAGCCTTAAGAGACAGATTTGGAGAACACCGCAGAGCCATACAAAACAACACTGACGACGCAATACCACAGCATTTCTGTCAACCCGAAAACCAACTAGTCTCCCTCGCAGCCGTTTGGGGAGGAGCGTTGCGTGACGATACTAAAAACGGCTGCGAGGGAGACTAAAAACCAACTTACAGATACTGAACTTATCCCACTCGAACTTATCATCAACAATCCGAACATTTTTACATTGAAAAGGCACAAACTGTGCAGCCACAGAACCACCGTTGAATCATTTATTTACTTATTTATTTCATTTATAATTATACATTTTATTTTATTGTTTATTATCATTATTATTATTATTATTATTATTATTATGTTATTTTATTTTTCTAGTTGATTATTGAAAACTTTTGCCGCCGAGAAGTGAAGAAAATATAATACAAAAACAAGTCCGAAAAACATCTTGCTAACTTAAAATATATAACTCTCATTGCGAAAGTTCCCGCCATAGGACAATTGCATGATGACGCCATTTTACTACAACTATTAGAATCCTTGAGTTTGTTGTTTTCTTGTGCAAATTAAGGCTATTGTTCTTTAGTAAAATCCAACTAGTGGTCTATTATCAATGCTGCGTTCTGATTGGTTGAGCTACTACTAGGCTATATTTTATAGCCCACTAGTAGCAAAAAGCGGCGGATTTTTGGCGGCAAAAAAGAATTAAAGTCTTGCTTTAAGTTGTTTTGTCTCGATATCTATGATAAACTAGTTGGATTTTACTAAAACAATTATTCCTCTCGCCCTCATGGCCTCTGAGTCAATAGCCCATTCGGCCTTCGGCCTCATGGGCTATTGACTCAGAGCCCATTCGGGCTCGAGGAATGATTGTTAATTAATCCTCAGGGGGATTGACAAATTTAAATAACAAAGCAAAACCGGTAGTTGTAGCAAATATCGTCCTCGTGCAATTGTCCTACACTGTAAATTGCAATGTCATTGTGTTGTTCTTCCCCAAGAGATCTGGGGACGAGATTTTGATTTAACGAATCTGATCTGATTGGTTTATTACAAGTTTTCGTAATGAATACAATTTACAGCTGACCCTCCCATCTTGTGGCGAGCGAAAGTGGCTTCCAGTTTAGTTGTAGCAGTTTGCAAGATGGCAGGAATATGCTCATTTATCTGTTGTGTATTACTTTTTGTGTCTTCTGTACGTGGAATTGATTATTCCCACACTAAATTGTTGGATGGAACTGCTTACAAAGTACATTGGATGTTCGATAATGAAACGGAGACATTTTACTTCAAAGTTGACGTCAACACTACTGGTTGGGTTGGATTTGGCGTGTCACAACTGTTGTTTCCGGGGATAGAGGGCTTGGAGTGGAATAGGAATTCAATGGACCACTATGATGTTATTGTCGGCGGAGTTGATGAGAATGGAACAAAGTATTACAAGGTTAGTATTCGAGATGGAGTTTGGTTCGATTCCGCACCACCGTGATATGGTAATAAACTACGTAGCGGCTTGTTTGTTCAATTTTTTGTACGTATGATGTGCAAGTATGTGTGTCTGTACGTTCTTTTCTCCCATAAATGTCGGGTGAATAACGTGGGTTAAACTAGGGACAAAGTGTAGACTTGTCCTCTCATGATCAATTTTTTACTGAGTAATGGTCAGGTACAATTCGCCGGCTGAGTTTAAACGAGACATGAAATTATAAATGTCTGGCCCGGGTTGCTCGAGGCATGGTTAGTGCTAACCAGCGTTAAATACCATGGAAACCTATACATTTTGATACCTCTTAACCAACGGTTAGCGCTAACCAGGCTTCGAGCAACCGAATGTTGCGTGTTTTATCTAAGAAAAATTTCCATTGAATTATATAAACTAGCAATAGTTCTCACTAAAGCGGCCCCCACTTTTTTTATATTATGGATTGTAGAATATCTTCTGAAGTGAAACTTTGTACAGGGAATGACCCTGTTTTTTTCCAACCCTTTTTATTGGGCTGCCCTTCGGGCAAAGTCCAATCAAAAAATGGAGGCCGCCTCGCCCGTGCAGGAAAAAGACAAAACGGTGGACGGATCAGGCTTCCCGTCCCCCCTCCCCTGCATTGTTGCTAAACGTCGTTCTTTTTGAGCGAAAGTGGTGGGTAATTACAGATGAAAATGGTAGTGGTAAGGGAACAAAAATAATATTCTTGTCTGAAGTTATTAGTCCTATCTTATCACCTAAAAACAGGAAAAATTGATTGCGTAGTAAGCCTCTTGTAAAAAGCTCCTTTCACTTGTCTCCTGTCTCCTCAGTACTTTCTGTCACTACCGTAAAAGAGCCTGGATTGAAACACGTTTCAGTTCCAACACTTTATATTGCGAAGGGACGATCGGTCGCATTTGAATCAAGTTGAAGAGGGAAATTCATGTTTGGAAACTGGACCAAGGCAATGCTCACTCCGCATACACATCCATACACTGTTCACAGTAGGACCACACTCAAAGATGATTGTGAGCGTTTTGGGGACAGACCGGTCTGTGAACTCAAAGAGAAATGTAAGACTTGTAATGAAATGAGCAAACTTTATGAACCATCTGTGAGCATAAATGATGAGCAAACTATGATTACAACAAATCGACTGAACATTGCACTATGAGCTGTTGTATGGAAAAAAAAAAACAATTCAGATGCTGCCTGGAAAAGTTCAACTGAAAGTTTTATGTGTTGATGAAAACAACAGCATGTCTTACTATAAAAGGATTGCACTCGAGCTCTATGATGTGCTGTATCAATAATAAACAAATACAAAAATAGGAACACCAAACAGCAATTACTCTTAAGGTTAATGGTTAAGGCTAGGAAACTGAGTGAATTGAATCCGAATCCTTATACATTCAACTTGAATAATCCAGCCTGGTGTGCGGCATTGTCGTATCAAAGATTTGCCAGTGATATAATCAAATCAAAAAAATAATGCAAGCACGAATACAAACTTCAGCTTCAGGTGTTGGGTCTTAGCAAATAATTTCTTCCTTCAAGTCCTTTGAAAGAGGACAAACAGAAATGATTCGAGGACAAGTAGTGTTTTTATTTATTTATTTATTGACATTTTTCTTTTCTGACGTGATTGAACTCGCGTTCTAGTAGAAAGCCAATCAAGCATGAAGCATGCATTCATGCAAACATTTCTCTGGGTTCATTTCACATTTTATGATATCTTTATGTCATGATTGTGAAGACGTTCCATGAACTTGAATAATGTTATCTACTTTATCCAAGATCTGGAAAATACGGGAAGAAGACGATTAAATTTTTAATACACAAGAGTTGGAGGACAGAAAAGTAATCGGCAAAAAATGTCAGTCTGGACCAATAGCTCTGCTTTCATGTCATGTCATGTCACAGAACCAAATTGTCACACAAGTCGGCAGACCATTGTACCCCCATTTATGGGGTTCTTGTTTCTTATCTGAGAGGCTTTGTTATTTGAATAAATCTGGAAAGTGTAAGGTGAGAGGTTTTATTATCATCATATGCTATTGCCCAGTTATCCCTGGTTGCACTCGCATGGGACTGAGGCGTAGGTCAAATGGGTTGTTTTCAGTCATGGCGCGTTTCAATAATGAGCTGACTCTGGCCTCAGTTTATTGCACAAGTCAGATTTGTTGTAAGTAGCTCTCCCTAATGAACTTGATGTCTTATATCTACTGTAATAAAAGACAGATATGGTAATTTTTTTTTAAAATTTAATCAAACAACAAGCTAATATGTATAATATGTATTTTGAGTCAAACAGTTTAAGAGCTTATGTGTTGAATAATTTGAATAGAATTTGAATTTGAACATGAATGTTATAAAACATATCTAACAGTCAGTAAATTATATCAAAATTATGAACATGTGTTGTTATTAAATTTGTGGTCTGCTAATACAAGTTAAAATATTTCTCACAGTCAAATTTGATAAACGTGGGAAAAAAAACATGATGTAACGTCGAAAAAACTGTCAACTGCATAGGAATAAATATGAGAGGTGTTTAGTACAGAATTCATAAAATGTCCTGTCTTAGCAATAACTACTGGATTTATTTCACACACATCTAGCTTAAGTTCCCCCTGGTTTTCATCTTCCATTGAGCTACTGTAAGCTAAGGAATCTGTTACTTTACAAAATGTGTTGCTTAATTCATATATTGTGAAAACCATCCTTCCTTACACTTTTTTTTCGGTGCAGCCAAATTGGAAAACTCTTTTACATCTGAACAAAGATCATCAATATAGGTCCATTTTTCTTGACTGAGAACTGCGCAAGTAAAATGTCTATTACGTGATCACACCATCCCTTTCAACTTGTATTCGGTTTGGCCTACATTTATATTTTTATACAACTTTATCACATTCATAAGCTCTGGAGAGAATTCAATAAAAACAAACTTTGAGTGTGCTGCAGAGGTCAAAATTGGCCTCACACGTAGTGGTTTCACAATTGAGGGCAGTTTAACTTTCCAGGGTAAGTTTGAATAGCAGAAACAAACTGTGGCCAGGAATTGTAATTCAGCTCACATGAATGAAACACAACAATAACATTCACCTCTTAATCCTACAAGCATAGCCTGTGAAGAAGAAAGCGACATGTTTCAAGAACAGTTCTTTGATCATTTAGTGTACTGAAAAAACTAACAGAGGAACTGTCGCAAACTAACAAAGTAAGAAGAAGGGAAAAGGTTCTGGCAGGGAAAGTGTTCTAGTATTTAAACATTGTATTTGCCCTTGCGTGTGATCTATTTTAGCCACTTGACAAAGGGTTTTGAGATAAACTAACAGTAGTTTTCCAAAAATTGCTACTTTTATGGCACTGCTCAAACTCTTGAACACAGGATGGTGAAAACTGTGAAAACATTTGGCCTCGTTGTAAACATTTGATGCACAGAAGTGTACTAAGGATTGTTAAGTCGCGCCGGCAGATTCACTTGTTCTCGAGAATGTGTACCTTTCCTTGCTAAGAGAATGGGCAAAGCAAACTCGAAAGTTACAGAACCATCTCTCAGGAATTCTCCTATTCAAATAGTTTTGTGAGTCTTCTCTTCTGAAGTGAAGCAAGCACACTTTCGTTCTTTTAACACTGTGATAGTACATGTAAAGTGCTTACATTCACTGTGCTGAATCACTTGAGTCCTTTCTTTCTTTGTAAAGAACCTTGTCAAAGGGAAGATAATCAACTTTCATTTCTGCTGGAAACTTCCAGTCTTCCTTCAATCAGCACAGTAACATCACTCATAAGTTCTGTTCCCTTTCTTATTAGGGAGCTTAAGCAAGAACTATGAAGATGGCAGTGAAAACATCACTAAAGAAATGAATTTTCACTTTTCCAAACTTTATCACAAATAATTATTCAGACACGTTCCATTTGTCAATTGTGGGTGATTTTTCCCAGATTTTAATTAATTCTTAAAGGACTGTATCCTGATTCAAAAAATAAAAAGTAGAATTAGTCATTGTGTGTTCACGTCCTCCATAAAACGTCACATTAGAGAGACTTTTTCACATTGTAGTTGTGTGGTGGAGGTCAAAGAAAAGTATTAAAAAGTGTGGTGCACATGCAGAGCTGTTGTTTTGCTCATAAAACCAACTGTTTTTTCATGTTGTCATCTTCGTGGTTACTGAAGCTCTATATTGTATGATTGTACAAAAACCTGTTGCTGGACATTTCGTGTAATTTCCATTTTTTCTAGAAAATAAGTACATCTACAGCTGCAGTCCCTCATCATTTCCATTTGGAACAGCAGTGTGAATGAAATACATGTATATTTGTACTCAAGAAAAAAAAGCCTCTCTTGGTTGCCTGTTAAGGACCAACTGTACTATCGCCAAGCTATTATGTCCTACAAATGCATGACCAGTCACGCCCCTGAATATCTTACGTCCCGATTTCTTACCCATGAGCAAGTTAGCGAATGAACAACTTGGAGTAGCCAAAAGCTAAACATCCCTCTTTTCAGAACAGCCTCCAGACTGAGAACCTTTTATTACAGGACTGTTAAGCTTTGGAACAATTTGGAACCTTTTCTTAAATTAAGCCAATCTCTTCAAATTTTTAACGTTCCTTAAGGAGCCAGCTTTTAGACAATGTTGTAAATACTTTGTAGTTAAGTTTGAAAACATTGTAATTAGCATTAAGTTGAGTGTTGTGATTAGTTATGATAAATAATGTAATGTTTTTAAATAATGATTGTTCCTTTCCTTTGTGGAGGTAACAATAAAGTATGTATGTATGTGACAGGCAAAGAGTTGATTTCCTTCTTCCCCTTAATGTCACCTTTCTTGTGAATGGCAATATTTTTACATACAATGGATACACTTGCATATTTTTTGGATCCATGGACAAAATGACAGGCTACTGGCAGACATCACTAGCATCACAATATTTAAGTTTGGCACTTTCCAACTTACAAGTGAAATTCCCCTGCAGTCAGTGACAGTTGCGGGCATCACACCATCATAACTTTGTTTGATTTGATTGTTAACATCAATCTTTGAATACATGTATCTCTCAGGATTACATGACAGATGGACACGTCCATCCCACCCCAGATACCAAACAGGAGTCTGACTGGATTGTAACAAATCTTACTGAAGTGGATGGCAGGACAATGATAGAATTTACAAGGAAGCAGAATACTAGTGATATTGATGACCATGTCATTGGGGTAAGCACATTGCACTGTAACGGTAAAACATCGTAACTTAATAGTTCAGAATGGTGAAGATCTTATTAATGTAGACCAAAAATGTGTATGCTTTTAAGCTAACAGTGTTTACCAATGTTCCCCCTAATTTTTAGCTCAGCAAGTGAGGGACCATTAATGGACAGTAAGGCAAAAAATATGCGCCAGAGGCGCACTTTCCTGGGGAGGGGAGGGGTAATGGAGTTAGGGACATGACCCTGCCCTCACTGGGAAATTTAGGAGCTAAGTTCTCTGAAATGTCATTCCCTCATTTTAACCCATTCACCCCTGAGCTGCCCATAACTCCCCGTGCAGATCCATGCCCTTTCTACCACTTGTGACGTCATCAGTTCTAATGTTCAAGGACAATTTTGTCCGCCAGCTTGTGCAGAGTCAAGAGGTCTTTCAAACTGTACCAGAATGAGCACAATTCAGTCAAGGACACCAGAGAAAAAGGCAAAAAACCATGTAACATTGACTGACCCTAATCTTGTTCCACTACCCAGCTACCTTTCCTTTCATCTAATCCTAAGATCCTAAAAGCTTTTTCCCACCAAAATGAAGCCTACTAAATGCCCAGCAAGAGAAAAAAAAATGAGACAAGAAAAGCAAAAAAAAAAGGGGGGGGGGGAGAGAAAGAGAAAAGTAAAAGTCAAGACTTCTTGTTTTCTGGGCATGCTTGAACTTTGAAAGCTAATATTTTACATCTGGATCAGAAGTCCATGAAGTGTATGACCTGTAAACGGCTTTGTGGTAAGTTTTAGCTCGTTACAGTATGACAATGACCAGAAAACCACTCGATTACTGTAGCTTCAAAACGTGTTTTTCGGCAAAATCTCCAGGGTTAAGACCTACTGTAAAACCCCGAAAATTACCCCCTCCATGATTGTACAAGCCCCTCCAAACTGAAAATATTAGCCCCCCAAATTTGTAACACAAAAACACCTTTGTTAAATCTGTAAGCTCTTGGGGGCTTGTACTTGGAAATTGCCCTCAAATACAAAAAAACAAACAAAGCAAAAACAGTACAGCAACATATAATTTTTTTTATTTGCCAAAGAACTATTACATGTGCCAAAGTGATTGCAGTAAAAAAGTGTTACAGTTTATTGTTGTTTGCATAGTTCACTCCTCACTCTTGACTTGGGTTTCTAATTGTTAAGATACTGTGTGCTCCATACTTTATAATTTAACATTAATTATTTACCTTTTAACTGAGTATTGCATAATTTTCAATAAATGAATTTGCCGTTGTGTCTTCAGGGATTTCAATAAGCACCGACAACTGACAAAACACATCGGCTACTTTGCTCAGAGCAGTCAGCTACTTTTTTCCTCGAAAAGGAAGCAATTAGTTTAAAAATGTCAAAAACAAAAAAATATATCATTAATTGATTGAGTGGCTGTGAAACCTGAATGAAAGCTATAAGTTTTTAATTGAAAAATACGCTCTTCTGACGTTCTCAATTAAGTCCCAGGAACACTGGAAATCGCATTTTAGGGCTTTGAAATTCCAAAAAGATCTATGTCCTCACGACGGGTTCAGTCAGTAAAAACTTCTTGCAAATTACTGACATAAATTTCCTTCCAACTATAAACTAGCCCAATCGATTTTGAGACACAAATTTCCCTCCCAAGTATAAGCCTAACCAATTTTGAAAAGCAAATTTCCCTTCACTTATTTTCAGAATTTTACGCAAATCAGGCGTTGTTATCTTCAAACAGCAATTTAAAACGTTTGATTCCAAAACTTTTACTCTGTCTGAAACGTTCTCTTTCCAAAATACGTTGCTTGTAAAAGAACGGCTGTATACTTAAGTACTTTTCCATATACATGTATTCATTCCAGCATTTCCTGGTGAGAGTTGGATCAGATCACAACTTGCATATTATTTAAGACTACTTATTTGTTAATTAATTTTAGTAAACCTTCAAGCGGTTTTAGGCGGTAAGAAGTGTTGCTTCAGGTCGTAAATTTTTCCAGTTACTGCCTGATGAGGAGAACACTGGTTTACAATGTATTTGGAGTTGTCAGCGATAAACGTAGGCGATTGTTTTGAAAGAGAATACCTACAGCTTTAAGTTGGCCGGTGAGCACTTTTTTCTCTCTTGCATGACTTTTACATGTAGCATTTATGAAGTCATTTGCGTGGCTTGTAAACAAACCACGGGGTGTAAACAAACAAACGACTCCGTAAAAGCTAAAAGTCATACAAGAGAGAAACCTCTGCTAGATTTGCTCTTTCTGTTTGAGACAAGAGTGGTTACTAAACTACCGTAACTGACGTATAAAAACAATTTTTTTTCCTGAGTGGCAACCAAGAGACAACAAATCAATGGTGGACAAAAAAGTAATCGTAATTTCAAGGTCTTCTCATGGGAATAGAAATTATGAGAAAAATTACAGAGAGTTTATTCAAAACTCAACCTTTGCAACAAAATATGAAGTAATTTTAAATAATATTCTGAATTTTGCCATCAAATGTTACTGTTTGACAAGTTTGACCAAACACATTAAAAGCTCAGAAAAGTGTGTCTCTAGCTGCTTAATTAATATTCATTGTTTTTAGTATGAAATCTACCTTTAGCTCCTATAAAGAGCCTATAATTATTTTGAACTTGAACAGCCTATTTTTCCAATCAGATTTTCCAAAAAGTGGTTGGGATGCCTGATGAGGGGATAGTAGTTTAAGTGTATGACAAATGGCCAAAATATTAATTATTATTACTGGTAAAAAAATTATCATACTAGAATTGATTGCATGGTATATAATATGGTTGTGTGGATCATTGTAAAATTTAACTTGAGGCAGGGTCTGACAAATGTGAAAAATGTGGCAAGTTGAAAAAACTGCCAGGCACGTGTTTGACTTTTCGGGCCAGCTGTAACATTTTGACTAACTGGGTATTTTCCACAACTCTCAAAAACATGGCACAGAGGCCTATGATGCTTCATTCTCTCTTTTGGTTTGTTACAATTTTGTTTTGTTTCATTTACCAAATGATTTTCATTAATAAGTTACTAACAGTGCTCCATGGTCAAAAAGCTCAAAAGATTACACAGTAGAGAATTAGATGGAATACCTGTTTAGAGATTTTTATGATTACAACAGATGATTGAATTTTTTTTGGTCAATCCGATTGTTATTTTTTGATAATTTAAATGTGTAGCCTTCATTATGAAATCTTGCCCCAATTCCCTACACCAACAATTGCTGTTTTATAATCACTCTTGATATTATTAATAAATTATACTCTTCATTTCCTGAAATATTATGCTCTGTACTGAGTTCAGTGCCCTTAATATCTTATATCCAGCTCTAATGCCAGTATATATGTCTTTCAAATTGATATTCTTACTCCCTACTGGGTTCTTTGCGGGCACTGTTGTTATGGTACATTCAATTTTATATTGAAGCAAGTTACAATTATGTGAGGTGAAGTTGTATGGTAAGCCGTTTTTTTGTTATTTTTACAGCCTGGACTTCGGCGGATAGTGTGGTCTTATCATAATTCATCAGATGTGACCACAAAGCCAGACTGGCAGAAACATACAGCTAATGGACATTATGAGATTGATTTTATTGAGTTACCAAGAGAACCACCTGTGGTGGAATATGTCCGAACTGAAGCACCCACTTCAGGTGCTTTTGCAGCCTCTATCATTGGTAACTTTCTTCTTATAATTGTGGGTTTAATATTCTTTTACTAGTTTTTGAGTTGTGCAAAATTTTGTATTTGTGTCTGCTTTTACTTCATGCATCGTGACTGAATGCAATATTATCTTTTTAGATGTAATAATCGTAAGCAAAAAAATACGTGTATGCATTGGTTAGATTAAAGGTTATCATAAATTGTATGTACAGTGGTACAACAGGTATGACTGTTACGAAATACAGGTTAGATTAACGTCTTTTGAAATAATTATTGCAAGATAGCCAGCCACTTCAGTATATTCTACACTTATGCTCTTTTTTCAAGACTATGGTGGGAGCTAATTTAAGATTCTACAGTGTACACTTTACATGAATAATGAATAACAAAATTGATACAACCCATTGAAAGGAAAAGAAATCAACTGTACATCTGATCCAAACTCTACCTGTCAAATATATATATGCCTTGATAAGCTAATGAAACATTTTGGATGCTTCACATAAATGCTAGCGTAGTTGGCTTGTGTCAAGTGAAAATAAATGACAGAACAAGTGCAAAGCGCAAGAAAAAGAAAAATTTTAATTATTCTTGTTGCTTGCATTTAGACTCTTTACACTCTTACCCCAGTGGTTGAGTTTTTACTTACGTTGGGAGCGAAAAGCAGGCTATCCGATTCAAGTACTATATGCATAAGATTTAACCCATTCACCCCTGAAAAGCCTCTAACCGCCCATGCGGGGCCCCGTGCGGATCCACGCCCTTTCTACCCTTTGTGACGTCATCAGTTTTAACGGTCAAGGACAACTTTGTTCGCTAACTTGTGCAGAGTGAAGAGATCTTTCAAACCATACCAGAATGAGCACAATTCAGTCAAGGACAGCGGAGAAAGAAGCAAAAAACCATGTGCCATTGACGTGAAAATCTCCATGAAAATCTTGTTCCATTGCTCACCTACCTTTCCTTTCACCTAATCCTAAGATCCTAAAAGCTTTCCTAAAAAGTCTTCCCACCAAAATAAAGCCTACAAAATGCCCAGCACGATAGAAAAAGGGAGGCAATGAGGCAAGAAACGCGAAGAGGGGAGGAGAGAAAGCGAAAAGTAAAAGTCAAGACTGCTGTGTCACTTTTAAACCCCAAAACTCTCGAAATTTTGCTTTCTGCGCATGCCCGAACTTCGCAAGCTGATATTTTGCATCTGGATCAGAAGGCCGCGAAGTGTACGACCTGTAAACCGGTTCGTGGTACGTTTTAGCTCTTTATAGCACGACAGTGACCAGAAAACCACTCGACTAGCTTCAAAACGCGTTTTTCGGCAAAATCTCCAGGAGCGAATGGGTTAAAGATAAAATGGCCGGAAATGTGCATGTGTTGGTCTCAGAGACCGGCCCACCTATCATCATCCAGCCCGTTAGTACAGTTGAGGTACACAAGGTTTAGAGTGTCTGCTATGTAGGCTAATCTCACTTTGATGTTGATGTTAATTGCTTTGAATATTAAAGGAGATTGTAGGCTTTTGACATTTTAGCTGTTACATTGGTGTATAATGGTATTAGGTCTCACGTTTTTATAATGTAACAAGGATAGTTGGGCAAAAATAGTGGCTGAAAACTTGGAGCTTGTAAAAGTGACAAGTGGCATATCCAACATGAAAAATAGTGTTTCAGTACATCAAACATCAAACTCGGAAAAAAGAATTGAAAATATGAAGCTTAGTGTTGTATTTTGAGGGAATGTCTAGCTGCTTGAGAAATTGTGATGAGACACTGTTTTAATCACTTCTCTCAACAAAATGATTTAAAAGGAGAAATCAAGTATTCCAAATTGATGAGCTTTTTATCAGGCATCGTTTTTCTTTTGTTTTTCTTTTTTTATTCTTGTTAGTTATTTTAAAACTACTTTACTTTTTAACAAATGAACTACAGCTTTTATGTCATGTACACTATGTCAGTAATTTGAAGATAGTCAGTGTTTTATCATTGATGTTAAATAGCTATTTTAAAAAACTGAACTCTGAACTATGTAATCTTAATGGGTGAAGGTGTACATTTTACCTCATTTGTAGTTGTTTCATGTTAGGATAAGTTTGTTTATTAAGAACTGTTATTATTGAACTTTCCTCCTCTGAGGTTTTTGAATTTACACAGCTCTTTGGTTCAAGTAAACTGCATTCAGTGCTTAATCGTTGTTGTAACATAATAAGCGAAATTTGTTCCATTACACCTTAAAACAGTCGCATCTTTTAAAACAAATACGGTTGAGGCTGTTGGATAAGGAAGGGGTACATTGTACCTATATATTAGAGGTTTTTAACCTGCTACTGCTACTCAAGTACCCCATAATACATCGTAGTTTGAATGAGTCAGCCCGTGTCTTGAAAAGAAGTTCTACAAAGTAGAAATGTAGAGCTGTATCCTAGAGTCAGGAGAGGTTTGCTCTTTGTTGCATTGCTTTAGACACAGTAGTATAGTGTAGTCATTAGTATTGGTTCTGTTAATGCTGCCGCTGGCCATACATCATAATTTCCCGCCTCACCTTAAAGGGCCTATATGTCATGGTGAGTTCAACATATTTATTTAAGAGAAGCTGAAATTATAACTAAGTATTTTCAGCCATCTTTTGACTGTCATACGCAAAACTCCTAAAAGATAGATTTCAATTTTTTCTGTTGAAAGGTGAAAACAAAGCACGCTTTTTAGTCTTCGTGACCACACACGAAAATGTCAGCGTGGCATTTTTTTTTTTTCAAACTGCAATCCGTTTTCATTCTGTGGTACCTATCGAAAGCTAAACTGAGCCTGCCGTAGCTTGAGTTATGGTATATTAGTAGAGTAGTTTTGAATAAAACTTAGCCATCATTTCGGAATTTCGTTTGATACCAATGTTTTAAGTGAATCCAAAAATTGTAACATAGCTCCCTTTCCAAACTTAAAAGCTTAAAAGTACTGTACCAGGGCTCGCACTTTAAACTTAACTGTAGCGGTCATATACTCACAAGTATTTAGTTGTACAAATCTGTTCGAGATGTTACTCAAGCATATACATTAAAATTTATTGTGAAGTATCATCCTGTGTCTGCTGGTTGTAAGTTATGGGAGTCTGGCTGTACCGTATGCACGTACCCTGGATATGACAGAAGCTACAGATAACTGCGAGTGCCTTTTTCTAATCCTGTCAGAAGAAAGTTGCCGTGGATGAGAGAGTCACTTGTATCCTTAAAAAGGGAAGAAAGCGGACTACAAAAACAATATTTACAGAGCCCTACCCCCACCCCTCACGTTTTGGTGTCGAAAAACACTTTTACTGATGTAAAATTTTACTAATGTAATTGACAACACCTGTGACATGCATCAACGACTTCAGAGCGCACATTTTCTGCCCTCAGATGACTCAAGAACTACCAAAGAAGCACAATGAAGCAGGACCGCCTGAACAACTGCCCACTGATGCATTGTCACAAATCGATAACGGACACACTAGACACTTTGAAGATTGCTTGTGTCAACAAACAACGTAAACGGTATTTTGGAAAATTTGACTAGGGGTATAGGTATGGCTGAGTGGAAGATGAGACCCCCCCACCCATTCCCCGCTTTTCAAAACGCCCCGCCGCCTCTGGAGTGGCTTCCCTGTCGTCCCAGAGAATTTCTACAATATTGTCGAGGGTCTGTGACGTAAATTTTTGTCTAATCCAGTGAATGTCGATTTATCCCGATCCCCGTGACCCGGGCATATCTTTTCTTTTTAAAAAGCCAAGGGTTTGGATGCATCCTCACCTTCCAATGCAACACAAAAAGTGGTGAGATCAGTCACGTGACAGGATTAAGGGCAAAGTGAATGTTGAAATAAAAGCTTTAATAATATTTTAATAATGAAGAAAATACAGTCTGCCCTTCGAACTGCGATTTTGGTTCTCTAAGACAATATTTCCCCAATCCCGGATTAAAAATTAAAAAACACCAAATAGCAAGTCACGTGCATAAATTCAATCCCGAACCTTGTTCTCCTTCGACTCCTCCTCGGCGATTTCCGGCTTCAAACTTGCTTTGGAGTAAATCCTTGATCCCGAGAAACGCAGTCATTGTCTTGCCACGTCTAGAATTCATTCAACGTAATTCTTAGTCCTGAAAAACCTTATGAGGACAAGACATTATTTGCAATTCGAATTGCTCGCTTTTTGATCAGTGCACCCTACATAGATGGCCTTTTTTGAGAGATTAAAAGAACACCTGATGATCGTTAGGTAGTACAATAACAATAACTAACCTACTAGCGAAGGTTTCTTTCCGGGATGGTTTTTAGCATTTACGGTCCTAAACAAGACTGCTACCCAATTTGATGACGCGAGCGACTTCCAAAATGCTAGAAACCATACTGGAAAGCAGGGTGAAGAAATCAAATCAATGCCACGTCTCAACGTTGCCGAAGAATATGAGGTTAACGACTTTTTCAAAACTTAAAACTGCAAATTATAGGTTCGTAGCCCGAGAAAACATGATTTTCTGAGGTTAGCGTTTCCGACCTGCTCTTGGTTCACTTGGCCGCGTTTTTGTATACCCGAGGTGACGTAGCTCACCCTCTGTACAGTCAGGCAACAGATCACATGCAATCTGTTTTAGGACCCAGCCCAGAATGTCTTGGACTGAATTTAAAGCCCACAGGCCTACCGGCCTGTGGTTACAACAGGATATTAAAAGCCAAGAATATTATTCGACACGCGTACAAACGTACAAATGATACTGGAAGTCATCGGCGTACGGGAAAAATTTTGTTGGGGGGGGCTGAACATAATTTGCCGGAATGAAACTTGTTGGTCACAGATGCACAAGATGATTCTTTCGTGACGTCAAGTTTTCTTCGCCATGCCGTGAGAGCACGGGCGTTCAAAATAGAGCAAATATTTTCGGTAAATCGAGATGAACATTTCTAAAATACAAAACCATGAAGTGAGAGATGAAACGTACCCATTTGAGCTCTAAAAGAAGTATGAAGAACGATTACTTCGACAGCCAAATATGTCAATAATCCTTTGCATGTCATTCTGCATTGTCTTGTTTGCATACTTTCTTTCAATGTTAATAACGGCGATACTGCTAAGTCGGTCTTGTCTCATTGTGGATCTTAAAAATGTCTTGATGCGGCGAAGGGCGCTGAAAGACCTTTCAGCAGAGCACGAGGTTGCAGGAATTATGGCCAGGATGGAGGTAACTTTATATAGAACAGGTAAAATGTCATGGAGACCATTTTGATGCATGGTCTTTACCGTCACGGCTGCGTTTTTTCTCTGGCATGGGTCCCCGCAGTCGTAGTTTTCAAAGATTGACTTCTCACTTGATAGCATTTCACTATCCACTCCATAGAAATTTGATACAGTTTGGATGTTGTTGATGCTTGGAGAACGGCTGAATACGATTTCGCCCAATGCGCACAAAACCTTCTGGTCATTGACCTCAAACCTTGATTGAAGTTCACTGACGACTTTGTCAATACATGTGTAATAAACTGTGATACGAAAGTGGTCTTTTGCCGTCTGTTGTGAGCTATCGTTCGCTGCAGCAGGTGTCTCACCTTACTGTGTCTTTGCCCGAACGGTACATCAGTTTTTCCCGAATAATACTAGTTTTTTTCCGACAGGGGGGGCTGCAGCCCCCCCGCCCCGTACGCTGATGCTGGAAGTTACATTCTAGTTTTCCTGTCCACTTTGACCGTTTTCTTTCGTTCGAGAAAAAAAAACAATGTCAAAGAACGAAAAAAGCGCCCCCACTCCCCCCCCCGCTTCGCAGTTAATATTCTCCTTGCGACTTATTAAAGGAAAATTATCGCCCAGATGGGTGCTAATTTGAGCATTCAGGGTGTTTTCTCTTGGAGTATTTTCATGTGATTGATGGAAGGCTCAGACGAAAGCCAAGTGCAGCTCATGTGCCCTTGACTCCGAACACCTGTCCAATCCCACAATCCCACCCGACCGTGCAATTGTCAGAGAAAGGAAAAACAAGTCCGGAAAAAAAATCTTGTTTCATGCGATGGAAGGGACGAGTAGCGGGGGATATTATCGAGAATTTTGCTCGAAATGAAACTGGTGTAAGAAGTACTTCAACCAGTAAAACTAACCAAATATGATACGAACACAAATTAACGCTTCGGAGCTCTCAGAAAAGGTGAGTTTCTTGGTTCGATGTCGGACGGGAAGTCTAATTGTTCTTTCTTTTATGCTCAATTCAAATCATTGCGTACTGTGCTTTCCTTGGAAATGTTTGCGAAGTCACGGACGTTTTCAAACAGGCCACATATGTACAATTTATAATTTTCGAAATATTTAAGAACAGCATAATATGTATTAAGGTATGTTTACAGCATTGCTTTCGTTCGATTATTCGAAGCCTTTGTTGATAGGTACATGTGGCTGTATTATTTGCAATCGATAATCAAAAAAAGATTGTGTTTCATGGTTTACCCATCAGCAAAAATTGGATGGTTATTCGCTGAACCTTACTTAGTTTAATGGTGGCTGCCATAGGTTGTATTGTCGGTGACAAGTTGCCAAAAACTTCCCAGTATTTCAAGCTTTGTGCGATTTCGTGTTTTGAAAAAGCTGTCTAATCAAATGGTGTTATGTCATTGCTTCTGTGCCGATAAAGGAAGCAATTGCAGTGGAATAGCGTACGAAACGTACAGTGTATCTACATTTAAAGAAACAGCATTTTTAATTTAGTACTGGTAATATTCCGTTGACGATGTTTTTGGCTTTCTTTTCTCGAATCCATGTAATTTGAATTTTACACTAACTCTTCTGATGATATAAATTTTAGGGTTTCTATACACTGCCAAGACCCAATCAATATTTGCGGGTAGCAAGTTAATTCACGTCATTTTTTTTCTAAGAAGGAATCATAATGCGACAGATTTAGTGACTCAATAAATTATATTAATAACAAAGCCAGAATTGTGATTACAAGGATACAGTGAATGTGAAACAGCTTTGATGCATCTCTAAAATACAGAGGGCTTAATTCTTTACCTACCTTTGATAATCATCAATTAGTAATAACACAAACCACAATGGTTTGTTCTCTTATGTCGGATAAATCATGGTAAATATATTCTCCATTTTAATTGAACTTACTATAACAGAAACAGGTGATGGGTAGACTCATTTTTTATAATTATGACCCCTTCAATTCTTCACAGGTTAGAAGTGAATTAGAAAGTATTGTGTACAGTCTTGATCTACATACCAAGCCATAGTGGCAAGTCAATTTTATATAATCAGTAGCTTGTCTCATTATTTTGCCAAGCATGATTTTTAATGGTATAATTCTTGATAATCATATTTGAATATCCCAGTCAATATTTAGCATGCATTCCAGGGTTGCATATTGCCAAGTATATGACACTTCAATATAAACAATGCAAGGGAAATTTTATATCCTGAACGACAGATGACTTCCTTTGTTCTACCAGCTGGCAGTCAATTTTGCAGGCCTTTATTGGGCCGTGTAACCAAGTGATTAGAACGCTGGTCTTGTATGTAACTAATTGCTAGCTGCATGGATTTGTTCACAGTTGTCCCAAGTTCAACCCATTAGCCATGCTAGTAAATAGCTAGCTGGTTCGTTGGAATAAGCGACTGTGAAAAGTACTGTCATATTCTCAAATTGTTGCTCACATAGAACTTCATGTAAACCTGAAGTTCACCTATGTTTTGTTCCTTGCACGAACTGCACGTGTAATAAATTGCCAGTTTCTACAATAGAATTTAGAGTAGGTACACTGTATAGGAGGCTTGCACTGGAACCTGTAGCTTTTTGTCTGATTAAAGACACCTTCCAACTCACTTCTCTTGTTGCTGAACTTCGGTCCTGAACGTTACAATAAGTGAAAGACAAAAGTAATTGTTACATCTTGTAAAAGTATACTTTGGCCAACAATGCCAAAACATTTGTGCAAATACCCTGAGTATGTAAATTTTTTACAAACTGTGCAAATCATGCACATTTAAGATAATGCAAAGGTACTGAGGTACTACCCAAACGACAAGTTTGAGAATATTATGGTATTTTTCTAAGTGGCCTTAGAAGTGTCAGTCAGGCTTGTAGGCACCATGGAATTGATGCTCTTAGAGTACATGGTCTCCTCTCTAGTCTGACCATTTGAGCTTCCTTTATCAAGTTAGAGGCAAATGTTGGTTAATAGACAGTACAGTGCTGCAGTGTGCAATGCTACTATTATTTTGGTTTACAGAGTGCACTACTATATTTAAACAAGAAACTAACCAGTGCCCATGCTGTACTCTGTAGTCTGGTTAAAGCTGCCTGAAAATCCTTACAAAGAAATGCATGGGCAATGCAAATAAGAGATAACCTTTTCTTTAGCATCATACACTGTACTCCCTAATTATAATACGACTTACGCATTATCTGTTCATGGTGCCTCCATCACGGATATTATAATGTTTTCCAGCAATTTTTAGACCGATGCCATAAGTTATGTTTTATATCAGTGCCGTTGAACATTAGATGTCTACTGCACAAACTAATTTCCTTGTTAAATATCTAAATAAATATAATTTCCTTGTTAAATATCTATTTTTTTTTGCATTTTAAACCTTGTTACACTTTTAAATTTTTTTATACTTTCTATCGTACTTTAAATCTTTTTATACTTCCTTGTTGTATTGTATTTATCTGAACTTTTGAATCCTTTTTCCTGTAACATTAGATATGTATTTTTATCCATTGAACAATAACGGCACTTTAATTGTTATTATTAGAAATTGGAGTAGAGACATATTTATAGGAGTGGGCTGGCAGTAATTGTAGATGATCAACCAACCGAGTAGTGGTTGACACGACGTAGGCTGATGAGTGCGATTATTAGTTGTGATCCAAACACTGTAATTATGCTCTGGCTGAGTGACTAATAATTTTTGTTTTAAGAGGTGGGAGTATCAATCCTATCCTTTAACTTAAATAATTTTATATAACAGTCATAAATCAGGGTCTGTTTTCTTTTTTCAGGAACCTTTGGAAGATGATTGTGACACTGAATTTCTTCTTTTGAAAGAAAGCATAGGTAAATGATGGGCTTAAGAGCATTCAGACCTGTGAAATTGATTTTTTTGGGACAAAACTATTACTTATCACAGTAATTCAATGAACACAGTTGCTGTAATGGACTTTTCTGTTAATTTTTATCTGTCAAAGGAAATTACATTCATCACTATGGTTTAGTATTAGTAGTATGATAGTTTAATATTAACACTTTTGGCAGTTAAAAACTGAATAAACAGTGCAATTTACTATTGGATGATTTAAATAATTAAGTCTATTTACATTAATAAGTATTACAATAATAATTGGAATCAGAAAATTACCTAAAAGTAAAAAAGTCATTTGCTCTCTTTGTCCTTTTCATTGTTGTAGTGGTTTTAGTATTTCCTGATCTTAACTGATATGGGTTACAGTAGATCATGTCATAACTTGCGGAGCTAAGAAAGATATGGGGTGGCTCTCATTCTTCATATCCGCCATCAACTTCTTACATATGAATATCATGTGATCTGCTAACAATTTCAAATTTGCTTGGTCTAGAGCTTGTTGTTAACTAGAATTTGGAAATATTATTCTTAAGGCTCTTCTTTGTATAGATTCAATAGCGTCAGAAAAAGGTATGCAGGAATATAGACTTGCCATACTTGCACAGCATACTTTAAGACCAATCTGATAAATTATCATAATTATGTATATACCTTGAGCATGTCTTCTGGCATGACTCCTGCGCGCTTGAACACCCTAAGAGCGTACAATTACATATTCAACATGAGCGTTCCATTTAAGGTCATTTCTAACTTCTAAAAGCTTAAACGACCCTATTCGCTCTTTTTCTCTTTACTTTTTTCATGTAGTCTTCACTAAGAAAAGACCAACAAGAAAAGTCCTTCCTGTTGCAAGAGAAAGAAGTTCAATAAGGAGCCTAATAAAGTAGGTGTTATGCTTACATAAAAATTAATTTTATTGCATGTACTGCTTATTGGTTGTCAGAGCTATTGCACCATATGGTTTACAGGTGTACATACCTACCTGTGTCTGACCTTATTAATTAATTAAAAAAGTCTTTTTTTTGTTTGGCAGCTTTATGAAATCAGTTGTTGGCAAGGATTTAACAAAAGTTACTATGCCAGTTCACTTTAATGAGCCTATATCATTTCTACAGGTACAGCTATAATGACACAACTTGCTTTTTAAAGTTTAGTGGTTATTAGTTCAAAAATATATCTAGCTGATTTTTGAAAACCAACCTAATGAAATTTACAGTCATTTGAGTAAAAAGGAAACAAAAGGCAGTTTTCTTAAGCCCAAGAAGCTCCAAAATCTTAGTAACGAAGGAAAAAGGATAGGAGAAAAAGAAAGAACGAGGAGTCAAGGAAAGGAGGAGAAGAGAAAAAAGCAATGGTTGCACTCTTAGTTTTTATAATAGCTATTTTGGAGATAGTTTTTGGCCGAAAAAAACTGTTAGTCGCAAAAGGCCCATTTGGTGATAACGTTATCAAAAATCTAGACTGCAAAACAGTCCGTATTTTTGCATATTCAAGTACACTCTATGCACGAACATTTAAACAAAAGCTGAAAACAGAGAGCAAGACTGGGGAGAGATGCTAGAAATCGGCTAGATATATAATACCATTTAGATAGGTAATGTACAGCTGTAGTACCATTAATAGAGTTTCCATTCAGAGCCCCTTGAACCTTGCACCTATCCTGTAGTCATGGTAACCATTGGGGCCCCATGGACCTACACTGTAGCAACTCTTTCCCTCCATTTGATTTTGTTTTCAGATTTTCTTAGGGTGTTGCAAAACTTCAACCCAGTCCACTCAGAGATATTATTCTCCCAATGCTTCTTTTGTCTGCCCCTCCTTCTACCTCCTTGCACTGTTCCTTAATGTAAAATAATTGTCTTGGCAAGCCCTGCTGATCTTGATTCATGCCGAAACCTGAGTCTTTAACTTGCATTTCTTTAATGTGGTTAAGATGTCATCATAGCGTCTAATGGCTTGCCTGATTCTGTCTCTTACTGCATCGTTAGTTATGTGTTCTCTGTATGAGATGCCAAGCAGTTTCCCAAAGCATTTCATCTCAGTGGCCCGCAATTTCTTCAGGATGTCTGTTGTCAGTGTCCAGGTTTCGCAGGGGTACAACAGTACTGAGATACAGTGTAACCATGGAGCCCCTAAGACTTAAGTTTAAGGGTCTCAGAGGGAAGAGTGGGGTCCTAAGAATGAGAATGCTGCACAATGAACATTAGTTCCCAAGCCTCTTCTTGGAGTTCCAATATGGATCACCAATCAGAACATTTGAAAAGCAAGCTTAAAAAGAATTGAAAGTGAGTGCAGCACTCTTCAATAGTCAGAAAAAGGGCAGGGACAAACGCCACATTAACTGCTGTGGTTTGTTTCCCCTGGGAGCAGAGGTTTCTGTTAAAACACTTTGTAAAGTAGGCACCGACTGGAAATACATCTGTGTCTGCAGGCTGTTTGAAAAGCAGTTAACAGAAGTTTTTGCCCATTTAATGGAAAAGCATTAGTGTACTTTTTCCTTGAGAAGGTCACATATTTACAATAATTTTATTTACTACTAATAATATTATTATTATTGTTGTATATAATTATTATTTGTAATAAGTTATGTTCTACAATATTTCCCATCATTTACATGTATGTTTGTATGTTTTGTCTTGCTGCCAGACACTAGCCTGAGAAAATAGCCAACATCCCCACAAAATGACAACTGAGGTCCAACGCCTGCTGAAAATCCATACTACTGTATGAAGGGTCACTACCCAGATCTGGGTAGTGTTTCTGATTGGTTGAAATTAAATTTGCTTCATCCAATCAGAAGCACTCCCCAGATCTAGTAAGTGACAGTCATCATCAGTATGGTATTCCTGTGGTCTTTCCTTGGATGTGATTTTGCAAGGAAACCTCTGATGGCATTGCAAAAATGTCAGCTGTGACCTTAGGCTAGGCAGACACAAGCCTCAAATGGCTTTAATTATCAATTTTTAGGTTCTGTTTTCAAATTTTTGGTACATTTTCTTTGAGGAACTTGACATGTGATTTTAAGGCCTTTTTCATGCATCTCTTTAATTTTAATTTTTTTAGAGATTGGCTGAGGATTTGGAATATGCAGACATTCTAAACAGGGCATCATGTAAGGAACTAGATTCTTAATTTAATACATTTTTTGCTAGTTGGTGGTTTGTTAAATAAAAGACAATGTTTACATTTTATAATTGGTTAATCATTTAATAAGACACTGAAAATATTTGAAAATGATGTTGGCAAAACATGTGGTGTTCAGAGGGGGAACAGATACAATCCATAGCATGAATATGTAAAGCCGTACTGCTTGTTATTTTTCTGGTACTAAGATCAACCAAGCCAAATGGAATAAAATTTGGGCAGGTCTAAAATCTTTGACACTCTTAGATCAGCCTAATTTCTGTGGCATATATAATGAGCTGGAATCTCAGGCCAGCATTATATCAATCGTACAACAAAATAGAATGAGTGTACTAGGTTATTATTCTCATGCTCAATAATATATAAATAACATGACATAATATTCAGTTTGTGCATGTACCAGCTCATAGTTCTGGTAATTATCAGATGAGCCAATGACTGCTGGCACATGCATGGATTGTAGAGAATAATGGTAATTGATGAGGACGAAAATAAACTTGCATTTAAATCAGCATTTAAACTGAACTACAAAAGGTCAACTCACCTTTTTTTATTACAACAACAAAACATCTTAGGGGAGGAGATTGATTGAGGAAGGGCTGAAGGTTGGAACCCTGGAACTTTACTACCATAACATCTAGGAACATGGATTTTAGTTTTTAACCATTTGCTCCTGGAAATTTTACCAAAAAATAATGTATGAAGCTTGCTATTTTCTGATCTGATCTGGGCAATTAATGAAACAATAAAATTACCCAAATGCTGTTTATAATTGGCGGTCTTCTGTTCTTGATTTATCGGCTTTTAAAGTTCAGGCTTTGGCAGAAAGTGAAATTTTCAGCACACACTGTAGTTTTAGGGTTTAAAAATGTTTTAATTTTACCCTGGTTCTGCGACTGGTTCTTTCAATTTACTTCCTGCATTTTGCTCCATTTTTTGTTTAATTTTTCCTTTTTTGGTTGGGCATTTACTAGGCTTCAGTTCGGTTAAGTTTTAAGGAAAATTTTTAGGATCATAGGACTTAACTACAAGGAAAAGTGCAGGTGGGTATACGTGTCTGGACAAGATTTTCATTGGAGTTTTTACTGAATGGTGCTCTAGTGAGCTTTCATCTGCAGTTTGAAAGATCTCTAACCTTGCACAAGTGAAATGTTAAAGTTTGTACAATCTTTAATCTGATATTGTCACAAGTAGTACATTGGGGCATGTGAATCCTCACAGGTGCTTACGGGCAGTTTAGGGTTGAATGGGTTTGTATAGGTAATAGCATGATTAGTAGTGATATTTGGCATAAATACCATGAGTGATATTTCAAATTTGTTATTCGTAATTTCACAAGCCGTTAGGCGAGTGAAATTTGAGACAATTTTGAAATATCACAAGTGGTGTTTATGCCAAATATCACATACAAGTCATGTTATTATTTGTTTATACTACTACCCACGAAAGGTTAGTAATTTTCACATGTAGGTATTTCAAATTAAGCTGAAAATACCACTGCTCTTGGCTAATCAAATTGCAGAAATTTCTCAGGTAGTAGTATAAAGACTGTTATACTACTACAAGAGAAATTTCTGCAATTTGATTTGCTCATAGCAGTGGTATTTCAGCTTAATTTGAAATACCTACATGTGAAAATTACAAAACTTTTGCGGGTAGTAGTATAAACAAATAATAGCATGATTTGTGTGATATTTAGCATAAATACCACTTGTGGTATTTCAAAATTGTCTCAAATTACGTAAAACAATTTCGAAATATCATTTGTGGTATTTTATGCCAAATATCACTACAAATCATGCTATTACCGACCGGTACAAATAATGTTGTTATTAATGGTATTAAAGCCATTTAAAGGATGGTAATAATAGATTTTCTCATTGTGCAAAGAATTGCCTGTGCCCTGTAGGTTCACAAAGCATTATTATATAATATTATCTTTACTCCTACAGTTTGTAAAAACTCACTGATGCGACTGGCACATGTGGCAGCTTTTGCTAGTTCAACATACTCCACTGTCCTTGGAAGGTATGTACAGTATCAAGTGGGGCAAAGGTGGCCTCGTCACAAGTTCAAGAACAACACTTTTGCATTTCATGAGTCGCAAAACAAATAGTGTATTTGATCTCGGCCACATGTTTGGGTCTGAGCACACTGAAGTGTGAAGTTACATAAAAAACCTCAAAAGTGAAGTTAAATCAAGCCTCCAGATGGTGGTTAAGATTGTTTAGCCAAATTATAATGATTTAATTTCTTCAATTTGTCCTCAATGTACGTGTACTGTATAGACAATTAAATTGGCAGTTAATGTTTCGTGGAGTACATAAAATTCAATCACAATAATTCACAGAACAGCTTTTCAGTACATCACGATTCATGGACACCAAAAATTGACGATCACTGTGCTTCACGACAAAAGCTTGCCCCTCTCCCCCCCCCCCCTCATTATCAGGTATCTCTGTTAATGCATTTCTTTAATGCCCACTGCAGATTTCATGTTATGAAAATATAATGAACTTGATTGCAGGTTCTGGAAACCCTTCAACCCAATTTTAGGTGAAACATTTGAATTCATTAACCATGACGTTGGTTATGCACTTATAGCAGAGCAGGTGAGAACAGCAGGATAGCTAGCATAGTCTGTTCGGGGGGGGGGGGGGAGTTCAAGTGACAGGGATAATCAAGTGGGGGCAAAAATCAAAACCCAAAAAAATCCCTAAGGCTTCCAACAAAACCCTAAAAAATCCCTGGACAAAAAATTAACCCCCAAAAAATCCCATGCCAAATTCCCAAGCCTTGAAAATTTCCAGAACGCAATAATTAATGATATAACGAAAAAAAATAGAAAATGATTTTTTGTGTTTGTTTCAATCATAACATCTAAAGTTGTCACACAGGCACTTCCATGAGTCCTCAGATTGTTTTGAATACCCAAAAATATCCCTAGTTAAATCAAGCTGTCCAAAAAAATACTTGCCAAAAATTTTAAACACAAAAAAAATACTTCGATCATCCCTGTCACTTGAAATCCAGAGTACCCCCCCCCCCGAGTCTGATCAATGTTACGCCGTGTAGCAGAAATAAAAATGATTAATGCAATGCAGATATTTAGTTCTGATCAGTGACTTCTGTCTATTATACATTGCCCATGTAGGTTAGCTTGAGTTGTATAGAATGCTTTGGACAGTATTTTGTTCCTCTGTTGTTAAACAAAGAGCACAGATTCCTAAAACCAAGAATGAGAACACCTGGAATCTGTCATTAATTTTTGTGTTCCTAATGTCACCCACAAACCAGGAACTTACATGTAGGGCACAGCTGAAAAGTCAAAATCAGCTGACCAGTCAAAATCACCATCCAGTTTTTGGGTAGTGACATCCTTGGGCAACTTTAGGTGGCCATTGATATTAAGACATCTCTTTGGGGAGTGTGCAATGTGAGCAGACAGCTCATTTTAGTTCAATTGAACTTAATGAGCTGGGTTTTAGTCTTGATCATGCTTCTAGTGTGGTGTGCTTTCTTACCACTCGCTGGTTATCATTATTCTACCTGTTTTACTTTTTGTGGATCTTTGTTACTTATTGTGACAACTAAGTTCATACATGTGAGATATACAGGTGTAGGAATTTTTCTCTCAGAGTTAATTCATTTGTTTGTTTGTTTTTAAATTACTTTGTAATATGCACTTCAAAATGGAACCAAAAACAGTCAGTTATATTGGTTGTGTTCTATTACTTTTGGCATGTATTATACATACAGTATGTAGAAATTGTAATATTTCATAGCTTGCTTGTCTAATTTCAGGTCTCTCATCATCCGCCCATCTCTGCTCTTCATGCTGAATCAGATCACTGGGTATTTTGGCAGGAATACAAGCTTGACACTAAGTTTAGAGGACAGGTACGTGCACTATGATAAATTTTACTGTGTGTTTTTAGTTACCATGTACCATGTCAGGGCTTAAATCCAAATATGGACAGAAAAACTCTACACTGTGAATGTAGGTATCCTAGTACAAGACAAATTATTACAACTAAATCATGCTGCTTAAGAACTGTTATTGTTGGCAGACAGTTATCAGCATTAACTGCAGTTCGATTAGTCTTCTGTTTGTTTAGATACTAAGTATTGTGTGCACCATCCTCGGAGACCAGGGCCAGTCAGTCGGGCAGGGAGAAAAGGTGCGACAAAAGTTTTCAAGCATGAGTGGAAGAGCCCCTGGGTATGGACTCTCACTGGACCATTTCCAAAAGGCCAAGTGAATGCTGGCTCCTGATTGGGCACAAAAAATGCTTTGTATTATTGTGCCCAATCAGCGAACAGTTTCTCCTGAGTTCTTTTCGTGAGTTCGTACACGACAGCTATTATCTCGCCACAGTTGCCTGGTTCGTTCACCAAGCTTTCCTAACTACAAACAAAGGAACTACTGATGAGTCAAAAAACGTTTCGGATGCTATCATGAGCAATGAATGATTTTCCAGTAATCGGAGACTTAGTTATGCGCACAGGATTATGGGATCGCCAGGGGGCAAACATTGGAAATCGCTACAAAGAAATGTATGGCGCGGAGCTGTTTCTCCGTTTAAAACCAGTGTCTTTGGACAGAGAATACCGCATTTTGCCGTGATTTTATGAGAAGCGGAGGTGACTAATGTTGGTGCGTTGATTGTAAGTTTTTGTGGGATCAATGCGATGAAATCTATCGACAAACACTCCTTCTTGCGAAAGGTCGACTGTGAGTACTAACTTACCAGGTATAAATGAGCGGGGAATGTGGACTCATTTATTAAACCTTTCCAGTTGTAAGTACATGTGCTGATATTTACAACGAGTGTAATTACGTTCGGCTCGGCGGCGATCACAACGCTGAGCCAGTTTGTGACAACGATCGAAGGTAAGCTTATGTATTGTCGAATTTGACATGTATTAACTTTAGAAGCAAAACATCTTCCCCACATTAATATATTGATTCCTTCTAGCCAAAAAAACACAAGCGAAATGTTTTGTCATGATCCAGAGCACCAATCAGTTCTAATGCCTTTTCTGATCATTTTGAGGGAAGATATAGAAACTCTGAATTTCGCACATCAACTTGGTATTTATTTACACGGCTCACTGCTTTTGTATCGGAAATCTTACTCGTTCGTACGATTTCTGCGTCATCTACTAATGGTTAAATACCATGTGCTTTCCATGAAATATTTCGTAGATGTTACTTTGTTTATACCAAAGTAAAGGAGGATTTTTTATTTTTATGGCCACGTCCTACGATTGTTGAGCGTCATAACCCGCACAGAGCTGATCGCGGCCGACCATAGTTACACTCGTTGTAAATATCACCACACGTAATTAAAACTAAAAAAAAAGCTTAAATGAGCCAATCCCCCTACATGTTCCTAACCACAAACAAAGGAACTGTGTAAATTCAGTAAACATAAATTTGATCAACCTCACGTAAGGAGTGTTTATCGATAGAATTTATCGCATTAATCACACAGAAACTTGAAAAACGCACCAACATTAGGTTTCTCATAAAATCATGGCAAAGTGCGGCATTCTATGTCCAGAGACACTGCTTTTAACGGAGAAACAACTCCATTCAATTCTTTTGCGACTCGCAATGTTTGCCCCTGGGATCCCAAAATTCTGAGCATCCGGTTACTGGAAAATCATTCATTTTTGCACTGGGAAAATTCTGTTTGTGACATATTGCAATGTATCATAAATAATGGGAAGTTTAAGATGCAAAACAACAACTTTGCATGTGCATCACACTTTTTTGTACATCTCTTTGCTTTCACTGCACAACTGCCACATGAAAATACCTAATTTCACGTTTTGTGAAAGATGTAAACAAGCAATGACAAACTTTTCTTTCTCTTCATGAACTTGGATATGGTTGATAGAAATTCAGCTCCAGAAGAGTTTGCTTGCATTTGACAAAGTAAGCGATGCGAGTTGGAATAATCACGATAGAGACTGAAAAAATGGGAATTCACTTTTCATGTGAGGTTTTCGTGGCTGTCAGCTGTCGTGGCATCTTAATCTCCTGAATATTTAAGAAGGTGTGATCGATGCAAACGTGAATACCTGTTGTGAGCTCAAGCTTGTATTTTTGGAAAAGCGTCTTCAGTTTTCGGGTAGATGCAGTATTTTGAACTGAATAGTTTATATCAAACTGAAAGTTTCCTGACTGCGTGCATTTCTTTGGTGCATGAGCCAGACAAGCCGTGATCGAGTCAATAGCCGTCATGTACGAACTCACGAAAAGAACTCAGGAGATGCTGTGCGCTGATTGGGCACAATAATACAAAGCATTTTTTGTGCCCAATCAGGAAAAGCATTCGCTTGATTGTTTGGTAATGGACCAGTGAGAGTCAGTACCCAGGGGCTTTTCCGCCTGTGCTTAAAAACTTTCGTCGCGCCTTTTCTCCCTGCCCGACTGACTGCCACTGGGTCTCCTAGGATGTGTACGAACCAACTTTAAGTTATTAATTAAGGATGTGAGGCATGAGTGTGCAATTGCAGGTGACATGTTACAGTGTTCCGTCTGGTCATAGCCATTGGCATTTTTTAATCATTTATTAACTTGTTACATTTCTACATGTTTTTTAGCCCTCTTGAAGTATGGGAAGGCAATATCTATTTGTTTGTTTGTTTATTTTTCAGTTTTTTAAAGTAATTCCAACTGGCATGTGTCATGTAAAGTTCAAGTCAGATGGGCATCATTTTTCTTGGAAGAAACCAATCACAACAATTCATAACATTCTAGTTGGCAGCTTGTATGTGGACCAGGTACTGAAGTGCTTGCTATTCACTCTGCATTGTTGGTATTGCTATTTACTCATTCCAAGTATTTCGCTGCCTCTGATTGGTTGAGTACCTTCAGTTCGCTGATTTTTCATAGCCTGCCAGGGCGTACCAAATTTGGAAGACGTGTCACAACCAGTTGCAATAGAATACTTGAGACACTGTACATGTACCTTATTTTGGCTTTTAAACCAACCAGCTTATGATATTAATCTACTGTTCTTGTGATTCCCCCCTCTCCCCTCATCAAAGTTGCTAACAATACAAGACCATGCTCAAAACTTAGAGGAACAACTTTGAACTGAATGGAGGAGGGAGGTGAGTATTATATTTCACAGATGTGTGACTAGCAGCGATTTGAAGCAAGAAAGGTCGGGTTTTTATCAGTGTCTAACATTTTTGCAACTGGTTGCAGTGAGTAACATCTATGAGTGGGCAATAGCAAATCATGGAGAATTGAAGTCAGGCAGGAGCAGAGGGCTTGCAACAGCTCGGCTTTTTTGCCAAAAAAAAAAAAATGGTAGAAAATTTCAAGTTTTGGCTTTCTCTTTCATCTCTGTTTTCAGTGGGAAAATCGAGGCAACAAGCACGGCCAGAATTTTTTTCATGAAATACCACCCATTACATTGTACAGAACATGCAACAAGTTTCTTACTCTCTGATTGGCTGTATTGTTTATTGCATGGGATAAAAAGTAATATATGACATAGGCTTGTTATAGCTCACAAACTGTGAGCATGCTATATATTCATTCAAAATATTTCCCCGATCTGATTGGCTAAAAGCACACGTTTAATTCACCATAACCAGTTACTGATGACCAAATTTGGAAGAATTTTGTGTTTAACGAGGAAATGACGTCACAAATGCAGCGTTCGTGCAGGTTAAGGCACCGTTAACCGTGAAGACCTGGGGACAAGGTTGAGTTGTTTTGATTGTGGAAGAACTAGGCGAAAAAATAGCTAAAAACATAGCAAGAACAGCAAGAAGACAACTCGAAGGGCGAGTTCTGCTATTTGGAGAATATTTGCGGAGCTGGACAAACCTAAACGTGCACTATCGAAGATGAACTTAACGTCGATGAATCGATGGAGGTAAGCATGTTTAAGCCATGTTTTTAAACTAGGAATTATTTTGAATGAATAATAAAACAATTATTGAATTTGGCTTTCGGTGTTATCCGCCTTGGCCTGCGTCCCAACGGATAACACCCTCCTCGATCTCCATAATTCTTCATAAGATACTGAGCCTCATTCATTAAAATTAATGTTGAGCAACTTGACTTAATAACAGTAGTACTGATGTTGATTTACATTAACTTTGTAGGAAGGAGATGTGTTAGTAACAAATCACATGTCAAGGGAACAATGTGCACTACATTTCCAGCCAGTTAGAAAAGTCCAAGAGAATTTCAAAAGGCTCACAGGTACTTAGAGGCAATATTCAGCTATTTTTAATAGTCAAGACCTTTTTAGCTGCTTGCATGTTTTGTTTTCCCATTGCAGTCCATGTGATGTTACCCCAGAGAACTGTTTCTTTCAAAATATCGTGCTATCTACCTGCATATACATACGTAACTGATAAAAAGACAAACGGCAAATTCTGTTGATAACATTTGGTGGTCTGAGTTGGGAAAATAAAACATAGAAGTAAAAAAAAAGCCAATCTCAACGTGCAATCAGACTCTATTCATGCGAAAGTATTTTCATAATCTTTGCACACTGTTATGTTAATTTTCACGCCACATCGCTTTAAATGCTGTAATCTGCATGATTAAAAACATTTTTCCTTGATAGTGGAGACATGACTACCCCGAAACGTCGGATTTTATCGTTCGTTTTTACCGTTTAATGTCTTAAGAAATCTCTTATAAATACAAGTAAAAAAGTTGTTATTTTCAAGGATATCTGCGTCAACCTTCAAAAAATATAACCCAAAGAAAGCAATACAGTGTAGCTGTTTGATTCCCCGCCTACTCTTTGTATTTAGTCAGCAACTTGAAATCTTAGTGACAGCTAGCCCTGCCAAGTATGATTATCATTTTTAGCCCAATCAAGCATTGCTATATTATACTAAACAGAATATGTGTTATTCTGTATGACAGGTGAAGTGCGGGATAGAGATGGACATGTCAGCTATCGCATAACTGGAGCATGGGACACTGGGCTTGAATTACTCTCAGAAGATGGTAAAACCCTCCTTCACTTTATTAACAGTGTCAAAAATAACAATATGGACTGCAGTGGAAATGGAATTGATGTTTATTTTCTATTGTATGATCGAGACTCCACAAAACTTTGAAATTAGTTAATTCCATGTGGATTTTTCTGAACTAATTTCCAATTTATTAACAAAAACACTGTTGCTAATTAAAACTAATTAATTCAAACCAGGATGAATACTGGTATGTATTAAAACTACAAACAATAATGAGAGGGGTAAAAACAGCAGAGAATTGAACAAAGAAACATACAAGAACAAAACATTGCTGAAACTGGAGGGTCTCAGCCTGGCTTTTTAAGGATGGAAAGTTTTTATGAGATTGTCCAACTTATTCTAATGTTTCGTAGATAGGAATTCTAAATTATTGTATATTGTTTGAAAATGGTGTTGTGTTTTACTTTTACTTAACTTTTTCAGATCCAAATATGGACCCTATTGACCTCTGGACTGTAAATAACAAGCCAGAAGATTCATCAAGGTGAAAAAAAAAAGATTTATTTTTGTTGAGGCAAATGCTCCTTGCGAGTGCATTTTGCATGACTAAAAAGCATACCAGATTCCAACACTGTGATGAGAGGGTTTCCAGCTAACTGGTAAATCAGTGGGTGTAATAAGAGGGAGGGAGGGAGGGAGGGGGTGTAGAATGGGAGATATTTTGAGTATCTAAACAAAAATGAAATGCGTTTGACAATGGTGTTTGCTGGCTGCATTCACTGTGAAAACTATTTAAGAAGACAATAAGGTAGAAGTCCGTTGCTTTGTTTAAACACAAATAAATGCCTAGTTCTTTATACATGTAGCTCCAACGTTCTTGATTGAAATTAACCAAGGATTGTAAATTTTCCAGCCCTGTTGTAATTTGCAACCAATAAAGAGCTTATAGAAAGAGCAGGGGCACCCAACGAGGATATAGTTCAAAACCACTTAACATAGCATTGTTGAACGTATTTTAGTATTTAAACGGTAGATATAGGCATATTTTTATCCCCTAAAAACTTTTCATCTGTTCGGATTTCCTAGCTGAAAGTCTAGTGATCCGAAAATTATAGGGATCAAAACTTACCTTTTCGAAAATTTCAGCCAGGAAAAGGCTCCCGAAAATTCTAGGTGGCCTTTTTTAGGGTAAATATCCGTTTAAAATGGGTAATTATACCATTTTGTAGATCTTCGAAAATCCTAGGAGAGGCAGGCAAGCAAGAAATTTTGCAACAAATGTTCCGAAAATTCTAGTTCTCAAATCGTCTTCCGAACAGATATTTTCCCGAAAATTGCCGTTGGGTGCCCCTGAAAGAGGTGTCCTAATATATCAAGGAGCAGTTCTATCGTATTTTGCCGACGCATTACTAATTCTCCACCGTTGAACTAATGTAAAATGTCTATGTTCTGTGGAGTTTGTTTTTGCGGACACTTGTCATTGCATTTCAGATTTTATTTTGGAAATTCCGCTGGGGATCATTGTTATTACTATTTTTAATTGATCTGACCTTAAGATACCAATTTATTACTTGCAGGTTTTATGCCTTTACAAAATTCACAATTCAACTGAATGATCCAGAATATGGTAAGTGTTGGTGCTGAGTGTGATAAGATTCAAATTCATAAAAGGTAATTGATCAGTAATGATGCCAAATGCTGTTTGGTTTTTACAGATGTGTCATGTCATACAGATTGCCGCGTCAGGACAGATATTCGACTGCTTGAATGCGGCAAGGTACATTATTGTTGCGGTTTCAAGTTAATGCTTTAAAATTTGTGCTAATATAATAACAGTCGAACCTCCACTACTCTCTGTGTACCGAGGAACAATCGGTACATTCACTCTTGCATGTTATTAAAATCTTTCTATAACCACCACCTCTCTCCTAAACAGTAAAGGCCACTAACGCGCATGCCAACTGTCAAAATACCTTTCTACTACGGCCACTTTAAAGGCTGCACAAACTGATGTTCTCCATCACTCGGTTTGTTTGTTAGAATTAATTAGAACTGGGTTCTGTTCTATACACAGTAGTTTGATTCTTTTGCGTCGTTGTTAACTCTTTAAACCCTAAGATCAAAATTTGAATTCTCATTTGTTGTCCCTATTCATTTCCTACAGAAGTAGTGGGGAGAAGTTGATAAAATATCAAGCAAATCCATCTTGTGTGATCATGTCCCTAACTCTTATGACCACTCTGCTTTACAAAGCGTTGATATTACAAGGAGAAATTTGATGCTGATCACTCTTAGGGCTTAAAGGGTTAACTCATACCTGTTCTGTCTCTACCGCCATTACTGACTTACTTCTCTCCCTGAAGTGCCCGATGTTTTAACACAGGTTCAACTATAAATGATTGTTCGTCAGCCTTATACATGCGATTATAGTTTCATTTGAGAATTTGTAGGCTTCAAGTGATGACGTAGTAATAATGCATGTTGTGTTTGTAGATTGATGCTTCAGCCAGTGAAAAGCATCGCCTTGAAGAAAAACAAAGAGCCGCCAGAAAGCAAAGGGACTTGTCTGGGGAGGCGTGGTCGCCTAGGTATGAAGGTTATTCTTTCATGTTACGCTTACGCCAAATAGATATATCCTTCATGTAATAGTAGTAGATTGTTTATCTCCCTTTATACCCTGTATGCCCTGTATACCCTGTACACCCATGTATACCCATGTATACCCTGTATACCTTGTATACCCATGTATACCCTGTATACCTATGTATACCCATGTATAAGCGTAACATGAAAGAATAACCGAAGTAGATGCCGGCCGGCGTTTAACTCATCATCAAGGAGAATCTTTTTCCCCTTAATGTTGGCTCAGAATAGCTGTGAGTTCCCTCAGCGTAAAGCATAAAAAAGGAAATATTAAAGATGGTGATGATGATGACGAAATCAGTGATCATAAAAAGCCGTTGATACTGGCAATCTTAGATCACGACTATGGCTGTAAGGTTACAGACAACTGAATCGGTTTACTTTCTTTTTTTCGAAGAAGTAAGCCTGAACCGCATGATTATATTCTTCTCGAGAAGCACTTGGTTACGTTACATATCTATACGTTGAGTTACAGTGGGTCATACTTTTTTTGTAGGTGGTTTGTGCCCAAGGAGGAGACGGATTCTGGAACGTTCTGTTATATGTACAAAGGAGGCTATTGGAAAGCAAGGCTAAAGGGACAATATCCAGACTCACCTTATATCTACTAAACTAAAATGAATTCAGTTACACAACCATAACTGGTCGCATGCAGAGTAATATAATGTGTATTTAATATGGATGTATGGGGCATGCCATTCCCATTCCTAACATTGAGAAAAGTTTTGGTTGTGAATATTGTCTAAGTTTGTGTACAAGATTGCTATTATAATCAATAAAATCCACAGGCTATATGAAGTATGCATGGTTATTTCATGCTCTGTGGCAAGTTTGCGTAAAATAATTAGAAGATAATTACACTAACAATTCCTTTAATGCTGGTGCGGATAGCAAGCTAGGAAACTACTTTAATGTTAGGGCTAGCTGCTGTAAAAGGTTTTCGCTCCCAAGATTAACTTATTACTGAAAAACGATGATCGCAAGATTGATTGTTCGTCACTTTTCTTTCTCGGCCAATGAACAGAAGCTTAACTCTTGTCCAAGCCTTAAATGGAAGTTTAACTTCAGCACACGTTTATTCCATTTTGAAATTGTTAATTATGAATGAACTTCCAAAATGTTATTATTTTTCTCCCAAAGCTGGTCTTGGGACAACTGTTACTCTAATATTTTTGGAGTTAAAATTTATAGTTTATTATGCAATTTTTTCTCTTATTTGACTTTGTGATTAAGAAATAGTGTTGATTTTAGATCTCTTCATCGATCTTGTTGTTTTTCTGTCGCCTCCTTGGTTGGGGAGTTTCAGTGATCTGCGAAGTTTGTAGTTCTAATCATACCGACTCGATGCTCTGTTCCTTGCAATCGAAGACTTCGGCAGTTTAACTCATATTTTTGAAAGCATCCTTTATTCCAAAAATTGTCCCAAACACGAACAACAATGGCTAGAAGTCCGTATAGTTATTTATTAGCTTGTTCTTAGCCATTTCTATTTTCTTGTCGCAAACAAGTAAACGTTCGACAATCAACGAGATAAGCCAGCCCGATGGGTTGGACACTCAGTTTGGTTCGCGATTTCGTTAAGTAAAAGTATGAGAAACTATAGAGGACTGTGTACAGTCACGAGTTTATTGGTGTACATGTATATTGAGTTGCTGTCTTGTTTACTCCCCGACCAAGATGACTTCAGAAACTGTAAAAAGCTCGATTGTTTTTACTGTATTTTTTCTGTGTACATAATAAACAGATTTCATGAATGTGATTAGCAGTTTAGTTATCCTCCTTATTAGGTGCACTGCACTTGCCTCGCGTGTAACACGGCTACGTTCCTCTCGTCAGGTTTCTACCACACGTCGCTTGTGGGAGTTTTTCGCAGGCGACTTCTCGTTGATTTTTTTGGCGGGGTGGGGACGGGGCGCAAATCACAGCAAAAGCGAAAAATACTGAAACAAACTGTTAGCAATGAAAACTCTATTTTGCAAAACTGGTCCTATCCAAACAAATATACAAAAAAGTAGTAAACTTTCACTAAACAAACGTTTCGTTATAGCATGTTTGAACAGTCCTAAAGTGTTATGTTAACATGGTGCATAAATTATATAGTTTTTGTTCAGGTAGCGGCTGATGGTTACTATTGGTTCCCCATGCCGTATGGTTTGCTGAAACCTTGTGTACTCTTCTTCCTACGAAAGATAGCAAGGAATTACTCAATTGTTACTCACCAAAAATCTTGTATTTCTTTGTACAGAGGAGTAAAGCCCTTTACCTATTGCCGGCCGGCAGTGATTGATTATTCCCAAGACCTTTTTTACTTTTGATGTGTCTCTGTTCCTATTTCGCGCATGTGACATGCTCATTTTTTTCCCGTTGCCTTCATGGTATACTGTGCGGTATATGATATGACATTTCGTGTGAAAGGAACAGTTCAGTCTATTTCGCGCATGTGACATGCTCATTTTTTTCCCGTTGCCTTCATGGTATACTGTGCGGTATATGATACATGACATTTCGTGTGAAAGGAGCAGTTCAGTCTCTAGAGTAACATCGCTTGATCTGGTAAAAAGTGTTTCCACGGCATCTAAGGGATTATTGAGGTGGCTGGGTTGAAGCATACCATTTTGAGAACCATGTAGCTGGATTAATTCATAATCGCATAGTGCCGTGGGACTACGGAAACTTGCACAAATCGTCGCTACCGTTAGCCTACGTGAAGCCTTGCTCTCCCTCCCGAAGAAGGAAAAATCTCCTCCGGCGTTTTTCCTTTTTGTGGGGGAGGGTACGGACACACATAAGCTACGCGACCATTTATATCAGTGACTGTTGTGAGCTAGACAAACCCGGCAGACTTACATCTTCCAGAAGCAGCAACATGTAATTATAAGCAGAAAAACGGCCACCAGGAGAATAACCAAGGCCACAGCTACCAAGATGATAATTGTATCTCGATCATCCTCTATGATGATAAATAAAATAAATAAATGATTTGATTCAATGTACCTATACCGGGGGAGTTCCTTGCCAGTTTTTACCAGTAAGCCGGGTGTCACAAGTTGAAAAAAGAAAAAGTTAATATAGCATCATCGCGTTATTGTCATTATGTAGCTGATCACAAATTTTGAACTTATTTGTGCTACATTTCAGTTGTGACAATACTTTAAAGTTTTATATCCGCACGCCAGCTTTATACACTTAAATGAATTGGCTACGGTTTGTAGAACAAAATAGTTACGAGATGGAAAATTTCGATCGTTTAAACAAGGATAACAGTGATAACATGCAGGTCAATGCTAACGTTACGTTTCAGTTATACGATGTAAATGTTCAAAATTCGAATGCCAGTCGACGCACTTTCTTGGCACAAAAATCTTGGACGACTTTGAAGGTGTCGATGTTCCAGTCTCTGTCAGTGTGCAAGAAAGGGAGACAAGACACTGACCAGACAGCCTTTCTACTCCCATAGAAGACCGCATGTAGGTCTTGACCGTCCGCCTAGCACTAAATGAACGCTCCGGAGTTTCAAAAAGTACTCCAGTTGTCCCTAGCTCTTTGCTGACTTTTGCGACGGACTTCAGTTGTCTCTCATGAGGAAACCTGTTGAAATTTTCTCAGTGCGATAGCCTTCGGAGCTATATAGAGTTTTGCCCAAATTTAAATTTAAAAAAATTTGTAAGCCAGTGCTTACTTGGCCTACAGGCAGGTACGCCCCTGGATACAGTCGGTACAACACATTATAGTATTGCCTTACGAATTTCTAGTGCAGTTTGAAATACAGAAGATGAGCAGGTTGAAGACTGCAAAAAAAAAGAGAAAGAAAACCAAGCGTTTGCAGTGAATATTTATATTCTAGGGAAAAAAGGCGGATAGCTTCATCATAGTTTACTGAGAAATGCAATTTTCAGAAAAAAAGGAATATGGCGCATAAAACGAAATAGAATGCAAAATCATTTTATTTCCTCTTTTGCCATGAGTCACGCTCAACTATTATCTGTAATGGCTGATTTCCTGAAAACTACATTTCTCTTATTCAATCAGATAAAAAAAACAATAATTCTTTTCACGAATGATTAAGCCTTGGTCGAGAATTTAACTTGACATAACGTAACAGAGCCCGAGGAGCAGTTTTCAAAGAGGAGGGCCGATCCACCTCTTTTGAAGTGTAGTTGGTTGGGGGGCGGGGAGCGTTGTGGGCCGGTTGTGGACTTTAAAAATGGTTTAGCTTGTGCCGACTCAATATTTTTTAATACAGTTACAACTCATCAATCATTTTTTTTAAATAGTTTAACAAACGAGAAAGGAGTTAGTAACAAAAAAGGCGACCGGTAACCATGCACAGCAGCATCACGATTTTTGCGTGTCTCATTTACTTCAAAAGTTTGTCCGTTCTTTCCCTGCGGCTTTGTTTAGAACCTTTCTTTAGTCATTGTTGAACGGAGCCATGTTTTTAAATTTCGAGCTGCCGAAAAGGACCTTTTCCTGCTGTGATGGTTGTAGGATTTAACAGCGGAAACTTGCAGATCAAGACAATTTCATTTATCATTCTCTGCTGACTGTAATTCCTGAAACGTCTTCATGTTGTCTACAATGTCATCGAGTTCAATTTCTCTTAGTAAATCCGGTGGCTCCTTGGAGATTTAAGAACCTTCTGATAAAAAAAGACGCCATTGTTTGTGCGGGCCCTGCGTAAGCGGCCATAGTTTTCGTTTCTAAAAGTTATTTCTTACCTCTGGTAGTCTTAGGCCGTGCCTACTTGACTCCATGAAATTTGTAAACGTCTGCAAACTTACGCATTTCAGGCGTGTCTGCATTTGGCAATAGTGGCATAGCAGTGCTCGTAAATTTCTAAAATTATGCCAATAATTATGCTTCTAGTTTTTGTAAATTTTTCCCACGGCATACAAAAAATGCAGAAAATGAGCTTTTGTTTTCACTTTAAATTTGGCAAAAAAGCTCTTCAATATCTATGCAACAAACAAGTATTAAAAACACATTTACCCTATTTACATCTAGAAACTTAAAAAGCCGATATTTGACAAACTAACACTGATATCGGGCCAAAAACATTGGTTCCCTGATCAATAAATGGCGTTTTGTTCTGCAAAACTAGCCAAATGTGCAAATTATGCGAGCAGTGCTTTTAGCAGGAAAATACGGATGAAAATTAAGCTCGTAATGATGAATTATGCAAAAGATTATGCCAGAGTGCACAATATATCAAACTTGTGTTGTAAACAATAAATAAAAACTTGGTTGGGAACATGTGCTTTATAGGCCTTCAGTTGAACAGCTGGCGTGTTGTTCCAGTTCAGTTATGTCTGATACGTTCGTATTTCATTAGTGGACTTTGCATTATATTGAACGGTCGATAACTCATTGCCTGTTTTCTTTACCCGATGTGTATTTCATTTCTTAAGGTTTTAAAAAGATAGAGATGACACGGTCGCTGTATGCGTAATGTTACGCAGTCACTGATAAACAAATTACTACACAAGGGCAACGGAGGAACACGCTCCATCGAGCGTGCAATGGAATGTTCCAGCATTTTAAATATAGAAAGAAATATTTTCTTGCAGCTTTTAATACTTAGTCTTTCATGATCCACAAAACAATAACTTGATTCACAAGCCATTATCATCCCCAAGGACCAAAACCCTGTCCGGCAGGAAAATATCTCCTTCCCAGGGCAACTCATTATTTCCAACAGAGCTACTTAAAAACTAATTCGTTAAGAAATGAAACTTTTACTTTCAATGCTTGAAAAAAGGTGTCGTTAATGAGATGTAAAGAGTCAGCTTCACCACGAGTAAAATTATTTGAAAAAGAAAACGGTGGGAAGATTTAAGGTTCGTTTGTTCTTTAGTATGAGCCACTAGTACCTGTTTTTCAGTGTTTGCGTCCCTGGAATTTCTAACTCAAAACACTTCCATAGTTTTGTCACTCAATGGACGTTTGCTGGAGTACGTGAACACTGAGGATTGAGTTCGCGAGGAGAGCGGGAGTTTAAAAACCAATCAGTCGTGTGCCTAAGAATAATACTCTAACTCGTGGTCGACTTATCTTTCACGTCTCTAGCGTTTAGCGACAGCTCAATTAGGTTGAGATGTACGAGAACATAACTGGCTCGAAATTCCAAAGTAATACGGCACTCCATTATATCTGACACACGCTGACTTGCAACCGGGCTCGCAACGGTTAAATCTCAAAGTCGCAAAAAGTTCAGGGGGAAGTCAGGTAGACATAGTAGCCAGTAGACATATAAAATTGCTCTTGAAGCAAAAGGGCTTTGTTAATTAGATTTTTAAACGCTACCTTCAGTAGTTTCACCAGCTACTGCCCAAGCAAAGGAAAGAAAAGACATCAAACGAATGATTTCCATTCTTGTTGCTGGCTCGATATCCCTCTGATGAGTCTGCTCTGATACAATCGCGCGGCTTTTCTAAAGACAACTCGACGTAATCTTCACAAAAGTTCGATCGCAACAAATCAAATTATGTTCATAGTTGACGTCCAGCTAGCAAAAGCCTTTTGTTTTTTTTTATCGGACAAAAATTTAAATTTCACGCTTCACATAGTTTACATATCATTATGACGACAGAGAGAAAAGAGAAATGTAACGATTAACGACGAGATAAATTAACATCAAAGCCACGATTCGAGCCAGGACTTAGCCTGTGCCAGGCTCTCAGATAGTATAGTGGGAACGTATTAAAACGAGCAAAGCGAAAATAAGACGGGCACGACTTGGGAAAGGGGGCCGGCGCGTTTTTCGCATTTCTTATTACTGAACGACTTTCCACTACCATCTCGGAGCCTGGAACAGGCTAACCAGGACTTAGAGCCTGGACTCGAGCCAGGACTCCAGTTAAGACTTTTCTGATCTTTCTGTAAGCAAAAAAATAAATAAGTAAAAATAATTTATAAACAAATAAACAAAAGTAAAATAAAACCAACAAAAAGGACTCCTAACCTCACTTGTAACCTCCCAACCCTCACCCTAACCTCTAACCCTAACCGTTCTGTTAATGGTCATGTGACCTGCTGGAGGTGAAAATGGTCGGTATATAGGCATCCTCATGAACGTCAGCTCAGTCAGTCCCTCGCTATTTATGTTTCTAACAAGTCCTTATTCAATTTTCAGTTAGAGCTGATAAGAACCTAAATATCTTTGAGACAAAAGATCTTTTTTAAGTGAAAGCACGTTCACGCTATCAAATTTCGAATGTTCTACCTATATCAAAACACGTACACATTCATACATTAAAAAAAAATCGAAAACAAGACAAAATATAATAAGTATTTAAAAACGCTTTTAAGTAAAGTCAAACCTCCATATGTGACCACCTCAAGCGACCACCTACCATAAGGGGCCAATTATCCAAAACACCAAAATTTTCCCAGTCAAGGGGGCCTATAATTAGAACCTCTCGTAAACGACCACCTCTCATAAGCGACCGCGACCCTTTTTAGTTAACGGTTTTAGAATTTTCCATTGTTTTTAACCTCAAGCGTTAACTACGTGATATCATACAAAGGTCCGATCTCTCCGCATTTTGAGTGGTGCCTACGGGAAGTTCGACTGTACATGTATAAATGGGAATTTAGTAGGTACTGCATTTTCAGTTATTTTCATGTGCTCAGTAAAAAACTGACCCTGAATTGCTGTAAATTAGACTTAAATGTGGAACGCTTAGAAATTTGACATCTCATTGACCAAATCTTTATACAGTTAACCATCCACTATTACCGCTCCTGACGTAGAAGTCAAAGCGAGTGTGATGACTTACAAGATTCCTTTTGAGTGAGTCGAGGTTTACACAAGGTGTTTGGCATGCGTTCTGTTTAGCTGGCACTTACTCAACAATTTACCTGCACGCGATACAGAATATGCCGGTTTTCGGGGCACTATTAACCTGCATGGCTGAGCTATGGGATCCTAAACCCTTTGTTGTTGTTGTTGTTGTTTTTAAGTTTCGTTTTCCGCAACAGCTATTTTATTCGACTGATTTAAATTCGACGTCTGAAACCAAGTCGTGCTACAATCGTGCTAGAGTAGTCGCACTGGAGTCGAACCAGCTTAGAACGGCAGTAAACAAGCCTAACCAGAGTTAAACAACACCGGGTGTTTCAGGCCTAATATACTCTGAATAAGGTGTAAAAGGATTCTGTACCAGTTAGTATCATGCATGATATATATTGTTCCTGTATTAAGGCAGAAACTGCCCAGCTCTTAGATAAACGGCAATAAGCTGTTAAGAAATGATTTATCATCCCAAGTGATTACATCGTTTGTTAGACAAATTGTAGAGCATTTAAACTGTGTTGTTGTATTTTTTAGAATAAACACTCCGTTGTATACATGTGTATAACGGTTGTATAATCCAGTTGTAGAAAAGGACGACCAATCATGGCACAAGGAGACATGATAGGTTTGATAATTCTAATGAAGCCTGCATGGTGGTTAACGTTAATTGTTTCGCGTCAACACTTCTTATTATTTAGTGACTTGTCCATTATTGTACCCCGAAGTTATGATCATGGTTTAGTTTGAAACAATTTCGAGCTGCAAGTACCTCAAGTGTTGAGAATAATGAGAATTTTCCCAGAATAACCTATCAGTGCTCATATTGTCAGAAGATGACTATTGGAGTCCATATATATAGATATATAATCTTTCCACTGTTTTGTTTGTCTGTCGCTTAGTTCACAACATAGCCTGTGCCAGGCTCTCAGATAGTATAGTCATTCAAGTTCGTTCTTTGAAAGTTTATAGAACCAGTAAGCAGTTGCCGGAGACCGATTGGAACAACAAAACTCTAGTTGGGCGTTTTTAAAAAAAGGATTGAAACACTACGAAAACTTAGGAAGAAAACTGAGAAAAAGCTGAATTTACAGCGCGTAACCTTACGCATCATTCTCTGAGAACACCGGATTTACTCTACAGGGAAGATTTCTTTCACTTCTTGTTGTTTTCAAGAGTAAGACCAATTAGCACCACATATGCTAGTCTTACGTAACATATTGTTGTTATCAACTACTTACGGTCGGGTACTCCAGTAAGCCTTCATTCCTCTCGATCGTCTAGAGAACGTTCGACAAATTAGTGCTTGATGTTGATGATTATAATTATCATTGCAGTTTCGGGTAATTCCAAGCCTTTCTGGAATTATATTAAAAGCAAACGTAACGGTACGAATACTCTGGTATCTTTAAAGGTTGGTGACAAAGAACTGATTGACGATGAGAGTATTGCTAGTAGTTTTAATTCCTATTTTTCATCTGTTTTTACCTCTGAGGACTTCACCAACTTGCCTTCTTTAGAGCCTTTAGTTTGTGAGAAACTTAATTATATTTCCTGTACTACTGAGGAAATTTTAAAGCATCTTAAGTCTCTTAAAACGAACAAGTCCGCGGGTCCAGATAGAATTTCACCAGTAATTTTAAAATCATGTGCGTTCGAATTGGCGCCCTCGATCTCATTTCTGGTTAACAAATCTTTCCTGCTGGGCCATTTGCCCGAAGATTGGAGATCAGCTGACATTGTCCCACTTCATAAGAAAGGTTCTAAGCACTTGAGGGAGAATTATCGTCCAATTTCGCTTACATCCATGATATGCAAAATCAGCGAAAATATTGTACGCCATAGGTTAACGTCATTTTGGCAAGACCATAACGTGATAAACAAAAACCAATTTGGTTTTTTGCAGGGTAGGTCTACTGTGACCCAATTACTCTCTACTTTTCATGACTTCGCCAGATCTAGGAATTCATCCGGTAGCAACAGATGTTGTATTTCTTGATCTCGCAAAGGCCTTTGATAGTGTTCCTCATGAGCGTCTACTCATAAAGTTATATAGCCTCGGTATTGAGAGCAAACTTCTTAACTGGTTGAGGCATTTCCTCACGTGTAGAAAGCAACGAGTTGTTGTAAGAGGGACTTTTTCTGATTGGGCACCTGTGATATCTGGTATCCCACAGGGAACTATTCTTGGTCCAATTTTATTCCTATCATATATAACTGATATCGTTGATAGTGTCTCTTCAAAAATTAAATTATTTGCGGATGACACAAAGATTTATAGAGAGCTTCGCAACCCTAGTCTCGATGAACAATACCTTCAAACTGATTTGAATAATCTTGGTAAATGGGCGAAAAAATGGCAACTTCGTTTCAATGAGGAAAAGTGTGAAGCAATGCGAATAACGCATTCTGGTGACAAATCGACTACGAATTATAAACTAGGTACGGCCTTAAAAGATGTCAAGAGCTTTAAAGATCTTGGAATTATTATATCAAAAGATCTTACTTGGAGTGAACATATTAGTACTATGGTGAATAAGGCGAACCAAGTCCTAGGGCTAATAAGACGGTCTGTTGGAACAGCTAATACAACAACTTTTTCATTGCTTTACAAAACATTGGTCAGACCACTTCTAGAGTATGCTGCTCCAGTCTGGAACCCATATCTTGTCAAAGATATTCATGCAATAGAGAGCGTGCAAAGACGCGCGTCAAGATTAGCTCTTAGGCAAAAAAGAGGTGATATGTCTTATGAAGAGCGTTGTGACTCGTTACATTGGCCATCTTTGTCCAGTCGTAGGACATATTCCTCTCTTGTTGAATGTTATAAGATCGTGTTTGGCTTATCACACTTGGATTTTGAGGAATTCTTTCAATTCGCAAAAGTCAAATCCACTAGGGCAAATCACTCGTATAAGCTTTATTGTAAGTTATCTAGAATCAACTGTTTTAAATATTCTTTTTTTAACAATGTAATTAGTTATTGGAACAATTTACCTAGTAATGTTGTTGAAGCCGGTTCCTTTGAACTTTTTAAATCTAAACTCAAATCCTTTTTAAAGTTGTAATTTTTATTGTTTGTTTGTTGTTTTTAGGAGAGTTTTATTCATAGGGTTAACCTCTAGACTCTCCCTTTCAAATTCATGTAGTTATTATGAGTTTGAATAAACATGTATGTTATGTATGTTATGTTATTATTAGGAATTATCGCGGTAATTGGTTGTCTTGGCAATGGCTTTGTAACAACTACCGTAACCGTCTTACGCTGGAGAGGTCACCGATCGAACGTCCAGCTTCTCCTTTTACACTTGGCTATTTCTGATCTGATGGTTTGTTTACTCTGCATACTCCTTAGTATCTTCAGCAACTTTAGCTATCCAACGGAATACAGTACAGGTCCCATTTGTTCAAAAAGTGGATAAAGCTATCCATCGGATAAATCACCGTATCCACTGGATAGCGCAATTGGTTTCCTTAACACTTATCCGTTGGATAGTGATTTATCCGTTGGATAGCGCTATCCAACTTTTGAACAACTGGGGCCAGTTGATAATGGCATATGCAAAATGGGAAGATTTGTATAGGTTAATGCAAAAAAGTTTCTCATATTTTTACTTATAGAGTTTGCACTCGTCTTTCTTTCTTTAGTTATTTAGGACTCATTTCTTACTAAGTTGGGTTTCGCACTTCTCAGTTTGACTTCTTGAAATAAGGAGAAAACCCCGGGGGATACTCCCATATATGGCGGGGCTAGATTGGTATGTGCCGCCCCATAGGGTATGGTTTGTGAGAGTCTCTATCCCTAAATACATGGGTATCACTTTTGCAATTGTTGACGTTATGTTCCCGGTGTGATCCTTAGATAGGTTACCGTTATGACATCAGCTAAAATTCAAGTGGGTAAATGCCCAGCTACACGAGAAACAAATTATCTGTTACAACTTAACTTTTTTGGGAGTATTAGGGAAGGGATTAATGAAGATTTGTGTATTTTCATTAAATTCTTAGTTTTCCGTTGAATTGGGTCTCATTTTTCAGGTCCTGACTCACAAACCTGCGTAGACATTTTACCCTGTTCAAATAATGACAGATTTCTAAGGATTCATACCATTTCTTTTTACTTAAAAAACCGTAGCAAATAGAGTGACATGTTTTTGATAAGTCCGTATTTCCTCCCGTGTTTGTAGCCCTTTAATTAAGTGTCTCCTATCAAACAAGTTTCACTTCCTTAATTATTGCTCCAGTCACTGTTCCTACTCTTCTTCCCCTTTGTCTGTTTCGGTTTTTATATCAATAAATAATGTGCCCGTGACGTTTCTCCGTACAGCTCGCTCCACACAGACACTCAGACAATACGGAAGCCATGCCGTGTTCTCTAGGTCTTAAAATTCAATTCTTGTACTTTTTATAATACGTTGTAATTTTTGTTTTCATTTTTAATAGTACTTGGCTGCAACCATTTCCATCGCTGTTCAGACAGCTATAAGTAGTGACCGATACCTTTCTTTAGCAAGACCAATGGCTGCGATTGCCTATCATCCAAGATTTTTTACTCCTTCCTGGATGATCCGGCTGGCTTGGACCTACTCCTTAGTGCAGTTTCTACCTACGCTTTATTTCGCTGATGTCAAATCTATAACCTTCGATGACAACCAAACAGTATGTTATTGTACCACGGTACGTAATAATACTTCTCCAGGAATAGCTTACTTAATATCTCTCTCCATGTCTTCTTTCGTTCTGCCTCTGTTGACGATGAGTATTTTATACTATAAAGTCGCAAGAGTTGTTTGGAGACGGCAGCAAAATATCTCAGTCTCATCTACCACCAGCTCCAACACGGCGACCTTAAAACTTTTAATTCAAACGCGAAAACGAGTGACTCTAGCGTCGCTTATTGTGGTGTTGGTATTGATATGTTGGGCGCCATTTGTGATTTACTGTGGCATTTTAGATAGAAATCTAAGAGGATTTCCTAATCCTATGGATGGTGTTAGGCTTGTATGGCCTAGGACTGGCCAATTCAATGACTAACCCTTTTATCGACTTTTTCAATACTGGAGGAAAAAGAGCTAACACCATTCGAGATTTATACTTAGAGATTTCAGGAAAAAAGAAAAGCAATGCAAGGGACGCAGAGTGTAAAATATCTAATATTTCACAACTACAAATGTTGAAGACGCAAGCTACAGTAAAAGCAAGGCCAGAAAAAGGGGTGACAAATACAAAAATTGCAAAACTAAATTTGAGGAAAATGTGGAGAGGATTTGGTTGCCATTCAGTTTGTGGCCCCCACCTGACGAACTTCGTGACTCTTATTTGTGATTAATAAAAATAATGTGACGTTAATAAAACAAAGTTTTTTTTATAGTACGCTGTTAAGTGAACAATCTCCCAACAATCAAGTCTCTTTCTACATCATATGATACTGAAAAAAGAGGTGTCAATACACAGGACTCTAAAAGGGGTGACCCATGCCAGCCAATCATAGCTTTCCTCCACAATAATAAGGACGGTAGCCAAAACATTACTGATGTAAAGTGAATTTGCGTTCCTTTAAACTTCATCCCTAATATTCTAACTCGCAAAAAATGGCGGTTGTAAGATTGTGGGACCGTATCCGAATTTAAAAAGGGAAATAAAAAGATCGCTAGGCTAAAAGCAAAAGCAAAACAACGACTGTACGTGCAACATACTTTTTGTTACATTTCTTTGGCGTCACTACACGACAACGATGCTACGCTTTAGAGGACGTAAACACACGCCCATTAGTAATGTTCCTTTCTCTTTCTGAAGAGTGGTGCCTAAGAATTCATATTCGGATACAGATTGCT